AAGCGGATGAAAAATAATAGAGGAGTAGGAGGAGGAGGAGGGCAGGTCCTCTGGAGGTCTGCGCTACAGGCAGTGTGCTTTCAGCACAGCCCTTGTGACAGCAATTGAATCAAATTTATTGTCTGCATCCGATGCCATGCAGTTTCCCTCAGTTTCCACTCAACGTCGCGGCCCCATTGTCAGCTTGGCATGTAATGTCACGTCCTGTTTTTACGAGGATCAAGTGCACAAAGTATGACGGCGAAGCGGTTCAAAATGAAAAAATTAAATATAAATGAGATTTGCGCGTGGATTTTGCTCTAAGCATTGAGCCAACACTCGACCGATAAAAAATGTCAATGGCCCAGAGGAAGCGGCATTAAGCGGCAGACATTTCGAATCGAAATATGGATGGCAGAGAAGGACTCACAAATAGGACCATAAATTGATAATCGAATGGAGATTCTATTCTATTCCATGATGGGAGTACTTTGTCAAAAAAATAAAGTCTTCCAGCTTAAATTGAAAGTATCTTTAAACTATAAAGAGATTCTACAGGCAACCTCTCCCACTATAGGGTGTATTTCCTCGCTCAATTTGCTTTTGTTTGCTTTCAGTTTTCCCTGGGTATGATCATGAAAAATGGTTTCCCGCTCCTAGCCGGCTTCCCTTCGGCTCCCTCATCGTTTCACTTTAAACTTGGCCCCAGAAAACGTCCAAATAAAACGAGGAACTCCGACTGATGCAGACATTCCGTGTTCTTTGTGTTTCTGCGCGATTTAATTGCTGTTAATTGGCCAGCTAAACAGTTGATGTTACTTTGTTTTATTGTCCGCCTGACAGGGGCCAGAGTGGAGGCCCAGCCCGGCCCGTCCCGGCAGGGAGGGGACTTTTAATTTTATTTACGCCAAAAGACCGCCAAGTACGTGCCGTGAATGCGTAATTAATGCTCGAAAATGTTTTATGCCGAAAATAACTCAGGACAACATAGTCTGCTCCTCCTCGGGGCGAAGGACAAGGAAGCTTTTGGCAAAAATGGCTGCACTGGCAGCCCATAACCATAAATGTAGAACCCATTACTGAACTCAAGACCCCAGTGTCATACCTGATTCCCCAACAAAACTTTATGGCACAGAGTAAAAAAAAAGGTTATTCAGTTCAAGACTTTAGAAATAGAAAAGTTTAACAAATATTGAAAAAAAGAAATTGCTAAAAGTTTAAATTAGATTATCTGTTCAAAAGGTTTTTTTTATCTTTCTTAAATATATTTTCATTTTCGTACTGTGTATAAAAGTGCTAAAATACATTTCCGTTTGGTTTTCTGGAGAGATTTCCATTTTGCAAGCACGCCTTCTGACTTTTTACTTTGATCGACTGGCGGACAGCCTTTGGTGGAAATTGATGACGCCACATAGCACCCTACCCATCCCACAACCTCACCCTTTTAGCAACCCTCCCCCCCGGAAAGGTGTAAGCTTCGAAGCTTGGGAGGTGTGTTCATGTTCGTGTGGTGCTGAAAATAATTTCTTGAACAATAAAAACTGTTTTGTCTTCGATAAACAGAAGCGTGCTGGAGAATGGTCGTGCATGCCGGCGATCTATAAAAATAGACAGACAAACAAACAAATCAGACGGACAGACAAGCGGACACGCGGACAGACGGACAGAAATGGGGGAGACGCTCTAGCATCTATCGACACATATAAAAATACAAAATGATCTTATTTCTGACCTTACACATTGCCAGCACCTGTGTAATCCGAAGGCAGCCAGTGATGCTAATTAGTGTTAAGACAAAAATAATAACAAATTATATTTAAAATTAAAAGAAATTATTATGAAATAGAGAAGAAGTTTAACAATTTTTTTAGTTTTTCAAATAATTCCTCTCTTTTCTTATTGATATTTTGATTGATTTCATTTGCAATTTGTTTACTTTTGTGATTATTGAAACCAAGATCATAAAATACGTGTTTATAAACCACAACTTTTCGGTTTATATACATAAAATCTATTGTAAAGATAATAAAAATTAGCTTCCAGCACTGCTGCGGCCATCAAGGAAGGAAAATGAAAGGGGGCAGGGATTTGATTGAATTGCCACAATTAGAAAGATTCGCAGATTTGCTCGCTTTGTTTGACTTTGTTTTGGTTGCGGTTTTAGCCACTTCCCGAACTCGTGGATGTTTACACGGAAGCTTCACTTTTCCGGCGAGCCGGCTAGCCTCTCGGTGGCTAAATATTTGATGAGATGAAGTGGAAAATTTGGACTGAACCAATGGCCCAAAGGCAAAAGATCAAGTGGCTAAGTGAAAGAATCCTATGGCTGAAATTGCCTTTAATTCTGTGGAACAAACTTCCGGCGAGTGCGAGTGCGAGAGATATTTAAGCTGGACCACGCCCCTCTGGTTTGCTGGCCGGCATGACAGTTGAGAAATAGCAGCACTTCCTACTAGGCCAGTGGCCAAATCGATTTGGATTCGTTTTGGCCTGCAGCACAACCGGCTATGGCTGGCCCTTACAACAAAAACACACACACACACACAAACTAAAATAGCAAAACGCTTTTTGGCTGCCCCAAATTACAGGGAAACACACACACACGAACTCTTATAAATCTGTGTGGTATCTCGTAACCGAGTGGCATACAGCATATACCACTCACCACCCGGTCGGCCTCTGACGTCAGAGCCCCTTTCGACCGCAGCGAAAATGGCCATTGAAATGTTGACGTCGATGGCGTTGCGAGTAACGGATTTGTCTCTGCGATTGCCTTGCCTTGTTATTGTTTAACACACACACACAGATGCGCACGAGTGTGTGTCTGTGAGAGTTTGCGGTTTATTGACATTCAATGGCGGAAGGAGGCAGCCCGCCTGGTGTGCGTTTGTGTGTATTTGTTTTGGTCAGTGCCAGAGATAGATGAAAAATTGATTGTGCTTCACCTCAACGTTTTGGCAAACTGAAAAAACACGGCCAACTCGTCACTCATGTGTGTCAATTAAGCTCAGTTTCTCGGCGATTGCACAATGCAGCCATCATCATCATTATCTGCATCGTCTGTAACGTCCCCAGCATCGAACAGTACCCTACGATGGACGCCAAAATGTATGCTGGGGAATATTTTTCAGGTTAAGCGAACCGGTTGCCCCGGGTGACAGTTTGCCAATATTGAGATGGAATGCCACCCCACCCTAACTGACACATGTAACAAATTTGGAGCACTCGAAACTCGAATAAATCAAAGGCCTGACAAAATATTGAAAGCATTTTGTCGCTTAATTGGAGTGCCACGCGTCGCCATATACAAAGGACCAAAGAACAAAAAAAAAGCGAAAATTGGAGGAAAACTTTGACTGGCACATTTGACATAGAGGCTGGCATGGTGCATGCAGCATGGTCTATCTAACCTCAACTAAATGGCTGTCAATGGGTTTTATCTGAAGGATAGGAGAAGCTCTAAACGGCAATCAATATGTTAAATTCATAAACCCAATCGTTCAGTTAGTGTTTAACTAAAAGTTTTAATTAAGATTTAAAAAATAACAAACTTTAAACATCATTAGCATATTAAGTTTGCATTTAGATTGAATATTTAAATAAGAATGTGTAATTTGAAAGGAATATAGAGCCATCTATAGACTTGACCACCCGTTGCTGGCAGATGCGATTTGTTCCCTGTTTTGTAAACATTATCCTGATGGCAGGACGATTTCTTTTTCAGAACGTTAACCCTGAATGGGAGATCCCAAAAGCGGACTTTGGATTAGTGTGGGCCTTCAATGGCACTTTTAACAGGGTCCTCTCTGGTATACAAAGGACCTTCCCCTTTCTCCAGAACCCAAACACACACACACATACACAGACTCACGCAGTTGTCGGGCTGTCAGACGCCATTATCACATATTGCCGTCACTTTGTGTTCGCCGCTGTCGTTGTCGTTGTCGGTAGTAGTTGTATTTGTGGCCGTAATGCGCAAATAGTCGTATGCCAAAGGTTCCCCGGTTCGAGTCCGAGCTTGATTCCATGTCCATGTTCGCATAGTCGCATATCCGCATCTGGGACATATGCAAATGGCAAATGGCGGATGGCGGATAGCGAATGGCAAATTGTAGATGGCAAATGCCAAGTCGGTCAAATCGCCTTTACACATGAGCCTTATTTGCATCTCATTAACATCCGGGCTCTCAGGATCCAACAATAGCCGCAGTGCCGTCATCACTGCCGTCCATTGTTGGTGTCATTTCTATTTCCGTTTTTCAATATGCCATCGCCGAAGGATAATTGTTGCACTAAAAATTGTATGCTTCGCTTATTTGCCAGCCACGCCTAATGAGCATGTCCTTCGTCCTTTCACACAAACACCAATAGCAAAAACACATCAATGGAATGATTGACATGTGATGTATGTATTCCATACTACATGTAGGGGCTGATGTTGTGGGTGGTAGTTAATGTCACAAATTTTGATAAATTGTTTTACGACCATAATTTGTGCAACTTTTATCGCCTTTTTTGTAATGGCTTTCCTATTAGTGTTTTATGTGCCGTAAAAGTAGCGCAGGACCCCGCACAGTCCTCAGGACATTCATCATTATGCTGATAGTTGATAGAAGTGGCAACAAAATGAAATTAAATTATTTACACACGGCGCACGGCAGACGGCCCACGACCCACGGCCCAGGGCTCTGGAGGGCGCCTTTTGCATTTTATGACAGCGCAAACATGCCACACTCTTATTTATTCAACATTTTGTTGAACACGCGCTCAAATAATTCATGTTCGGGCCGCCGCCTCGCTCCACTCAGTGCGTAACCTTTTGGGGCCACCGCACAAGGGTTAAAGCCAGGTTAGGCCCATGTCCCAACCGGAGACAGATACAGTTGCTCTGTACACACACAGACCGATACGCAGATACAAAGATACATAGTCGTACTTCCCCCAGGGGGAGGTCGGGGCTGACTGTTTACATTTTGATGAGCATCAACGAATTATTTGACTATTTATACGTGTTTACATACCTGCTGCTGCTGCTGCCGGGTTGGAGCTTCAAGTAGAGTCGCGGGGGAAGAGAGAGACGGCAGTAGGGGCGCCGGAAAGAGACGGGAAGTCACGGGGCAGCTCCGGACGGCTAGTGCATGCTGCAAAGAAATTAGCACACAAACTAAGCTCACTGGAGGGCAACGGAAGTTGGAGGGGAGAACTGCTCGGCAAACATCAGATAAGGCCGAGCTCTTTTTGGCCAAATATTCCGCCTGTTTGCACGGCGGAAGCCCCAGCACCAGCCCCATCCCTATCCCCAGACCCTTGTAAATATTATTGTTTTACGGACTCAATCGCTTTTGTGTCTAAAATTAAACTAAGACCGCTTAGGACGAGGCTTAAAGTCGAGTGGTGTTAATTGAGATGGCCCGTACACCAGTTAAATAATTCAATTAATTGAGTTTACTTTTAATCACGGCTGCCAACTCGGTGCACTTAAGGCTAACAAATAGTGGCGCTAGAAGTTTGTTTGTTTGCTTGCAGCTTGCCTTCTATTTGAGCCAAGTTGTGATTGTGACTCTGAAGTTGCCACTGGAGTTTCGGGCTGCAATAAATTTATCTTAATATCCGAGCGTTGTGCAACTTCTGGGGGAGTCTAAGCGCATTTTTCATTCTAATGGAGTTGCCTCAACAATGCATGCCAAACTTTTCCTCCTCGTGCCTCGTTTTTTGGCTTGCCACATCCACAAACAATGCCAAAGGTAGCACTGGAATACAGTTGTGGTAAGTAGATAAGGTCCTCCTTTCAGAGGTACTACTCTTCTTGATGGCCATGTCCTTTTGGCCCAAATAGTCGAATCTTTTGACAGCAAAGTTTGTTGCTGAAATAATTTCCTTGTTACTCAATGTGTGAAATTGAAATAATTCTGGCTTACGATCCCCGGGGAGCTGGACCCCCCTGACACCGAATGGTATTTTAATCAAGTTTTGAAGGAAGTTCATTAGCTGCGGGTACACTGTGCGTATGAGCGATGATGATGTGGGCCCTGGGAGGTAAACTTCGATTAGCCCTCGAACTTTGTGGGGGCCGATAAGTCGCTGCCATTAAATGCTCGTTAGTAGTCGTATTGCCGTATCTGTTTGGCGAGAGCGGGAAATTATCATCAGGCATCAGGCAGCGTTTTCCTCTAATCAGTGCTCCACGAATGCAAACAAAAAAACTGACATGAATGAAATTTACGGAGCGAGCCAGCTAGGGAAGAGCGAGAGGGGCCAAATGGCTTTCAGGCTACTGCCATTATTTGTTGGCCTGCGTATCATGTATCTCGCCGCGGGCCACGAAAAAACAACTGGGCTGGCAAGAAGAAAAAACTCAGACTCTGCCAAAAAATGCGTGTGCCACGCCCCTGGGCTTGCTCCAGTGGCTGGCTACACTGATTTGCGTGCTAAAGACACACACACACCCCATGCACACCCCGTGGAATACGTTCGGCGGTTATTTGGGGGATACTTTGGGGTTCTGTGTCACATTTTTGTTTTGAGCTTCGTGGCTACTTTTTTCTGCCTTTTTTTTTGCCATTTTGTTTGTTTTGCTGGCTGCGCGACGCTGCGGCTTATCACATAATTTGAATAAAGTAGCTGCAATCTTGTGTCAGTTTATCGCAAATTAGACCGACAACGGACAACGCTACAGATAAACCCATCAGCGGTGGCAAACGCGGCAAATTGTCTGTCCACAGATCGCTAGTTTACCGGCCAGAGGGTGTGCTCTATAAGATGCACAGGAAGAAATGGATATTAGGTATTAAATATTAATATTTTGGTCCAGTGCAGCTGTGACGACAGTCGCCACCCAAAATGGTGAACTTTAAACAGAATTATCAAGCATACGCCTAGGTGGCTGGCTGCATTTTTTCCCTCCAATTTGTTTACTTTATGCAGGAAAATCAAATTATAAACGTGTGCAGCCCAGGTGAGATTGGTAAGGGGAGCCAAGGCGAAAAATGGATGGGCAAAAATAATTGAATCAGTCGCAAATTGCAGGACATGTTGCCTCTGCCAGCCAGCACAGCCTCGCATCCTCTCCAGCCTTTCCTTCTTCCTGCCTAGTGTCGGCTGCCTCGTGTTACCCATGTTACGGATGTTACCGATGTTACCGTCTGGTTCTGTCGGTTCCCGGACGTTCAGCAAATTGCTTGACACTTTTAATTATGGAAATTGACTAACGCTCTGATGGCTATGAAATACGATGTCAATGCGAAGCATAAGTTGCGCGGACTCCCAGCCATTTGGCACTTTAATGGGTAACTATGGGAATCTCTTCATCATCAGTTTGGAGAAAAATAAATCCACTGAAACGAATGGAAACCTGCTAACATGGCCCATAAACATGACCCAGGAATAAAATAAACGATCGTTTATTTAGTCGGAATGGGTCTGGGGGCTCTGGACAAAACCAGAAAAGACGCAATCGAATTTTCCACGAAAAACTGCGGAAAGCGCCGAATAAAGACGTTTAATTGGAAAGCAGTTTTGTTTCTTAGCAGCTAGAAGCTAATGAAAAGAAAAATCGAATCGAATATTCCGTGCCACACGAATCGTGGCCTTTCAGAGGCATAAGAAAAAAAAATTCAAAAAACATTTGATTTATATATGATTTTTTTTTATTTTTGTTGAAAATGATTGTTTGTATTTCTTGGAATTTGGTATTGTCATTCTTATAGACCTCCATTTTACAAAAGAAAAATCGAACAACTTTTAGGGCGATGTGTATTTATTTTCCGTGTATGCAGTGATTCCCCCGATTTTCCATTTTTGCGGAAATATTTTGGGAACACTCATTTGCCTGTCAACGGGATCTTAATCGAACAGGTCTATATACCTCTCCCTATATGCAGACGATGATGTGACGGCAGAAGCACACATTTGGTAATTGCACCTCGGGAAGTGCTTAACATGATGCACTGGCACTGAAAAATATTAACTGTGCCATGCCGCGGACCGCGGGGCCAGTGCGGATGGGCCTGGGCGGCCATTATTTATTTACACTTTCCGCTCCCGGTTCTTTATGTCATTATTCGTATTTCGTAGTCGTGTATTCGCGTTCGCCTGGTTTTCCCGCTGCCATTGGCCTTTTTCAGCTGGCTGCCGCCTGGTTTTCGGGGCAAGTGTTTACTTTTCCCCGCTGATTGTTGCCGTTGCTTAATGCTCTTTTCACAGCTTCCCAGACTGATGGAATGAAATTCATTCCATGGCTATGGTCTTGCCAGATACGAGACCCGTGCCCCGTGCTCTGTGCCCCAAAGGTGTCTCGGTAAAGAAAAAATTTACATATTTCGGGGCCAGAAACTTGTTCGCACTCCTTCGGTTCGGTTAAATTAAAGGAACCCCATTCACCTCGGACACATGCCTGACACTCACCTTTTTGCCACAGCTTCGGCTTCAGTTTGCTATTGGCTTCCCTGGTTCCTGCTCGTGGCTGGTTTCCGTTTCCTGTGATGTTGCCAAAGTTGCTGCTTAAATTAACACTGCAGCATCTTGTTGTCCTGGCGGTGTGGCACTTTTTCCTAGCATATTTTGTTGCGCAGTTGGATGCGTGTAATTGTAATTTATTCACACTTGTTTATGGCACATGGCAAATGCTTAACAGTTGCTGTTTACAATCACTTTCAGACAATTTTCTGTATTTTGGAAGTACCTTTAAAGTAATTCGTTTTCTTGCACCATCCGAGCACTCTTATAGGTATTATTTTGTGGGTGTGTTTTTTAGGTTTCTGTTTTTTGGTTTTTTTGTGTATATTTGGGTGTTTAACGAATCGTGTGATTTTTTTTATATTTTTATTTTTACTACAAAAATATATGTGTGTTTAATTTTTGGATTTTAATTGGCCCTAGAACGATTTGTTGTAGCGGCAGCTGGGTAGGAGCCCTCTGGGAGCTTTTTAGCTCGATGCTAACGCCGGCACGTCCACTAACGAAAGTGAACATTTTTCCGAAGAGCACTGCCTTTTATAGCCGCGGACTCTCGCGAGGCAATCAGTGCTGCCAAAATGGCTTGCTAGCCACAAAATTAATTATTTCACATAAATAGAGGTTTTGAAAGTGCTTTAAAATTGCAAAATGTTTTAATTTAAAAATATTTAATTAACTTTTTTTTTATTTGGTTTGTATTATGTAATTATTTTAACCCCCTACTAGAGATTTCACTAAATGTAATAAATCTATTATTTATAACTGATACCAATAGTAAATAATAATAGGTAATAGGTATTATTATAAAATTTTAATGTAATAATTAATGTTAATATAATATTTCATTTCCTTAATTTGAAATTTAGCCTCTAACTTTAGCCTATTTATTTGGCTTTTGGCTCGCTCTTAAGGCCAACAATCTCATACACTCCCACACACTCTGTTATCAGTGCCATTACTGTCTCTCTTTTGCGCACTCTCTCTCAAAACTTTCCAAAGCTCTTCAACAGCTGAGCGCCTCTCTTATGCGCACTCTCTTCGCGTATGCAGTGATTGCATTTTCTTATCAGCAGGTCTGCCATCTTATGACGTCACAGAGACCCAATTGCCCAATTGCACGTGTTAAATATATTGTTGCGGGAGTGCGTTGGTGTGCGTGAGGACTAATGCGAGTGTTGGTGTGTTTTTCAGACTTGTGGCCATAAATTAGCAAATAACCTTTTGCGCTTCGCCTGATTTTGGCTTGGTCTTGTCCGGGTCTCTTTGTTGTTTATTTACACTTTTCTCTCAGCGAATGCTTTTTGCTCTTCGACTCAGCTTGCTGACTGCTTGGCTTTGTTATTGTTTTTGTTCTATTGTTTTCTGGGCGCCTTCTTTGCATTCAGCCCCTCTGTTGATTTATCTTAAAATATGTTATCTCAAACGGCGCATAACTTAGACTCCTGCAGAGTCTTACTTTTGGTCCAAAAGCCATCCGGCAGCCGCCATCCACCCATCTCCTGGAATTTAATATAAATAAATGTTTACAGGAAAACTTTCCTTTGAATATTGTACATATTTATGTACCTTTTCTGTTTCCCTTGATAAGGAGCTTCTAGAATTTCTAGAAACGGGAAAGTTTTTGATATTTTCAATTAGAAAAGTTTTAGTCTAGATTTAATTATTGCCAAATTTAATTTTAAAGAAAGTTAATGGGGCATAACTGCAAAAGTAAAGACCAGCTCACACTTTAAGACCAAATTGAATTTCCATAAGAGTCAGTTATTTGTTCAGCTCGGTAATAACCATTTCTATGAGGCACATGAAACGTAGATTAAGCCGGAATCTGCGCTGAAAATTGCTTATGTTCAACAAAAAGTACTTCCTACCCTATCCCCTTACCGCGTTTTCCGGTTTTACGCATAAAAATTTGCGTCAATTTTTCTGCGCTTTACAGCAGATTGCCACTTCAGGCTGGGCACTCCACCACCCTTCCACCATTTTGTTTTCTACTTTTTTTTTAAATATTTTTTGTAGAGGAAGTCCAGATTCTCCCATTTCGCACACAAACGCAATCGCACTCACGCAGACACACAGGCATGCAAAAAGCGTTGCCTACTTTTAGGCAGCCGCCGCCGCCATCATGCTGTGCCAGAAATTGGAACTCAACTGGGAGGGCGGGCGTTTGGGTGGGCGACTTCCTCTTCCGCCACCCCATTCCTTACCCCAGTTCCTTTATTTTTAGCAGTAGCATAATTTTTTATTGATTGGATTTCAGTGAAAATCACTTCCGGCGATAAATTTGTTATGCAGGCAACGATTCCGTTCGGTTATGTCCTGGCTTTCTGTTCTTCTTTGACTTTTCCGGATACCCCAACCACCAGGACCGCCCCAAAAAACACAAAAAGCAAAACAACTTTTCGATGCTGGTCTGCGGAACATTTCCCCACTCGACTGACACTTTACAGGAATACTTTGTGTTTTGATTTATTTTACTTCTGCGTCAATGTCAATCGTATCTGGATTTCGAAGCAGGACGACAGGAGGACAGGAAGACAGCCGGGCCTTGAGAGTTAGGTTGCTTGTTTAACTCGAAATTTGTTTGTTTGGCTTTCGTTATGCTGCTTCTGCACTAATGGCCGATGGGGGTTGGCAAATGGAAATGGAAATGGCAAATGGCTACGAGTATTGACAAAGAAAATTTGCACAATGTTTGCATTACATTACATTCACATCATAGAGAGTGTATGGGTGTGTGTGCATGTGTTCGTGGAAAGAATATGGCGAAAAAGATATGGCAGCAGCCTTTGGGCAAAATCAAATACAAACACATTCCCAACAAATTACTGCAAAATGTTATCGGAAAGCATGGCGGCGGGTAATTTAATATTTCAATCAGAGCGAAAAGCGAGCCCGAGGTTAGTGACCCAGCTCTCGCCTATTTTAGTGTCCTGGCAACCGGTAAGGGCCCATTGGGTCTAAACATTAACCGTCGAGTGGCACAAATCAAAGCAAATGAACCACTAAAGACACGTCCATAGCCATAACAACAGCTGCTGGCCCAAACATACCAGCGAAGGGGAATGGAGGGGTCTTTTTGGCCAAGAGAACCGTGACGTCACAAGCTCCACGCAGAGAGTCCGAACCTAAAGAGAAGCAAAGAGAGTGCTATGTCCTGCGTCGGCGCTGGCCAAAGGACTCACGGACTCGCCGGACTTCCGGCTAGCGCAGCGACCATATGACATCATTGAAAACAAACCCCGAGCTTTGGTAATGAAATTATGCGTTTTTTTTTGCCATTTTTGACACCGCCTTGGGCATCGTCTGCTAATGTGTTGGTGCAAATGTCCTGTCGGTGTGAATAGTTTTTGGCTTCTGCTGTGGCGCCTATCGAGAGGCTGACGTCACTGCTGCTCCTGCCACACTGCCACCGCTGCCGCTGCCACTGCCGCTGGGTGTGCACTCGAATGTAAAATTGGCAAATAAATAGGATTTGATATTTAACGTCCTGCTGCAAGGAAGCCATGCGCAGACGGTGGTGACATAAGACTGTAACCAAAGCAGCAGCCAAACAAAATTCTCGGTCACTTTGGTTAGAGGATTGTCCTGGCAACTCGGCCGTAAAATCGTCTAAATGATAAAATCATAACTGGGAAATTATCATTTAAAAAATAAAACGTTGAGACGGAAATTTAAATAAATTCCCATCAGGTAGCTGAAATTTAATTTTCTCTAGAGCTACCTTGAGGAGAAAATTGCCAAATTTATGGCTGAAATAACATCGCTGGCCAGGTGACCGCTGACCGTTGGCTGGCCAAAGGTCATCGCCACAGACAATGACATTTCGTTGGCCTAATTGAATCATGAGCACGTTCCACATTTTCTAGTTTATACGGGTTTTTGTAGAATCCATAGATTTTAAAGAAAGCCTGAAGCTTTTATTTAAAATATCTGGAATATTGGAATATTATTTGTTTTGAAAAATAATGTCTGTTTATGTAATATTTGTATTGCATAAATATCAGATAGCTAAAAGTTATTCCTCTTATTTGCATGGAAATTTGATAAACATAAAAATTTAAAATTTTTTTGTCAATTTTTTATGGAAAGCTTACTTCAGGCGGAGCCGAAATTGATAACCCCATGTATTATGGAGGACACCCATGTATGAGGAGACTCTTGTTTGCGTACTAACTCAGGAGGTGATTCTGATCAAGAATATCCATATGTATAATCTTAATAGATTCTAATATCTCTCCTTCACTGTATTTTTTTGAATATTGTAGTAGTCGAAGGTATAAGACCAAGAAAGACCGTTATTTATAAATAACTGAAATTCGACGAGGCGTATACTTAATGAGCTTACTAAAGTATTACGCATACGCACCGTTTACCATTTTTTATTTTTCTTACCAGCTACAAATTCTATGAGCTTTTTGATTTCTTTTTTTTGACAAATAGTAGGATATATTAATATTTTATTTATCATAACAGGCTGGTAACCGAAAGATATTTCTGGATAATCGGAATCATATCCTTGTTTCTTTTGTTGACAAAACAATCTTCAAGAATTCAAACAACAGAGCTTACAAGTAGCTTAAATTAAGTTAAGTTGAGCTTCATCTTAAACAGAAAATTACCAAATTTATGGCTGTAATACCATCGCTGTCCAGGTGACCGCTGACCCTTGGCCGGTCAAAGGTCACCGCCACAGACAATGTCATTTCGCTGGCCTAATTGAATCATGAGCACGTGCCGCATTTTCCAGTTTATACTACTTTTCAATCATTTTGGTCCAAAAACAAAAACAAAAGCAAATGCCACCTAACAGCTAGCTCTGAGAGTGCTCGGCCATTTGGCTTGCTATTGTTTTATGCGCTATTACACTCGCTGTTACAGAAAGGAGCGCAGGATGCTGCAGTCTGTGCCACGCCCATATACTCCTTAAAAATTAAGTGACGTCAATGGCTAAATGACTGAGTGGCTGCCGGAATGACGATCCCTTAACGTGGAATGACGATGGCCCATGTTTTATGGACACGCCTGTGAGTGCGGTTATGCGGCGAGACGATGTGCCATTACAGCAAAGCATACTTTCGGGCGCCCTTTTGGTAATGGGCAGCCATCGCGATGGATAACAGCTGCAGTTGAATAAAAGTTGAAACGTTAAAGAAAATAAAATGATTAAAAAGAGCTTAAAAATAATTAAATTTTATGGTTAGGCTTTTGTAAGTTTTGTAATTGGTATGATAAACCTTTGTTGACTTCTATTTCTCCTGTTATCGATTCAAAACTTTCAGTTTTTAAAGCATCTATTGGATATAAAATAAAAATGTATATTACGATAGTCTTTTCGTAAAACTTGCGCTTATATGGCATCATATTAGCCTAAAGGTAGGCAACCAAATGCCTTAATGAATTACCGTTGTTTGGTTGGATTTTAGTGTGAACATCTTAAAAATATCAAAAAATACCTCCAACATGATATTGCTATCTTACGATATTACGATCGAACATACTACTACGATTAAAATATATATTTATATCGCGTCGCGCGGTCTTTCGGTTTGGTCGTGTTGTCGGTTGTCTGGTGGGTTGTCGCTTGTCAGGTTGCATGTTATCAGTTGTATGTTGCTGCCGCTTGTGTTGCTGTCGTGTACGTATGTTGCTGATGTTTATGCTTTATGTTGCCTAGACTGCAGACTCCCGGGATAACAGTGCAAGGTGCATGCAGTGCGACAGTGCAAATAATTGCGGTCTTTTTTTGATCAAAAGTCTAAAGCCCAAGCCATGTTATTCTGACACAATTTCGAGTAGCGAACCGAACAGCAGAGTGCGAAACTGCAAGGCAGCGAAAATGTGCGCGAAATAAGTGTGCATCCAGCAACAATAGCAAGCGGAGCGAGGAAAAGTGTGTGTGAGCCGCCGAGCCGAGTCGCCGCGAAGAAAGAAACCAAAGAGGCACAAATTGAAAATAAACAAAAAGAAATTGCATAAGTCGGACTTTTGGCGTGCGCTTTGGCCATCTTCTCTTACTGTTGCTGCTGCGGCTGATGATGTTGCTGCTGTTGCTGCTGCGGCTGCTTCTTCTTCTTAACTGCTGCAATATTTGAGCTTTTGTTTTTGTTTATCTCCTACCGCTACCCCCTCCCTGAAACAAGGCGACAGATGAGACAAAAAACAACAAGCCAAAGAGCCACTACCAAAAAGATACAAAAAAAAAATAGCTAACTTAGTGGCGACGTCCGGCCATATTTTACAAAATTTTAATCAACTTCGCTGGGCAGCTTGACCATTTGACTTTTTTCGAACAAGTTTGCATTCAAGTTTTATTTTCTGTCGCCGCCAGTGCCTCTATGTTTCTGTGTACGTTTTCGGCAATTAAAACTTATTAATGCAATTGTTGCTTTACCAATTTCTAATTTCGTGTGTCTGGTGGCCGACAGTGAGTGCGTCTCTAGCAAAGCCGCCAAACATTTATGCAACACCGCCAAAATAAAAACAACACCAACCTACCAAGGGACGTACTCTGTTCACAACCTGAGGTCCGTGTGAGGTAAGTCTGAATGGTTCAAATGCAATTAACATAAACCAATTACAGCTAATTACAATTAAACAAATTAGTTGCCACAAATCGTGAGCACCTCGTCGCTGTTCGCTGCCAGCTCCCTGCTGCCCGCCGATTGTGTCATTAAACTGATACGGAATTTGCATAAATTAGATAAGGATTTACAGCAAATAGAACAGAATGCCATACCAATGCTGACTTTTTTTATTCTTTATTATCCTGGCTTTTAATGAGGCTCGTAAAAAAAGGAAAAGAATATAAAGCAACTAGCCGGGGGCTAATTAGATTTAAACACTAAATACTCTTAAAAAGTTAAAAAATATTAGGGTAATAGGTTTCACCTTTTAGTTTTTTTTAAACATGTTTATATTACTTTTAGGAGTAAATTAATTCTAGCTAAAATACTTTAACTATTCAAACAAGTGTCATTTTAATTTAAAAATTATCCTGGTCACTAGTTTTATAATCTACTATATTTTAGTACACGAAAATAACTTTTATTATGGTACATTTTTATTTCTTAAAGCTTATTTTTTAACAAAAATTGTACAAAACTTTGAAGCATATTATTTTTCGGAGCTATCGGAGTGTTTCAGAGATTGGCTCAATATATATTATATAAAGAAATTAATACGCCCAAAATCATTAAAGAGTACTTTATATTATCAGCTTTTAAAATCACTTTACTTTCCTAATTGCAAAATATTCGACCCCAACGAGCTGTAAAATGTAACCACTTTAATGGCAAATAAATTGAATTTTCGCCTCATTCATTAAAAATTTACATTTTTGTGACCAAGTTGATTAAGCAAACAGCACTTCTCACTATCCACTCGATTCATTCAAATTAAATTCCCCTGATGATTTAATTTCTAGCAAAGCCTTTGATGGAATTACTTTTTTTTGTGGGTTTTGGCTGTGACTTTTTGGCTAATCATAAATAGAAATTCCTGTCACAGCCAATGCTTGTCTTTTGGCCAGAAGTGTGCGTCCAAAAAATGGCTGTGGCAATTCATTAGCTCTTTGGGATAATAAATAATCAAAGCCATAGCCATTATGGGATGTAAATTGATTCATCGACTGATCTTCTAGTTCAGATCGGAGAGATCCCTGATCCCAGACTCCCACTAAGATTTGTGCATTAATTGCTTTGACTAAAAATCATCGAGAGCTCACAACGAGTTTGTTTCACCAAATTAAGCGAATGGCAAACCAGTTGAATGAATGAGAAATACAAGATAAAACATATATAATATGTATACAATATTTTATGAAAAAAAAAGAAATAAAACTCACAAAACAAATGCCTCAAACGAAGCAGAAATTAGATAATATTTAATGTCTATCTCTGTGTTTTTTTTTCTCCATGGCTATTTAAAGTTTGAAGATGGAGGGACAGTGAGATGCCACTGGGTGTGGCCGAAGATGCACTGAAAATATATTTCAATTAACTTCCAGACACTTTGGTTGGGCTGGTTGCATTGAAAAGCGTTTAGCGATTAAATGTTTTCCACTTGAAACCGATAGCCGATCAATGATCATAATTAATCATCATATTACATGTGCTTATTACGCCATAGTGCGCATCTCTGGCCATAATGGTGGCTATAAATAGCGGAGAAAAACCAAATGGCTTACAACGACACTACACACCAACTGGCGGCAACAATTGTGGGTGTTACTTTGGCGAAAATTAATGAGGCAACCAACTTAAATTATTAATGAATGAATGCGGTCATTGACAAAACCAAACATCTCCGTCTACGGCTGCGTTTGTAATTTTTCATTTTTTTTCCAATAATTATAATATAATATCAAAATCCAAGAGCAGACATAGCAGGCAAATAAATATTCAGATTTCATGATGCGGTTAGAGCAGTTCATTGCAAATTGAAACCCCAGGCCAGCCGCATTAACTAATTGCGGTTAGCCCCCTCCCTAACCGAAATAAAAGAGGCCATAAAAGCTGTGGGTTAAAGGTCACACCCGATGCACTATAGGAAATATGACCACTTTTTCTGGCCAAAAATAATATCTCAAGAACGAAACAAGATATTTAAGTTCTGATTTTTGATTTGAGTTCACATGGTCAATAGATTCAATATTTTTAAAAAATGTGGGCGTGGCACCGCCCACTTTTTAAGAAACACATTCTAACTCAAAAACTAAGCAAGATATTTAAATTTTGATTTTTGATTTGAGTTTATATGGTCAAAAGAACTCATAAATGAAAAAATTGTGGGCGTGGCACCACCCCCTATTTAAAAATAACATTCTAACTGTTCGGTTTTGCACTAGTCTCACAGCTAACAGATTCACATTCAAGGTGTTGAGGTTGCCTCCTTAAATTATGAATTTCTTCGAAAGTGCATTTTTATGCATATTCATATTTCACTCATTTGAAGAAAATTAAACAATCTACAACATGGACTAAATTACATTGTCCGACTCCGCCAGACTTGGTTTAAATCTCTTTTTAAAAATGTGATTTATTTCTAAAAATTTCTTATGCTAGACTGCTTACATTTTCACTTTATTAAAAGGACAACACAAGTTTTTTGGACACTTCACATACACAAACACACAATACAAACCACTTAAAAAAGTATTCATTTCAAAACTTTTTATTTTGTCCATAAAATTTTAAGTATTCGTGTTTTTAAAATCGCACCAAAAAATCGTAAATTCTAAGCTCATGTAAATGTTAACATCAACAGCTGTTTTTAACAGCTGTTTTCTTCGCAGTGGCGCCATCTATGAAAATTTCTGGTATGCAACATTAAAAATTAATCTATTGTGAATGATATGCAGTTAAAATTATTTAAATCCTTTAACTTTCAAAAAACGGTTTTTGGCCAGAAAAAGTGGTCAAATTTCCTATAGTGCGATGCAAGCAGAGTGGGTGGCATTACACCCCAAGTGAAGGCAATAGATCAAGTCATTTGTGGCACGTCGTCGCGATTATTTAACAGATTTGTTTGGTTTTTGTGTGGAATTCGCAGAGCCCCAATAAGTGAAAGGTTCGTCGAACCGGAATTAGCTACGGGCCCGATTTGGGCTTTATTCGAGCCAGCTCGGCGATAAACCAGTCAAGAGTCAAGACTGATAAGCTCATGCATAGAACTTGGCCAGAAACACGTTTGGCCCCTGGCCAGCCGAAAATAAAATATGAAATTAAATATTTAAAAATAAACAAAAGGTAAATAATAACCATGGCTGTGGTATGGTGCTTTGACTCCAAAGCAACCGAATGCTACGGATCGAAGGTATATATATCATTATCGGATCTGATGATACTCGTCCAACTGGTTGACAAATTATCGCATTTGTATCATGTTGGATCGTTTATCAGAATGTCTTTTTAAGAGGAGGAGATTGTAAAAGATCTGCATCTGATCCAAGCAGAGCAGATCGAAGTTTAATTTATAATTTATTGATGTTTAACATCCCTTCTCTTCTGATGCTTATTTTATTATTTTTATACAAGGTATTTGTAGGTATATAGTGCTATAGAATTCTTTCGCTAAATATTGGGCTTTTTATAGAGTTTTTTAGAGAAAGTTTTGATGTGAATATCAATATAAATAAACCAAAAAAAATTGGATGACTTTTGGAAAAGTTTTAGACTTTTTATTGAGTATGCAATAAAATCTATTTATTGAACGTTTAGGAGTAGTGAGGATTAGAGTAATAAAGTACTGAGTATCATATAGTTGAAAAACTCCACTATACCCTGTTACTGTTTTGTTGCGAGCGTGTCAACTAATTAAGAAAAAAGAACGCTAAAATTGAATTGGAAACAAGTTCCCAGCTCCAGCAAACACTCGCCCCATGCTATCCACATCCATTAGCATTCGTATAATCGGGTTTGGATCCACAGTGGAGAGCCGTCTGGAGGAGTCTGGCCATTAAAATCATATTAATAATGGGCCTCAAAGAAAAAACAAAACGCATTGAACTGGCAAATTAAATGGTAATTTTTCAAGTTCAGGGCATCCGGTGACATCGATATATCAACTTTCAATTGATTTAAATTGTCTTAATTGTTTTCAATTTGGCTCACAGCTATACAATGGCCACAACACCAATCACCAACACATCCATAGACTTGGCAGCGCCAGCGACAGACTTGAACCCAAAACCCACTATTACGATTATGAGGCTAATTTCCATCATAATGGAGCTTCGGTCTGGCCAAGTGCCATAAACCCGTTTCCACACACACTCACTGATTAGCTTGCCGACAGGCCGGGCTTTGTGGCTCAAATGTTTGGGCCATGTTTGTTGCTGGACTCCTGCACTTCCAGTGCATCCAAAACAAATGCACCTCTAATTGGCCGTTGTATCCCAAATTGATTGGCTTTCCACTCTGGGGTTTCCCTTCTGTCCTCACTTTATGGGCATTTAATTGATTATTTCTCGCTGGACATCCGGCTGTCTTGCCCAATTCAGTTTCAAGTTCACAGCCTGGTCAATAAATTGCACTTGTTGCCACCGTATTTGCTTTGTTAACGAAAAAGGCAAACCAAATGTCAAATGCCCGCCTGGCCTGGCCCCATCTTTTATTGACCTTGACTGCTCTGACGAACTCAAATATGATTATGCATATGAGTCTATTCAAATGAATTCGGCAGCCCATCAAAAATTTGGGTTTCTTGGCTGCTATTTGATTGTCCATTCATAGAAGTCAACAAAAAAGGGGGTTTTTTGGGCCTGATTGTATTAATCAGTCTTGGACATAATTGCAAGAGCTAATTCTGATTAGTATCTGATTTCTGTTGAAATGAAAACTCATTTTCGCAAACAACCTTGAGCCTGAGCCCTGTGTTATCCATGTGGCTAACGAAATAAAGTCCCAACATGGCTTAACAGTTGGTAGTTCCGTTGGCCATGTTTGCACAGTTGTCGGTGCTCAGCAGACCGCCCACTCCTCCTGTTAGCCTTTTCCATTGCTGTGTGTCAAGTGGTACATGGAACAACCTGCAACCTACAACCTACAACCTAAAACCTGCAACAAGCCGCAACTGCATTCATATCGCTGGGTAACCTCGGAGTATTTAAGCCTCTGTACATCCTTCTCAATGGCTCTTGGACGCCCCAACAAGAAACAAATGAAAAAAATAAAAAAAATTCTGTGTTTTTGATATAAGAGGAAAAAAAACTAGTTTAAGCTCTGCAATTGCAAAACGCACAAAATGCGGCTTTGAGTCTCATATTCCAGAGCTTTGGCAACATGTATGTTTATTTGGATTAAGCTATAATCAGTTTTTTTCCTCTGCCAACACAAAAAAGATCTTATTCCTTTGAATTGTCTTGAGCTCTTTCCAAAGGTTTACTTTTCTTTATAATTTAAGCCTGAAAAAATGAATATTGAGCTGCGCGCGAAAGTTGGGAAATAGGAGAAGCTTAGTAACAAAAAATAATGGGCCTTAGTTTGGCAAAAGAAAACCATGTTGCAACTTGTGGGAAAAGTTGCCAAAGTAGTGCCTGGAAAATGGCTTAAAATTTTGTTAATATAGAGCAGAAGATATACCTTCCGAATATAAAACAAGTGATAGTGAAAAAAATTCAAAGTCTAACAAAAACAAGATTGCTTGCAACTCCATGTGGCATCAGCAAACAAACAAAAGAGTGCACCAGATGGCGGGAAGTCCGCCAGTGGGTGGCGGCTTGGTGGGCAGAGGGTGTTAGTGGGTAAGTCGAGTGCCTTGCCGCCTGACTGAGCCCCTCGGTGCGGCAGTGGGGCAGGGTGGTGTGCTGTTGATGGAGCAGTTGTCGGCGGGCAGCAAGTTCCTCTTGATGTGCATGCATAATTGGTAACCGTTCAGCGCGGCAGCTCCGCTTGGCATTTGTTTGTTTAAAAATAAAAGAAATATGTGTATACCCACTAGTGGCTGTTGGATTTTTTATTCAATGCCTGGCCATTCTATTTTTGGGCTCCGGTCTACGGACCTCCGGAGCTTCTGCTGGTGCTCTTTAGCCGAATTTTGTTTTTAGAGCGTCGTTGATGGTCAATGCGAGCGGACAAGGTTAATTGAAAGCAGCGTTCTCCGCCAAGTAAACAATCAAAAGACGAACAGCTGCTCATTACACTACACTGAGAAAAATCTAAAAAAAAAATGTCTTATAGATTGAATGCCTCTTCTAGCAGATTTCTTTCGGTGCCCATCCATGGGATGATTTCTGATGAAACGAAACTATATCGAGTATCTGAAGTTCTCAAGGGCAAGGTCCGGGCTTAGCATAAATTTACGACCCTCGGCATTATCTATTGTCAACATGGCAGCCACCGTTCTAATGGTTCGATACCACCGAGCTGACAAAAAAAAAACTGCACAGCTCCACAGCCAAACCGGCCAGACAAGTGGCTCTGGGCCATTTACATAATCTCTGGCAGGGGCGGCGGTGCCAGTCTAGCGATTTATTGGTCAAAACTGACTTTGCCACCACCCAGAGCTCTTGCACTTAATTATGCTCGTTAAATTTTATAACTTATTTACTTTGGGCCTGGGAGACGGATAGCCTGGGATGCTGGGCGTGCTCTGGGCCAGTCTGTGGTTATCTAATTTATGCACTTCCATTTGATGGCCTCACACTTGGATAAATCGCAATTCAATTATGCCCTGTCGACACACAAAGGGATCACTCATGGAGGAAATTAACAATCAATCAGCACGTGCCATTGTGTAAGAGGCTGTAATTCTTGTAATGGAGTTACAAAATTTACTACCAACTCTGGCCCAGATGGTAGTTATTCCATGGCGATAGATAACTAGTAATAAATAAATAAAATGGAGGAGGTTCTCATAGGCACACTAGTTCTATATGAGCTTAGCTTTCTAAACCACCACAAACCCTAATTAGATGGGCAAAAAATCTAAACAAAAAAGGAGCAAAAATCCTACTAATGTGTCTGCAATTAGCATTAACCCACTGCGTTTTTATCGCGCTCGAACACAATTATGGGTTCAGTTCAGCGGCCAGTGCAGCGGCAGGCACATTAATTGCCACCAACTCGCCGTAATCATCGTTGCAAAATGTCTCTTTGAGACCAACTAATTAGAGGTTTTGCGACAGTCGGCCGCACCAACCAACCTCAATGACAAACGTTGATGGGTTAGAGAAGGTGGTGCTGCCGGTGGTGTGGGTGGTGCAACGAGGCGTGAACGTTTGAAAAGCCGCCACCTCCTGACCAGGCCAAAATATAGAGAGTGAGTGGAGATATTAAACAGCCTCGGACATAATGAAGGTGTAAACTATATATTATTATTATTAAAATAATAAAGGGCTAAGCACTGACCAAATCTGCATTAGAGGCTTTTTTTCTTTTTTTTCTTTGGGATTTTATCCAAAGACCTTTGCTCTTTGAAAGCTAAACAGAATTTTGAAGGATTGCCCAACAAGTCTCCTCTTGGGCCTTAAATCCAAACATCATAAAATATGTTTTATTAGAAAAAGTAAGCTTTTCGGTTAACTCATTGTAGTTAAGAGTTGTCTTTTGTTTTTAGCAAACAGGCAGTTTGATGTTGCCGCTTGCAGAAAAAATAAAAGAAACATAGGCGTTGCTGGCCATGTTGCCTGACTTGTTGCAAGTGATTTGGCACAGTGTATATTAGCATCATTACTAACTGATGCTGCTGGCAAAACACACACAATTTTGCAATGCGACTGGAAAACAATGCAGATTTTGTGTTGCGGATTTTTATCGGATTCGTTTGTGAAGATTTCTTTTTGGATTTACTCGTCGTCCCTCTTGGGCAATCGGCGTTTGTCGCTTAAGTCTTTTGTTTGGCCGTCTGCGATGATGAATTCATGGCAAATAAGTCAAGGCGGAGATGTATAACATGGCAACAGCCCCTCTTCGTAAACAAATTCGACATTTTTTTTATTGATTGTGAGCTTAGTTTCTGATTCCAATTCCGATTCCGAATATTCCATATGGCTCAAGCAATTGACTCATTAAAATATCAAAAGCCACCGCAGGCATTCTGATTGAAGAGCAAACTATAAATAAAACCCTCACGTCTCCGTGCAGGTCGACATCTGAATTTAGACAGTGCCCAGTGTCTTATTATTCGCATTTCCATAACTCGAGTGGCGGCCACTTCAGCACTCGATTGTTTGTGGCCAGCAAACACACCGAAAAAGAAGACCCAGGCAATACCGATTGTGCTCCCAAACAATAACATTATATTTCGTATCTATTCTTGAGGAAACTTGTGCAATATTAGCATTAGACTGGCTCTGATTATAGAAATCTAGTGAATGGAAGACTTGCCCTCCGCTCTAGTTGGTTGGATTTATCTTTCCGATCTGGTTTTAAGTTAACAAGCCTTTCAACGGAACCCAGTTATTTATGTTATGTTTTTCCATTCGAGTCTTACTTTTATGTTCCTCAATACTTTGTTTTATTTCTCGACGGCTGTCAGAGCTTTGCGAAGACGACAAAATAACTTTGAGTTGTCACTTGGCCGGCAGAACTAGAAAAAACTGACTGCGTCTTGACCATGGCACACATGTGCATGTGGCATGTGGTATGTGGCATGTGGAATGGCACTCGATACTCAGATTGGCATGTCATCAGCAACGGCATATGGTAACACGATCGGTGATTAGTTCGCCACTATTATTATTACTGCGATTATGGCCGCCACTGGCACAGAAATCCGTCAAACGAGGCGCCTCATCAGTTGGCCAAGTTAACCGCAGAGTTGCTGAGAAAAACCTCCCATCACGGGGTCATCAAAATTATCAGCTTAACAGACTTCTTTCCAAGAATTTCATTGTTCAAGGATTTAATATTTGACTATTTTATCTTATAACCCAGCTACTGTACAGCAAAGTCTTTCAAAAACTCTCAAACCACTAACCTACATCTCCGCAAATCTCCGTCAATTAGGAAGCTTCCATTGGTAAGCCATAATGTGGGGTTTTGGCCAAAAGGCTTTCTGGGTGGCACACCAAACTGCTGATTGCAACAGCAACCGAAACCGCCAATAGAGCCTCGTCAGCTCTTTGTCGATAACGCGGAACACATTTCACTGCGATGAGCCAACTGGCCACCTCCGTGGCATGATGATGATGGAGCTGTCAGCGGCTCGCGTCTAGTCTGGCGTGTACTTATCTATCGATCATACACATAACTGCCCCGGCAACCCAACGCTTTTACATAAATGCATTTGGGATGCCTCATCATCAGTTTTGGGGGTGTTGCTATCAGTTGGCATTTAGCAGAGTTACCGCGTCCAGCCGATGGCCATAAATTATGGCCAGGAGTAGTGCCAGGCATGCAAAAAATTATGCAATTGCGCAAAGCCCTTTTCGGCTAATTAATGCAAAGTCATGAGCGAGGCAAAAACGCTGCCATCTACCAAGGGGGCAGAGCTAAAGGGGTTCTATGCCAGTGGCGCAAACCAGTTCCACTTCCAGTTCGGCCAAAGCGGATGCATTTTAGTAGAGCCGGCAGTAGAGATACGTTAAGTGTTGCAAGTTTCCACACAAGTGCCAGAAACAATAATCATATTTCTTTGTTATTTTCCTATATTAACCTAATATTTCTATTACTTGTCTTTCAGAAAACCATGCCTATCTGCAAAAGCTCACAGGTAACAGCCAGCAAGAAAACCGCCACGGACATATCCGCCGACCACGTGACGGAAGCCGCCCAGGTCCAGAGGACCCGGGAGCAGGCCTACTTCAACTCCTACGACTTTGATGCAATCGAAGTGCTGCCCTACGACGAGGAGGACGACGACACGGGTGGCACGAGTCAGGGCCGGAGCAGGAGCCGCAGCCAGAGTAGGAGCCAGAGCCGGAGTGGAAGCAGCAGTAGTCGGAGTAGCAGTGCCAGGAGCTACTCGGCAGCCCACGATCCGAATGGAGTTGGCAAATTCGCGTACCTGCAACGGCTGGGAGCTTTCTTCGCCCGGAATGGAGGCAATGGTGGAGCAGGAGGGGCTGGAGCTGCCGGAGAAGGAGTCTCTTCCACCACGGGAGGCAGTGGAGCAGCAGCTGGCCTGAAACCCACCAGTAGTAGTGAAAATTTCCTGCTACCCCGCGCCATGCTCAAGTATCAAAGGTAAGACTCAGGAATGTTTCTGTAATTCCTCAACAACATCTTTGAAAATACTAAAGTGGAGTATTTCCCACTTGAGATATTCAAAAGAGAGGCTTACAAGGCTTCCAAACCCTCGAAATGCAACAAAGTACACACTCTGATATGAATACCCATTCGAGCGACCTTCAGACAGCGACCTTGACTTTGTCGGGAGGAGGGGTGAATGGTACTACGATCGCAGGCAGATCGGAAACCCTATTCCGGTTAATGCAATTACGGGGGCAACACTTCACGGTTCAATGCAGCAATGCGGGCAGCGGTATTTTGTAATTATGTTGTTGCGGGGCCATTAGCGGGGCATTAAGGGGGATAGCAATCAGTGGCGAAGTGTTGCCCTAAATGAGGATTATGATTGCGAGAGATAGTTCTGGGCCCGGGCACACAGTGGCAGCATGTGGCAAGCTGCAACCTGTTGCTGCCACAGCAACTATGTAAATCATGTCTGCAGTTGCAGCGAAGTTCAAGTTGTTGCCGCTGCTGCTGCTGCTGCTGCTGCTGCATCCAAGCAATGCGGTTTTTGGCGCCTGTTGTCAGCCTTCACCTCTTTTTCTCTTTATATGTATATGGTATGGGGTATACGTGCATATACATATATCTTGTTGCTTTTTTGTTGTTTTTGTTATAGAGAAGCCCGCCACTTGGCTTGGCAAACACTTGATGGCGGTCATCGCTATACCACCATCGGCAGCAGCAGCAACATCGGCAGCAACATCGGCAGCAGCAACTGCAGACAGCTGCAACAATTACGTTTATTAATTGAAATTAAAGAAGCCACCATCATCAGCATCAGCAGTGTATGTATGATCTTCGGATCGGTGAAGGTCAGATTGAGAGCCCGTTTTGGTTTGAAATATTTATCAAAAATACAAAATAAATACTTATAGATATTTATGTGGATGCATATGCATTAAGTCGTGCCGCGCATTGACAGGCATTTCAATTAATTGGCAGACTTGTTCCAGCAGTTTTGGTCATTGCATTTGGCGGAATATGGAAATGAGGCATTAGCCCGATAGCCATGATAAGATAATCCCCAAGAGCGGATCAAGGAAAGCGTATAGTTCTCCCTCAAGGTCGAAGCAATTACATCTGGCCATAAACACTACACTCGAGCCATACACATCGCCCTTATTCCACAGCCACGTCGATTTGGTATTCAGGGGCTGTTGCCACTCTAAGTTATTTGATGCTAACTGCTCACGCATGCTAACTAAAAAATAAAATATTTTTTTCGCACAGTAGCCATTTGAAGATGACCTTCTGCAAATGCGACAAACAATGCAGTTGGCCTATGATAATGCCAGTGATCAATTGTCGATACTCGTCGCTAATTTGTATTCAATTTTTAAGCCGCAGCCTAGGCCAGTAGTTATATCTCTACTTTATGGCTCTGGCCAAGGTCAGTGGTCAGTGTTTAGCCAATCCATCCGTCTTGAGCGTCAAGCATGTGCTAAATCGGCGATATAATCGGCTGCAATAAAAACGCGCTGGGCCATTGATTGATTTGCAATTGATAGGTGGAGATACACGATCACGCCATCTCGGTGCGTATTTTTAATCGGAGCTCCAAAATATTAAAGTCTAGTGTAATTTGTCTTGGCAAGCCAAGTCAACAACAATTAGCGGCCACACACCAGACTCTTTACTAAGAGTCCGTCTGTCCGTCGGTCCGTTGATCTATCCGTCCGGTAGGCCAGTGTTCCGTGCATGCAAACGAGGCTGAACATTTTAATTAACACACTTCGAACAAACAAAATAAACATATACCCATATAGCCACATAGACACAACGAAAAATGATTGCAAAATATTTCATGCTCTTGCCGGGCGATGGAATCGAAATGTAACCTTGCTGCGATTTCTGTTGCCACTTGCGGGCGAGTTTCGTACGCATCGGTAGTCATGCCACCGAGAAATCCAACTGAAAATCTATAAGAAAAAAATAAATAAAATAAAAATAAAACATAGTAACACTTGGCAGTCGCCACTGACCGCAACTTATCAATTTTGGGTGCGTAACGCACCAACTTACCATACAAGAACAAACGGCCAGCGAACACGGCCAGCGGGGACTGCGGAGCAACAACCGTTATTACGCAATTTTGTTGGCCAAAAGCGTTGACCTAGTACCGAGCCGATTCTAGAATATAGAAGCTTGTTACCCGATCGTAAGTGAGTTATTAAAGCAATGCCACTGGCGCCAAACGGTCAAAAAAAATGCAAATATGCCCCAGAGAAAATGCAAATGTTGCCGATTAGAATTTCGCATAATAATACTATATTTTTGGTTTTGGAAAGCCATCAATCAGTGTGGACCTTTAAGCCAACTAAGCCAACTGCCAAAGTGAACTCACATTTCGGTTCGGTTACACATCTCATTTATTTTTTTGGCGGAAATCCACAAAGGGATTCGGAATGTTGGCCATAAAACAGTCAGTAGCCATCTGTAAAGAGTGAAGTGAAGTTTAGGGCCCTTTCGAGTGGGAAGCTGGCGTTCCATTCAATTAAGTTTCCATTTCATTTCGCTGCACTTGCCACCCCATAACCTCGCAACCAATGTAACAGCCAGCCAGCCACCCACCCACCTTCCTCATCAGGCCCGCTTGAATTTCATGGTTCACCAAAAACTTGGCCCAAACAAGCTCGTTTGGCAAAAAAAAAAAAAGCAGATATCTTCAGCAGTAGTTAGACTTCACATGCAGCATGCCTCACTTTACAGTTAGGCAGTAAAATCGGGCAAAAACCGAAAGCAAAAACCCATATTGCAACAGTAACTGAAGCCGAAATCCTGTTTAGAACAAGTTTGATTTGAATCGGAATCGAATTCGTATGCTGATGTTAAATATTTAAAAACTGGCCAAGTAGAAACGTTATTAGGTCTGTCCGAAAAAATATTACTGGATATCCGGGATACTGTATGGATTTATGGACATTTGCATGTCAACTGTAAACAAAACCACTAACCCAGTTAACCAGTTTTCGCTTTCAGCTGTTGCTGTTGCTGTTGCTGTTGCTATTTCTATTGCCGTTGCAGTTGCAGTTTTTTAAGCGTTTTTAAGTCTTACCGTGTCGCCGTTTTTTCAGTTGACGAAACGTAAACAAAACGGCAATTGCGAAAAACCAACAGAAACCGCTTTCCATTGGCAGGTTTCCCTTTCGGCCAAGCTATTTTTTTTTTTTTTGCCACACAGATTTTCACAGCTCTTACCATCATTTTTTTTTCTCTCTCGTTGCAGCACGGCGACAACACTGAGTGCAACATCTGCTGCACCAACAGCGGCAGTGGCAACAACAGCTCCGATGCCATTGAAAAAGAATGGTATGGAGCACGAGGTGTCCAGCGGCGGCGGGGAGCGGAGCAAGAAGTGCTCAGTGGCCTCCAATGTCAGCAGCACACATACTTCGGACTCGGGACTGCCGACCACTGCCGCAACTGCAACATCTGCGGCGAATACATCGGGAGAATCTGGGGTGGCAGGAGGAGCCACAGCGTCCGAGGCGCAAGGCGGCGGTGGCTCGCACTATTCCACGGACAAAAGCGGCTCGTCCGGTTATTACAGCTCGAACGTCTGCTCCACATACTCGCTGGACGAGCACATCTACTGCGAACCGGTCATCGGCGGCCAGGAGAAGATCAAGAGTGTGGCCGCCAGGCAACGTTTGCGGCCACCTCTCCAGCTGCCGTCGATGGCGCTGCGGGAGGTAGCGGCAGCAGAAGCTGTGGCAGTAGCCGCCGCACCACCCCATGTGGATGCCACTACGTCGGGGGAAAACTCGTCCCCAGTAAAGAGTCAGCGCTCGGACATGCAAGATGCAGCCGGAGCTGCCGCAAGCAGTGAGAGCGAGACGCGGGGCGAGGGGCTGCTGCTGCACCACTACAGCGACAAGCTGCGCATCCTGGAGACGAGCATCGAGAACCTGGATCGCCATCTAAAGACCTTCCCCTGCCTGTACGCCCGAGAGCACATCGTGAGCTTCATGCAGGCTACATCGCCCCAAGCCCTGGACATCGGAGAGAAGCTGAAGGCCTATAACCAGCTGCCCACCATCCTGGAGCAGCAGCAGCAGCAACTGTCGGACGATTCCCTGCTGGACATTGATCTGGACGCCTTCCTACTGGCCCCAAATGGGCCGGTGCAGCGCGGCATCGATAATCCCAGCTTTCTGAATGACGAACAGCTGGCGGAGAACAACTACAAGTGCGCCAAGTACATAAATTCCTGTCCAGAAGATGCCTATCGTCTGGAGAGCGAAAGGGGAGGAGTGGCCGGAGGTCCAGGAAGGGGTGCTGCAGCTGGAGATGCTGGCTCCGAGACCTATGCCAAGCGCTATGAGGATCAGTTGCATTTCCAGAATACCCGAGAGTTGCTGGAAGACGTTCGTGATAAGATACGCCTTCTCTCCCGGGCCACGCCCCAGTCCTCGGCGGCGCCCACGCCCTCCGTGACCCCGCCCCCGGATGTGCCCAAGGAGCTGGAGGGCATGATCCACACCCTGAAGCAGGAGCTGGAGTCCTACCTTCAGCGGATGAACCAGCACAGTGAGCTGGAGCTCCGGCAACTGAGCAGCGGACTGGGGCGCCAGCAGCACGTGGTGAGGATGCAGAACGCCCTCGAGCGGAGGCGCAGCTGTGCCGACCTCCAGCTGAACGCCTATGAAGCAGTGCGCGACGGAGTCCTAATCTCGGCCAGCGGCAAGCCGCTAAGTGTCCGGGAACAGATCATGACCATACGCTGTGCCAGCGACCCCAACTTCAAGATGAAGCGCAAGTCGATTGCCGAGATCTTCCCGGCCGCCGAGTGCTATGTGGAGTCGGAGGTGACCACCACCAGTCTGTCGCGCAGCACCACGCCCACACCCGCCTCCACGCCGCAACTAGAACTGGAGGCCCTGCATCCCAATCACGGAATATCCACTACCACGGTGGTGACGCAGATGCAGCGGAATCTTACCTTCCACAAGCCCATTCTGGCCGGTCAGGGAGCTGGGAATGTGAACACCACTGGAGCATGTGCGGGCGCTGGAGGAGGCAAGGGAGGTGATAGGGACAGCATCACCGAGTGGCACCGCAAGAAGCCGAGCATCTGGGAGATGTACTATGGAACGAATCGGTTGCATCAGTCGCTACTCGGCAAGCAGCGAAGTGGAGGCGAACTGGTCATCAGCAGTGCCCAGCCGACACTGTCCTATGTAAGTATTACATGGGTATCATGTCAAGTAACTCTGATCTCCCAATTCTAAAACGTAATATTCATAAGATACGAATCTCTTCCGAGTAACTGGATGAGAAACAATCAGACAGAGCCGTAAAAATGCCACGATTCATAACGAATTCATTAATTAGCGATAATCAAATTCGAATTATATTTCAATGGGATTCTATCACAAATAATTGTGTTTCCGTTCACTGAATAATTCAATCCGAAACTGAGAAGCATTCGTGCACCATTCAATTTCAAAGATTTAAAATCCAATGAATCCTTAGTGGCAGTATCAGAGCTAAATACTATATAAATACTATATAGCTAAATATTTGTTTCCTTGACTGGCAGATTTATGAAAGATTTATGATATATCATTAACAAAACTTAGGTCAAGTGTGTTGCGAAATGATAGCCGTATTTGGATCGGCCAGCGCTTGCAGAGATAATTATGAGCTGGCCGGGCCAACGAGGCGTATGATTAATGCCCCGACTAATTGCAACCAAGCCGAGTTGCAGCTCGAGGTCGCCCAGCCCAGTGGAAATTAAACAATCAAAACTGCCAAACTATCTCAAGTTTGCTGATTGTAGACCAGCGATTTGCATGACTTCCGATGCGTCTCCATTAGCTCCCAAAGTCATTTTCAATTTCAATTCCAATTCTAAGCTTGCCTGAGCTATTCGTGCAGCCTCATCCTTGGCCGCAATGCTAACCGTTTTGGTAGCCACATCGTGAACACATCCAATCGCCTCGAACACCCGCGCTTTTTTTTAAACAAGAACAGCATTCGGAATTCGAATTATTATGCATCGCCAGGCAGTGCCAGGCGATGAGTATGTGATGATGAGATAGTATCTCCACATTCAGAGCCACTGCATTCAGAGTCAGAGTCACAGTCAGGGCCTCTGTTTTATGATTAATTAAGCTGCCAGAGTCGGGTCAACAGGCTACTGTTACCCCTTTGGCTCTTAGCCAGATAATTACATCTAATGTTGGCTGAAACAGGTGCCTTGCCTTGTCTTGCCATCCAGCTCGATGGCTCTTCAGTAAATGCCAGATTAAGTCGTAAATCTGATCGATGACTTGAAATCGAGAGCAGTCGCATTGAACTACAAACAAAGGCCTACAATCATATTTTAATTTGGCATCTCAGTTTCTAAATAAAGACTGCTAATATTCGAACACATTTCCGATCATTAATCAATCCTAAGTAGAGCATCTAATACCTAACCAAATGAGTAAATGTAATGGATGTCTAAAAATACAAACATATTTTAATTAAGACTTTCAAGGAACTTGGTTTTTAATAAAGTTACTAGTTTTATTTTTGTTTAGCTTCTATAACTCTTTAAAGGCTTTTATGCCTCTAAAAGTATTATTTAATTCCCTTTTTTGATTAAACACTTATGACATTGTAAAATCCCCTCTTATAGAGTATTACCACGTCTAATAACACCCAAAGAACTTTGTGGCTTTTTCGGACAAACATTCCGCTACCAATTTCGGCTTCCGTTCTAAGCCTTCCGTTTTCGGCCTAATGGCTTATGCAATATCCGCAAATCGAGTGGTTCTGGCCACCTTTTAAATGCTCGATTCGCGCTCGGCATTCCAATGAGTTTTCACTTTCTGTGGAACGGCAACTGGCAAGGTTTGTTCACCTTTGGGGAGGAGAGCTTTTGCTTTTCGCGTTCTGTGCTTTGCATTCGTAGATATCCGATCTATCAGGGGCGATTTGAACTTGAGATACTCGGGGGCTCAGGGGCTCGAGATATTGTGGGGCAATCGTGCGAAAAATACGGTTAAGCGACACTGTACCAGTTAACCTTTAAATTCCGTTAAGACGGCAGTCGCTGCTGCCGTTGTCGCTGCCGATGCCGTTGCCGTTGCCGCATCTTGGCCAACTGGCCGGCCACCTAATTGGCCATCGATTACATTCCGGCGATAACCGGCAAAAAATCAACAAGCCATGCAACAAGTGGCAGAAGAGTTGCCCTACAACTCGAATGACCTTTAAGGACGTTTGCAGCCGGCCCATCCTGAAGTCCTCCTACTCCTCCGCCTCTTAATTCCCTGCCGCCCCCCCTCCACTACCCTCCCCTCGGATGCCAATGGCTCAAAACTCGTCCCACGGCAATTGGCCGCCGGCAGCAAACGAAACCGAAAACGAAACGGGTTTGCTGTCATGAATGCCAAAACGAAATCGAAACCGAAACTGAAATGAAAATGAAAACGCAGCAAGATGTAAGGCGAGCTGGTCCAAAAGCGGCCGCTGCACGCGTTTTAGCTGCCACAAAGTGTTGCAATCGCAATTGCAACCACACTTACCACCACACACAGTGGACACACCATTGGATAGTTGTGGGCTGTTGGTGACAACAGTACCATACCACCACCGACATCGCCATCACCATCACCACCACAACCACCCAACGCAAACTGGGTTATGCCGCGGATTCCATTTGGGGGGCAGGCCTCAAGAGCAGTCGCTGGTCATGGAGTTGTCAACCTTCTTGGATTGCCATCTTGCACGAGAGGCGGTTTGTTGGGCCATTTAAATAGTGGCTTTCACATTGAGAACAAAGTAACAAATTTTTGTGGTGAAACCTGGGTTCATACTGACCTCCTTTAATGATATGTCCTGGAACCATGACCGTATCTTTCACGATTACCGTCGGATTCTAGTAAGACATATCATAACAGATCTTGGTTCAATTCTCTATATTTTTCCATACCTTCCTATATTTTTCCAACGTAATCCTTCAATCAATCCATCATTCGAATTCCTTAATAATCTGTAGCATAACTTTGAATGAAAATTTCCGATAAATATTTAAACAAATTGTGTTAGTGTATCCATATTCCATGTCCATATTTTGGTCAATTTTCATCCTACCCTCAATAGGAATACCTTTGTAGATTTGTTCTCCATTTAAAATCTCTAATGATAATGTATCTATATGTTTCGAATTTAAGGCCAAAACCAACCGGAAATACATATTATTTCCTGATTGCTTCCTGTGCAGTGTGCCTGCCATGGGGTATCTTTTGTTTTTTTGGCTTATATAAATCTGCATTGGTATTCGGCCCAGGGGTATTGCTCTACGGAAGTTTGGCCCCCACTGCCAGCAATTATGGGATCAAATTTCCACCCATTACTCATACGCCGTGTGCGCCGAGGGAAAGGCACCAACTAATTAGGCTGCCACCTGAATTTCGCAATTCTGCCACGCCCACCCAGAGCCACCGGAGTGGTGTCGGTGGTGACTCAATCGGACAGCCTCCAATTGCAATTTCCCCACTGCACAAATCGAAGCAGAGCGAGCGAAAGAAGAAAATATGTACATTTGCGAAAATTGCATAAATGTTTGCACACCAACTTAAATTGAATTAAATCCGTTGCTCAGGCTCGCGACTCGTGGGCTTATTGCCACACTTTAGCCGAGTTAGCACACATCTGCTAATTGGCTAAGACAAAACAAAACTAATATGTATAGATGAGAAGACATTCACCTGGTTTTTGGGCCAGTCTGGGCCGTGTCAGTTGTTGACTAAAGCTCGGAGCTCGCGGATCAGGGATCCAGTGTCACAAATAATGGATCAATAAAGAGTTTCACGTGTAAAATGGTAAAAGAATAATATATCTTCTTTAAGAACTAGACAATAGTAATCTTAAAGCTTTGTTTTTAAATCGTGCCTAAAAGATTCCCGGATAACATTCTGCAGATAACACTTGTGGGCAGTAATTAAGTAGAGTTCTTCCATTGCCACGACGTGAGCTAGAATACGGATTCCCCGCAATAAGAAAAGATTACGGGCGGGCAGGTGTACTTGGACGTGTTGAAATTTTGTTTTCTCTCATCGAGAGTGATTTTTCAAACCTGATGTACTTGCTGGTCGGGCAACAACACTTAACTTGGCCAACTTCCAGAGACAGTTGCGAGGGGAAATGAAAAAGAAGTGGCGCTTTCAATGTCAGCGGAAAACGTGTGCGGCAAATTAAAAAGCTACAGCTACCACGACCACCGCCATCGATCGATGGATGGCTGGGATTTTCTTTCCAAAAATTAGCACACACCCAGCTCGGAGCCCGTATTTGGCGGGAAGGCATTTAATAATATTTAAAAAAAAATGTGTTTCAAGGCCGGGCTAAGCGGGAATTTACAAGCAGTAGTCGGTTTCTCATCATTTTGCATATCTTAGGCAGTTTTTTTTTTGTTGTGTTTATTTGTTGTGTCTAAAATGTATTTATTTATTATTTTTTGCGTGTGTGGGGACGTGTTGGGGCACGGTGTGGCATCATTTGCAAATTAGCTTATGAATTAGGCGTCTCCCTTGACGGTGGGGCGGATCCATTGATCCGTCGTCCAAATCAGCAAAGGTATTCAGACACGAATTCAAATTTCAATTCATCTCCACCCACGGCGTTGCGCGCCACAATTGCACTTCATTTGCCGTGGCAGGCCAATAAAACCGTTACACTCCAACACACACACTCACCCGGCCCAAGGTGTGGATGTGAGTATCTGGCAGATACACTTGCAAATCCCGGGAATGCGGTAACTGCCCCGCAGCCTACGTTCGTCATCATTTGCCGATTACGTCTTTGCCGTTTCACAGTACTTTGGCTGATAAACAGTAACGGCAATAATGAATACACGAATACCCACATGTCTATATATATCCCGCCGACTTTGAACAGCATCACTAACCTAAGACAAGCGAATCATCACAAAGGGAGAGACAAGAAGAGAAAAGAAGCCGGAAGGCAAAAATGTACCGCAATCTTGTGTTCATTTCAATTTCTCATTTCGATTGTATGCGCATATGGTTCAAGATACAGTGGAAGCGGACTATGAGATACTTTACATGGCCATATAGTATCCATCAGATATTAATATTGAAAGAAAAATGTTTTAGTCAAGCAGTTAATATGGTAGGTTCTATATATCTGGCATCTCTTAATCCTATTTTGGTTTACCTAAATATTTATTTATTAGATATTATACCTACATGTTTAGGTATTTAGATATTATTATATCTTATTAAGGTAAACCTCTTTATTATTTGTCTTTTTTGGGGGGCATATTTATCATCGTAAAATTATCCGAATTTAAATAAGTATTAAATCTGCATCGTTTGAAGAAATAAAAGTCAAATATTGATTACCATTTCGCGACAATATTTTCTTAGTTTTATTTAAAAGAATAACACCTTTGTGTTCTTTGACCTCTAGTTTATTGTGTCTCTGTCTATTGAGATAGCTTTTTGAATAGATAGTTTTGAGAAAAACTATTCTATAGTTTTGAGGAACTGAATAACTAGGCTCAAAAGCGTCAATTCTTTCAGAAAGTAGTTAAAAAATGTTGTTTAAAATATAACTAAAAATGCTATAGATTAAAAATAGATTAGACAATAAACTCTTTCATAGAAAAAATAAAAAAATTATTTTTTTAAAAACTCGAAACAGTGCTTACTGTAATCGGTTGTCGAGAAAAAGAAATGATCACCCGGATTGAAAACAATGCAGCCCAGCAACAACAAATCCACAAAGCTATCACATCACAATAAAATGCATAAAAAAAAGGTGTGCACAAAATTTGCTGGCTAAATTGTTAGTGGGCCTTGCTTGTTTGGCAGCTCAATTACACACTCTGTGGCAGAGGGGTGTGAGTGTGTTGAAAGCACTCCAGAGACACACAAAATTACACTTGAATGCCCTTTTAATGACCATATTGCGTATACGCCGCTTTCACTCAAGCGCCGAATATCTTGAAATTCGATAAGCGATCCAATCTCGTCTCTTGACACATGCAAGTGTTAGGATACATCGATTGGTAAACAGCCCATGTTTGCAGGGCCAAACAGAACATAAAGTTAGTTAATTGCGTTTCCTGCTGAAGAGGAAACTTTTTGGTTACTAACTTTAGTTGCTACAATTACTTCACTTCCTCCGCTGAAGTCACTGAATGTGTCGCATCCTTTAGATACGAAGCATGCTAATGCATTTTTTTTGTCAGTCATTCCGTTTGCACCTGGCCAAGAGTGAAATTTCCAAAAGTGTTTCATAACTTTTAACATGTTTAGCGAGAATCGGCAAAAACAAAAAAAAGGCATCAACAAAAACTGTTAACGTTTTGTTTCAAGTCTGCTTTTGGCCTTTTTTTTCGCTGTTACTGAAAACAAAATTTCAAGGTTGTGTCGCTAAAAGTGAGACAAGCCAGATATAAAAAAAAATGAAGATGCGCCGCACTGGCAAAAACAACAAAAGCCAAGAAAACAAAGCTCAGTGGGTCAAATTTTTGTGCGTTGGAGCCCTTTATGTTGTTTTTATTTTTGTTTAACATGTGACCACGCCTTATTCAACTGCAAATATTGGCAAGCACGAGATGGCCGGTCTGTGATTTATGACAATAATATATTTTGTGACCTGAAATGCTTTGCAAATAAATATACCCGTCGTCGAGCTTCAGCTCTATTTTGACTGGCAAATGGGATCGATGCGATTATGTACGATTATAATCATCATTATCAATGCCAAGAGTCGCTCATAAGGGCCCGTTTATGGTCAGTCATTTACATAAATCGCTTAAAAAGTCAAACTTTACTTAATAGTTGATCAAATAGCCATTTAAAAGGGAAGGAAAGAGGTGCAGGGTTTAAATTGTAATCTTAATAAATACCAATATCTCTCCTTTACAGCCATCCTCTCGTCCTGAATCGGACTTCACTCTCGACCTGCCCCGGGCCGAGCAGCTGCGCCTGAAAATGGAAAAGGAAAAGAAGTTCCGCCAAAGATGCCGCTTCATTACCACCTTCCTTAGCCTGGTGTTCTTCCTACTAACCGTAATGGTGGTCAGTCTGGTCTTGACCCGCGGCAAACGGATGTTCGGCAGCATGATCTGATATCGTCCAAATCCGACTCTGCACCACAGCGCGATAGCAGAGAGCGCGAATATTACAAACTACAGTGCCAACCACAAATGTAACACTTTAGCGAAGCTCAAGATTAGAGTTATTGGTAGTCATAAGCTCCACCTGGTATTTTTGTGGCAGGGCAGGACGACACAACCGCAGTCGCAGTATTGTTAATAAATTATTTATGTGATCCTAGTTCGTAAGTCCAAGTGAGTGCATTTCTTTGTGTGTACGAGTGTACTGCCTGTATCCAGCCTAGAGTTTGTGTAGAAACCCATAATTAAGCCTATTAAAATGTATTATGTCTAAGTGTAATGTATGTTAAAGAAAAAAAATAAGAGTCTTGTGAAAGTGTCGAAAATAAACAGAATATGAAGTACATTTAATATAACATTTATTATTCAAGAACATGTACACGCACAAGCGAGTTGAAAGAATCCGTACTTTGAGATTTTTTAATGCCTTCGGGGCTTCTGCGGCATTATCATACTTATAGACATAAACATATCATTGTAATTGTTATCACAAGTGGTTTTGTTTTCCTTTGATTCGTTAAACCTGAACCAACTGCGTTTTGGGAGAAATGCACAGAACTTAGTTTTGTAAGTATTGGGGATAGTGTGTTAAAGTTAGCAGCTAAAGCGTAAATCTACAATGCGTTAAATATCTAAGGGTGAAGGCAAGCCTGCTGGGAAGTGTTGAGAATGGCGGGTAGACCAAGCCGATCTTTGGAGTGTTCTGTTGTTTGCTATTTCATAATATGCGAATATTCTGGCGATTAACCTCAAAGAGCGTGTGGTCCTCCTCGTCGCTATTTACGTCCTCGATCGCCATGGGCAGTGGCGTCAGCTCCTGGTTGGCCCTATCGCCGTGAACACCATATTTACGTTCCGCCCGTGATAGCCGTAAGCTGAAAGAGAGGAATTACTTGATGATTAGAAGCTCTTATCTTTGAATCCGAATCTACATTGAAATATTGATAACGAAAACGGCAAGAGTCAAACTTAATTATAATAAATGGAATTTAAATTACTGTAGATAAGTTTCGATCATAAGGAGTCTACTTACCGATAAACTCGCAACACAAGCAACAGAATGGCCGAACTGGTAATGCCCACCAAGAGGTAGACAACCGCCTGGCCGGGAAAGTCCATTTCAGGAGCCAGGCGGGACTGCTCCACATCCTCCTGGGGCACAATTGCCGACTCCGACTCCGGCGGAGCAGGGAGTTTAGTATCCCCCGGCGACGCAGCTTGGCTCTCCTTGTCCGAAACCTGTTTCGACTCCTTTGGCACAGGCACCGGATTAAGGTTCAGCGCCTTTTTGACAGACTTGCGGTGCTCCTGACTTATAGCTTCAGCTTCCCCAGCCGGCGCACTGGGCTCTGAAATTTGCACCGTCTTTTGCGGGGGTTTTGTGGCAGCTGCGTCACAGGTGGACAGCAGCTGCAACAGCATCACCATCGCAAGAATAACCATTGCCAAGGAGCTCATACCTTTGTACATGATGCTGAATTTTCTTCAATAATTCAATAGTATAGCCGCATACGATAAACAATGACGTTTTTAAAATTTCGTATTGTTTTTGTTTTGCTTTTGCTTGTCAGAGTTGCCACAAGGAGCATGGCAGACTGGCATCCCTTACTTTAGACCGCTGGCAACTCGCAAAAAACAAAAAATCAGCATGGCAGCACGGGTTGCTACCAGTGTGCCCCTCATTTCGAAACAGCTGGCGATCTGGCAAGGTCGCAGTCGTTTCATTGTGTTTTTTGTTAGTTGGAAAGTTGGTGATTTTAACGAAAAAAAAGTTGATTTAATTATAAGCCACCTTGCGAAAAACTTAATTTATGTAATTTAGTATTAAAACTCATCTGGCAACAGGTAAATAAATGGCAATTAACTCAATAATCTGACAAATAAAACGATAGCTGCTAAAATGGCGACAAAAGAAAAAATGTGTGCTCCAAGGGGAAATCACATCCGACGTCACGAAATGAAAACGAACGGGAAAGGCTTGCAACACAAAATTTACAGTTATTCAAAAAGCGGGATTCCAGGAAATTTAGGAAAATGTAATAAAATGCTATTTAATAAATAAGACTTTCGTGGTTAAGTGCACTTTTCCTGAAGGCGAATTCTTTGCCTGTGTGCGAGGGTATGTGTGTCGGGGCCAGGTATGTAGGTCCCAGTGTGTGCGTGAGTAAGTGTTTATTTAACCAGGAAGTTGGGGTTTTGAGTTTTTGCCCATGAACACACGATCACCCAATTTTTGCCGCAGTCCGTCCACTTGTCTATCGAGCAGCACGCCAGGGGCCAGGCAGGGGATTTCGCATTTTCGCATTACACATATTAGCCAGATGAGTGTGCGTGCTGGTGCTTGTGTATTCCGCAAGTCTGTCTTTTATTGCGGTGACATTGGATCATAACGGCGACCTTCGGGCGACTACGCTTTTACGTGGCTCTAAAATCGAGGCCTATCACATTCCGTTTGTAAAGTTTCGTTCCGTTTCGTCTCATTTTTACTTGCAGATACATATTTTAAATTCAAAAAATTGAACACTGATTTGCCAAGATTCCGACCAAAGCACCTAGGACGAGAGCCGCCAAACGACGCCACCAGGACACAAATCCCTCGTCGCCCGCGTCGCAACCACCGCAAGTCCCAGCACGTGCTACTGCTTCCGCTCAAGAAACCAGAACAGCTCCCGCCAAGAGTCCAGATCTACCGACGCAGCTTGAAGGCAAACGGCCCTTGCCATCCGCCGTCAAGATGAACCGCTCGAGCAATGCGCAAACTACACAAAAGCCTGTTAACTTGGACGATATTTGGATTGAGCTGAGCGATGGAATTCGGCAGGTGTTCGAGCAGGAGAAGTCTCTCACCCGCAGCCAGTACATGCGCTTCTACACTCACGTCTACGATTACTGCACCAGTGTGCCCGATGCGCCGAGCGGACGCAGCAGCGGCAAGTCCGGCGGCGCCCAGCTGGTGGGGAAGAAGCTCTACGATCGACTGGAACACTTCCTTAAGACCTACTTAACCGATCTTTTAACCAAGTTCAGGGCCATCAGTGGCGAGGAAGTGCTTTTAACGCGCTACACCAAGCAGTGGAAATCGTACCAGTTCTCGAGTACCGTGCTGGACGGAATCTGCAACTACCTGAACCGCAACTGGGTTAAACGCGAGTGCGAAGAGGGGCAGAAGGGAATCTACAAGATCTACCGCCTGGCACTGGTGGCCTGGAAGGGGCATTTGTTCCAGGTGCTGAACGAGCCGGTCACCAAGGCGGTGCTCAAGTCGATCGAGGAGGAGCGTCAGGGCAAGCTGATCAACCGATCCCTGGTGCGCGACGTCATCGAATGCTTCGTCGAGCTAAGCTTTAACGAGGAGGACTCTGACGCCGAGCAGCAGAAGTTGTCCGTCTATAAGGACAATTTCGAGAGCAAGTTCATTGCCGACACGTACGCCTTCTACGAGAAGGAGTCCGATGCCTTTCTGTCGACCAACACCGTGACCGAATATCTCAAGCACGTCGAGAACCGTCTGGAGGAAGAACAGCAGCGCGTTCGTGGCTTGAACTCGAAGAACGGACTCTCGTACCTGCACGAGACTACGGAACAGGCGCTTAAGGCTACTTGCGAACAGGTGGGTTCTCTTCGAATATTTCATTTACAAATGTTAAAGTTGTGTTTTTCTTTAGGTTCTTATTGAGAAGCACCTGAAAATATTCCACTCCGAGTTCCAGAACTTGTTGAACGCTGATCGCAACGATGACCTGAAGCGAATGTATTCGCTGGTGGCCTTGTCACCCAAAAACTTAACAGATTTAAAAACTATTCTCGAGAATCACATACTCCACCAGGGCAAAGAGGCCATAGCCAAGTGCTGCACGTCCGACGCGGCCAACGATCCCAAGACTTACGTTCAGACCATTCTGGACGTGCATAAGAAGTACAACGCCCTCGTTTTGACGGCGTTCAACAATGACAATGGATTCGTGGCCGCTCTAGACAAGGCCTGTGGAAAGTTCATTAACTCGAACGTGGTGACGGATGCTAATAGTGCTAGCAAATCGCCAGAGCTTTTGGCCAGGTACTGCGATCTGTTGCTGAAGAAGTCTTCTAAGAATCCCGAAGACAAGGAGCTGGAAGACAACTTGAATCAGGTGATGGTGGTGTTCAAGTACATCGAGGATAAGGATGTCTTCCAGAAGTACTACTCTAAGATGCTTGCTAAGCGCCTGGTGAACCACACCTCGGCTTCGGACGACGCCGAAGCCATGATGATCTCTAAGCTGAAGCAGACGTGTGGCTATGAGTACACCGTCAAGCTACAGCGCATGTTCCAGGACATTGGCGTCTCCAAGGATTTGAACTCCAATTTCAAGGAGTTCTTGTCCGGCAAGAACATAACCACAGAGATCGATTTCGGCATCGAGGTCCTCTCGTCCGGCTCCTGGCCCTTCCAGTTGAGCAATAACTTCCTATTACCCTCCGAGCTTGAAAGGTCTGTGCGACAGTTCAATGAGTTCTACGCCGGTCGTCATTCGGGCCGTAAGCTTAACTGGCTCTATCATATGTGCAAGGGCGAGCTCATCATGAACGTGGTTCGCAACAACACATCCACCGTTTATACCCTACAAGCCAGCACTTTCCAGATGTCGGTACTGCTCCAGTTCAACGACCAGCTCGCCTTTACAGTCCAGCAGCTGTTGGAAAACACGCAGACACAGCAGGATAATTTGATTCAGGTACTATTATTTAAAAATACCATTCGTAGATGTAAATTATAATTTGTATATGTCTTTTTAGGTATTACAAATACTGCTCAAGGCCAAAGTGCTAACCTCCAACGACAATGAGAACGCTCTGACACCCGAATCGACGGTGGAGCTGTTCCTCGACTACAAGAACAAAAAGCGTCGCCTCAACATTAACCAGACGCTGAAGACTGAGCTCAAGGCAGAGCAGGAGACAGTGCATAAGAACATCGAGGAGGACCGCAAGCTGCTGATCCAGGCGGCGATCGTGCGCATTATGAAGATGCGGAAAAAACTCAACCACACCAATCTCATCTCGGAGGTGCTCAACCAACTGTCGACGCGGTTCAAGCCCAAGGTGCCCGTGATTAAGAAGTGCATAGATATACTGATCGAGAAGGAGTATCTGGAGCGCATGGAGGGACATAAAGACACATATAGTTATCTTGCTTAAGTTTATGTTAAATGTAAAACGTTCGCTGTTTCATCTATGCCAGCCATTATAATATCATTAATATACCTATAGATCGTGTAGAGCCCTCCCCCATCCCACAATAAACAGCCGCATAAACATTCACACTGTTAGCGAGCCAAAAATACTCCACGCTTGGCATTATATGTCCAATTTTCGGTCCCCCCTCATCCGCAGCACTCATTTCAAAGAAACGGCCAGTCGCATGGAACAATATACAGATAGACCTGAAAATCCTAAGCGCCTCTGTAGAGTCCATTTCCTATCTTCCAAAAACAAAGGTCCGAACACGTCGAGGTGAGACGTCTTCTGCAGGGGCTAAGCTGTGTGAAAGCATGGCGTTCTCCTTTATTACACACTGTTCGGTCAGATTTTGTTTAATTAGTTTACGTTATTAATAATTTGCTGTATGCATATACAATTACAAATAATACTTCGAAGAAAAAGTGTTAAGTTCAAGACACAAATCGTGTTTACCTTGTGGTGGGGCTAAGAATAATATTTAGTAACTCATTCCTGTATATTTAGTTTCTGGTCAAGATTCATGCCACTGGCAATGGCGTAGACGGTGAAGGCGAACTTGGCCACCTGCAACGATTCATAAATATTACAAATTTATAAACTATACAGCGTCTTTTTAAAGCTCACATTGATGTTGGTGGCCAGGTTGATGTTAAAAATATTCATGGCCGTAAATGTCATCGGCTGTTGCAACTTCTGCAGAAATTGGAGAACCACTCGCTGGTATCGCTTCTCCTGCATCCACCAAGCCGAGTGGAACAAAGCATCGGCCAGCTCATTGCACTCGTCCACGATGGCGTTGCAGTAGAAGCACAGTGGAAAGGTTTGCAGCAGCACAGCCATTATATAGGTCACAGTTCCAAACTGGGAGGACTTATCGGCAAACAGGGTCATGTTGATCATAATGACACCCAAAATGGAGCCGCAGATGATGAACTGAGCAAAAATGGTGCCCGATATGATGGGTCGAATGGCATCGCAGAAACTAGATGGGTGAATAAATAGATAAAGACACCATCTTACATCTATGTATAAAGGTATAAGGATTCACATACTTCAGCATAGTTCTGTGGGCCTTGACGCAATCCACCAGCAATGTGAATACTGAATCCGCATCGGTGTCCCCATCGTTATTAATTATTCCCAAACTAATAATCCTTTCCTTCAGCAATGTGATATGGGTGCGCAAAGACGCCACGAAGATTAACGCATAGGAATCGGTAGCGGTGGCCACGTAAATGGCATAACCCACTATGAAGTATTCTAGAAAGCATTGAATGTAGAGCTGGGTACGGCTAAGGCGCCAGTTTACAAACGGAAAATACGTGTTGTACGGCACGCGATCATGAATGAGTGCATCCATTAGCGTAGAAGTTGCATACAAAATGTAGACTACCACGAATACCATGTACAACCTGTTTACGGCGGCCACAGAGTCACGGATCTTGCGTTTCTCCTCTGCCTTCACGCAGAACTTGTCCATTTCATCGAATTGGATATTGGAGAGTTCCAAGTGGCGCGTGTATATGACCAGGGTGAAGTATTTGAACGCATAGCACCAAGTATTCAGGCACAACTGAAGGGATTGCAGTAGAAGATCTGGCGGAAACTCGGCCAGATGAATAGTGTAGTTGATGGGGAAACTGATCGGTAGGATCAACATGCTGTAGGTATAGGAAATGACTCGCCAGATTTTCCATGCCACGCCAGATTTCTCTCCGAGATTAAGGCCCGACATTCGAAGCGTGTCCAGAAGGTAGGCGTTGGAGTCCCTGGTGCGAATGGGTGTCTCCAGCGAAGCCGGATAGAGAAGCTTTAGTTTTCCGAACATCCTTAGTTAGCAACGGTTGATTTTTTACTACAGCAAGGGAAGATTGGGAATGCTTTTATATCCTTCCAACTGTGATTTTTAATTAATGCTTCGGAACAGCATGAGGCGTGCTCTCTATTTGAATTCCGACAATTCAGGTGCCTTTTTGCACAAGTTATGAAATTTTAAACTCGGAAGGATGCCATTTGAACGCCCCTTTTGGTGGTAAATATTTGGATGGTAAGTCGTTTTAATTATTATGCAATTGTTCCTTTGGTGGGATTGAGCACATGTAGAAAAGTAGGGTCGAGCTAGTTGCTGCCCTGATTTTAGCGTACAGAGTTTACTTTTATACAATTATATGTACATGTACAATTGCACATGAAACTTAGTAAAATTACATTCTAAACTCTAAGCACAAGTCTTCTTTGTGGTGGCGTCAATCCTGCTTAATTACTTACAAATTAATAATTATCTATCACTAAAAGATCTTTGCAGTCGTTTCAAGATCTAACAAGGAGATCGGAATACTGCCAGTCGCACAGTACATCAGGAAGCATTTACTCCTCGTCGTCAAGCGTTAGAACCTTTGTCTGGAAGCGCATTCTCTTAGTGTTCTTAACCACACCGTTGTTGAGTAGATTGACTCCGGTTTCGGGACATGGTAGCGCCTCCCACAAACGTTTAACACGCACCACAGCCACGGAATTGAAGTCGTATTTATTCGGTGCAGCGGTTTGTTCAGGTACGATGGTTTTTATTGGCAGTTTTCGGATTTTAACAACTGGTTGAAGTTGGCGAGAGCTGCTATAGCTACTAACACTGGCACGGTCGTCATTATCTTCGGCAGCATCGCCGCCGGGTTCACATTCATTGGCTGCAACGGAACAGCCACGCTTTTGGGTAGAAGGTCCCTTGGTTTTGGCTTTTAGTAAGCTGAAAGTATTTTTCGGATTAGAATAAAGAAAAATATATAATTTTATTTGCATACCTCTCCTGTAGTTCGTAGACGTTCAATGTAGGCGGTGCTGCGGCACAAATTTTGCCTGGTTCTTCTGGATGGCACCCAAGGTCTTGGCCCTTTAGCCAGTTCTCGTAGCGATCTGGCTGGAAACGTCGTACAAATGTCTCCATTGAGATTTTCACCATATCGCTACGGCATTTACAGATGCTTGCCCGCTTGCCATACTCGATCCAGCGCTTTGAAGCAAAGTTAGTGGATTCGGCTCCATTAAATCCATGATTAAAGCCGGCATGATAGCCGAACGGAAACGTAATCATAATCTCCCCAGCCTCTTGGGTGATCTTATTGTACGGAATGTTGTGTTGGCGCAGCACTTTAGGGCTAATCATAGTCATCTTATGGCGCAGGTAGGCGTTGCACTCCTGATAGTTTTCGGTGAAAGTTTCGTTGGCCAGCTTTTCTAGACGTCTGCCGTAAGCCGGTGGTATGGCGTACCACGTCTTGGGGGCCCCAAAGTGGAGATAGTTGATAGAATAGAGGTCCATATCCTCGGTGTGCCAGGCAAAGGAACTCTTCCACATACCGAAGTATAAGTAGGCTGTGTTTACACCGTCAATGACGATATTGTAGTCGGTATTGACAAGATTTAGAATGGTGTCCAGACGCCCAATGTTCCATACGTCAAGATCTTCGTCGCTGAGTGTTCCTTTGACATCAGCCGCGTAGTACGGCGATATATATGTAATGTTCTTCCAGTACTTACGTTCCAGATCCTCATAGTCGATATGGCGAGGGGTTTGGTGAAGCTCCGAGTTGGCCTTCTCCATAAACTGACGCAGGGTCATTTGACGGCGCTGCTGAATATTTATTTGCTGGTAAAGCCCATGAGCGCTAGGATCCACCAAAGATTAGGTTACAATTGGAGTGGGAGTACAGAATTGCACCTACCCGGTGAACACTTGGTTGATCGGGGCCGGTATGGTCATGTTGATCTTTTCAATATCGTAGCCCTCCTTTCTGGGCACCCATTCCACGGGCGGCTGTTTAATATTAGATAATAAACCCCATTGAATCTACATAAGAAAAGTAGGAATCCAAGTTACCTGAATTTTGGCTAAGCCGGCTAAATGGGCGCCGCGCGATTCCATATATTCAATATAGCCGGCAAAGTCCTTGAACTCCTCGTAACTAGGACGGAAGGTCATGATGCGCGGCACTTTTGTTTGTTCATCATCTCCATAAGAGGATCGCGTCGACATATTTTTTACACAAAACAAAAATAATTATTTCCTACCTCCCCAAAAAATGTGACCAGAGGGCAAGCTTTGAAAAACAACCAACTGTTATTTGGAATACCAAAAAAATACCAAATTTAAATAATATAACGGCTACCTATTGTATTTTTAAAAAATGGCTGTCTTTAAATTTTTTAACTTTCAAAATTTGACTTTGAAAAACGATTTCTTGAACATTTTGTACTTGAAACATGGCCTCCCAAAGGAAATTGCCACAATATAATGCAATCATCTTATTGCATTAAAAAGTATAAACTGCAAGATTTGCAGATTACACATCCCATAATAGGGTTTCCCTAGAATTTGTTAAGAATCGGATGTGCTTTCGCCTCGCGTACGCCCCATAAAACGATTACCTGGATTATTCAACGTCTCTGGCCACGCGAAATTCTGTGAAAAGTGCAAAAAACAAAAGATTACACTTGAACCAGAGTCGTTAAATGCCTTTCGCACTCAGCAACACTCGAGAAATGAGATAATAACGTAACTAAATAAAAAATACACTCCAGATTAAGAAAACGCCAAACAGTTTTTTATTATTGAAAAGATGGCCGTAAATTATTGATCTGCTTATTTACGGCCATCCTTCCATTAAAAAGAAAATCAAAGCTAACCGTAATATAATTTGCATTGGATTGGCCAGGGCGAATACTGATAGTTCTGGCAGATCTTTATTATTTTATGATTATTGCCGCGATAATGGGGGACAATCTTCGTAGCCTCGCAGGCACGACACTCCAGTTCTGGAGGCCCCGCTGTAATCAGGGTAATGGATTCTCGTGGTATCAGTATAAAAGCGAAAGGTGCACAAATCGCTCCGCAGTCTTTCTTCATTTTTTAGCCAAAGCACTCCCCGTCTTCCGGATTTTTGTGTGAAGTGAAATTGTAAATTTATCAGATATGGGTTTCGACACCTCCGAGAATAAATCAAGACGTAAGTTTATGAAAACTACACGTGTCGTGCGAGATATGAGTTGGATTTGTAGAATAAGATTTGATCAGAATATGACCAAGCCAGCGGGTATGTCCACCAGGATCGAAATCTATAAAGTACTCCAGAATATTTTACGAATAAAGTTGGTGTCAAAACCAATTTAGTCCACGCTGACAAAAAAATATTTATAGTTGCAACTTTTTTTGCAATTTTTAATATTTTTTTCTTTTTTTGGTATTGAATAAATTCAGTAATAAATTAATGAATGCATACTTTCTTCACAAAGTATTTCTATCTTTAAAAGGGTTATAATATTTTAAAAACGGTTTAAAAATAGTATTTTTCAAAAATTTCAAATTTATATGTATATTTTGTTTTTGTTAGTTTCCGGTTTATTGATCAGATAAATCAGATAATTTAGGCAATTTAGGAGTTGTAAAGATATAATTTGTCGTATAAAAAAAAGAAAACAATTATAATTGTGAAATTTAAACATACTTCCGCGTCATCGGATCCCCTGGATTTTATTTTAAAAGTTTATGGAATAATCATTCAGACGGCTGCTAATTGTGGGTTATTGATACCACTACTCCCGATGGACGATCGTGGTAATCTCTATGATGCAATCGTCTTCGTATTAAGAGCTATCGCTCTTATACCAAATCGCTCTTTCTATATTACTGGAAATAATTGTCCAAACCAGACCTACCCTAAGAGAGTCCCGCCGAAACTCAGACGTCTGACTCTATTTGCAAGGCATATCTTAGTATTATATTAGAGCTATCTGCTATTACGTTTATGGCTTTATAAAGATCAAACAGAGATAATACCTTTTGACACAAAGAACATATTTATTATCTTTTGTGTTGATTACCCAAAAGGCTTTTCGGGTGCTTAAATCGCGGTCTATATCGAATACATGGGAGACAATTAAAGAACACAAGTCTTCTTACATTCTACCCCCCACCAGAGTCTACTCCTCTGTCCCGGCGGAAACTTTTCCATACAGAGCCGAGGTTTTTATTTTCCTCATTGGCGCAGGCGTTAATGATAACAATATTTTCTATAATAAAACCAAAAGTGTCGGAGTCGTTAATTAATGGAATCTGGCACTATCAGACAATTGTTAAACGGCAATAAAATGTAAATTGAGTAAAAAAGGACCTAGAAAAAATCATACAGATGACAAACAGTTCTCACCGTCATCTCATAAAACGAGGCAGTTAATACATTTTTTAATCAGACTATTAAACGGACTGTTAAGCAACGGTCTTTGATTCGTCTCAAACATGGTCTTTAATTCGAATGCAGAGAAGATTCCTTTGCTTTACCGAGCTGTTCCTGGTTCCCTCAAGAAACTATCCTGTACAAGTCCTTTGGCTGTTAACTAAATGGGAAATATTATTAACTATTTTTATATATTTCAGCAAGTGGCTTTGGCACTCGTCATTGGCAGGCAATCCTTCTGTTCCTAGGCATGATGTTCAATTACTTCCAAAGGGTTAACATCTCCGCTGCTATTGTGCCCATGACCCAATCCACGGCCGGAGCTCCGTCCTATGATTGGAATGTGTCAGACAAGTCGCTAATCTTGAGCAGTTTCTTTTGGGGTTACGTGGTCTCTCAGGTTCCTGCTGGTAAGTAGCTGCAATTATTTATTTTTTTTGTCTAAACTAAGATTATTATTCTTAATTGACAGGTCTCTTGGCCAAGCGGTTTGGAGCCAAGCTTGTGCTAGGATTATCCACCTTGGTGGGAGGAATTTTGTGCTTTTTCCACCCTATGGCAGCCGAGAGTGGAGTCGAAAGTGTCTGTGTGTTGCGTGTAATTACGGGATTAGTCCAAGGATCCGTCTATCCATGCGTCCACACATTGCTGGCCAAGTGGGTGCCTCGCACGGAGCGTGGTTTCCTGACCACTGGCATCTACTCAGGAGCGCAGTTTGGAACAGCCGTTATCCTAGTCAGCAGCGGCTTCATCTTCGAGTCCAGCATGGGCTGGCCGGGCCTGTTCTACATTTCTGGAGGTCTAAACTTGGCCTGGGCCTTGCTTTTCTTCTGGCAAGGTGCTAACGAACCAGCCACGTCTTCAAGGATCAGTCAGACTGAACGGGAGTACATCGAGAGCCTTACAGGAAGCAACAGCGGAAGTCAGGTAGGCAGGACCACATTTTTGTATTCTAGTTTTGTTTCAAAACTGTATTTTTTTATTTTCAGTCCATGTCAGTGCCATGGCGATCCATTTTCACATCACCTGCCTTCTATGGTCTCCTGGCCGCCCATTGCGGCTTCACCTGGGGATTCTACACTTTGCTCACCGAGATGCCCACATACATGAGTCATGTGCTTCAACTCGATGTTAAGTCCAATGCCTTCCTATCCTCACTGCCGTACTTTGCCATGGGCTTGCTGTGTCTGGTGGTCAGTCCCATATCAGACTTGCTTATCAATCGAGGCACTATTACTATTACCACGGCCCGAAAGCTCTTCAACTCGATTGGCCAATGGGGACCGATGGCCTGTTTGATTGGACTCGGCTACATGACGGCGGACGAAAAATCTTGGGCCATTCTTCTGCTTACCCTGGCGGTGGGCATCAACGCTGGTTGCTCCTGCGGCTACCTCATTAACCACATCGATCTTTCGCCCAACTTCGCCGGGCCCATGATGGGTGTAACCAACGGAATCGCGGGAATAACCTCAATTGTGGCTCCTCTGGTTGTAGGAGCCATTCTGACTAACGAGGAGGATCCAAACCAATGGCGGGTGGTGTTCTTTATTACCGGAGGAGTTTACCTTCTCTGCAACACGCTATTCGTGTTGTTCGGCAAGGCAACCATCCAACCCTGGAACGAGCCATCTTCGATGTCTAGCACAGCCACCTTGCGAAATCATTTGGAAAACGATTCAAAGACCATTGCTCCCACGTCCGACAAGGACAATCGGTTCTGAGAACGTCCACCTGCACTCGAAGCCATTGACAATCTCGATAGGTGTTTATTGTTAATTGTAGATTATAAGTTATTGTATCAGTTATATTTGGATATGCTTTAGCTCTAACACCTAATATATCGGTTTATGTTTAATCTTATGCTAAGGAAGGCCCTTTATGACTGAGTTGTGCGATAAACGCTAATTAGACTTTACGATGTGTGGCACGTTTCTATGGTGATTAAGGGATTAGCGCATCTTGAATATGTCAATATGTGATCTTTCTTATCACTGTCTGCATGCTTTTGTGCTCGGCATGCTTACAAATAAATATTTACAGCCCAAAATTTGCGGAATGTTTCCTTTGGTTATCCATTGTTGACTTGGAATCGCACAGTCTTCGTCGCCTGTTAGTTGACTTTTTGCTGCAGTAACCGCTGCTCGTTCAGGCGCTGGTTGATGCGTCTCGTATTGGCCAGCGAGCGGATGATGATCCACAGGGCCATCGACCAACCGAGCAGAATTGTAACGCCCAACACAGGACCGTAGGCTCTGGCATTGCCCACTGGTATCTCGGTACGCAGCGTCGTCTTTACACGGCAATCCACATGCAGTCGCCGCCAGTTGCAGCGCTCCAGATTAGCCTTTGTAGTCGGCACGCCGTCCTTGACGATGTTTTCGTCGAACCGGCTCTCCGGCGCATTAAGGCAGTAGTGCTTATCGGGCCTGGCCACCAGATCGCTGTCAATGAGTTCGCTATCAGCAATCGGGCAGTTGAAATAGAGCTCCGGCAGGGGTATGGTCACTGTCGCAACGGATCTGTTGGGTTTAACCGGTTAATGCAAGCTTATTCAACATTCAAGATCACCATACCGCTTATCGCTGGGGGAGTGGTAGCGAAAATGCACGGGCAACTCCAGGGTTTCCATTATCTTGGGAGCTCCACGCAACAGAATGGAAAAAGTGTCGGCACGTTCTGTGGCCAACTCAATATTGACAAACTTTGGGTAGATGGCATTTAACTAGAAAGGGAATAGGATTAGTAACGAACTAATAACTGAAAGAAAACCCATGATAATTTTTAAAAACATATAAAAAACAAAAGCACATTTTTAAAACCTATTATCGGCCACCAATTAAATAGATCCAGATTAGTAGGTCAACACTGCTTTTACGTGTAAATAAAAAACTAACAAAGGGGTAGAAAAAAGAACCTAATCGCCGGCCTTCCACTTAAAGCTCACCCTCTTGAGGCGCCGCAAGTCATCCAGTTCGTCCGTGCTTATGTAAACTGATGCAGGCAGTGACTGCATTAGCACATATTCGCAATCCAAGCCCACTAGTGAATAGTCAAATCTTATACGATATGTTAGTGTCCTTAATAAATAAAATATACGTTAAAAATTACTTCAAATCACAACTTTGAATGGATAAACCTGTGCATGCCGATTCGGTCCATATCTATTTTTACAACAGGAGCTTCCAGCATGTAGCAACTGACGCTGCGTCCCATGAGTACCAACACTAGGATGAACGCGAAAATTTGTTTGATTTCTTTGAAGAACATTGTTTTAAAGATAAATGAACTTTAAAAGCAAATGAAACACAGCACTATTTGTAAATAAAAACATTGGTTTGATGTTGCCACTTTTCATAAATTTATTTGGGGTTACCATATTGGGACAAAATTACGCGCTAATTTTTAAAATACTTCTTATCAAGACTTTTGTTGTTTGTACAAGGCAGATCCTTCACGTGCCAGTTTGTCAGCCATTTCGTTGCCTTGGATTCCCTTATGGGCTTCTACATAGTTCTGGTAGAATTCTTTAGGTATTATTCCGATTTTGATGAAATATGTGAACTATACTTACCCACTTTACTTTAAGACTTTTATTTTGAAGCAGTGCGTCCAGTTCCTTGAAGTCCACAACGTTTTTTACTGGCTGATTGTTCGCCAGCTTCCAGCCGCGCCTTTTCCAATCCGCCACCCACATAGTAATAGAATTGATGAGAAACTGAGAATCCGTACTGATGGCCAGTTTTTCGATTCCCAAATCCAAAGCTGTTTTGATGGCATGAATGGCCGCCTGTATTTCACCCACATTATTTGTGACACGTCCTTGGACCGGCTTAGCGGCATTTCTATATACAAAGAAGCAACAAGTTGCTTAAAAGGAACTTTCAATTGCCAAAAAACACTTACAGTCTGTGATTGGGTCCAAAATAAACGCCATATCCTGCAGAAGCTCCTGGACGACCATTGTTAATGCAAGATCCATCAGTATATACAATGACATAGCCCTCTGCGTCTATTTCGAACTGAAAGGCGCCCACGTGTTTGATACCTGCGGCTTCTGAAATCTTAGATGCATGTTTAGGAACTTTGTTTTTCCGATCCTGGTCCGCATTGGCCCGCCGTTTTCTGTTGGTTGCTTCTACCTAAACGGAAAAAACTAATTCAATTTGGATGTACATGTAAGTTTTGGATTACAAATACCAGGGTGTCACTGCTGGATGGTCGTGGATCTCCTTCTACCTCATTCATAGCTGCATTCTAAAATTAAACAATAAAATATACACAAAATAACAATTGCCTATATGAGTACAATTCTCTAAAGCTCACCAGCTCATCTTCCGCCAGATCATGATCTTCCTCAGGCCAGGCTTCGGTGTACTTAGGTTTTTCTACCTTGGTCCGCCAACTCGCTGGCTGCGACTGCTTTACACCAAGAGGAACGGACAATTCCTTGGGTGCGTACGAACTGTTCGGATTTACAAACAGTTCCGCCTCCTGTCGAGTTTTGAACTTCTTGTACTTGGCGTTCTGGAATCCTTTGACCTGCTCCTCGCACTGCGCCCACGTCTCGTATACTCCAGCTTTCCGGCCGCTTGCCACGGCGTAAAAAGCCATTTTACAGGTTTGTACTGTTTACAAAAGCTTGGTAATAGGGCGAACCAATAGTTTTAAGCAGATTTATTTCTTACTTGCTTGGATTCCAAAAGGTAAACACCGGGAAAACAGCATCGCGATTGGTGTGCCCATGGCACAGAAAAAAACAATACAATTTTTAAAAAATACCAAATATACATATGTGTGTATGTCGAGCCAAATTGGAATGTAAACAAATGTCTAGGGTTGCCAGGGTAGCTTCACCGCAAAGCAAAGGAGTGGATAGACGAATTTCAAGACGGTTTTTGGAATAAACTTTGTCGAATTAATCGCAATGTATCAACCACCCTTGCCGCCTCCTCCGGTCCAGCCGCCTCCGCCGCCGCCACCACCACCAGAAGGCGAAGAAGCACTTTCGCCACCCGGCGTTAATGTGGATATCAAACCATTTAAAAGTTCCGACTCCAGTTACGTGCAACTTCCGGACACGCCTTCAACCAGTTCCATCTACAGTCCCTACCAGCAACCGGCATATGGATACGATGGATACCAATATCAGGAGACACCCCCGCAGACCTACTACAACCAGGAGAGTTACCAGTACCAAGGATCAGGAACTCCCGGTCCATACTCCTACGAGGGCTACAAGTACGGGGATCAATCTCCTGCCTATACTCCAAACTACCGCCCTCCCTACCAAAGATACAACTCCCACAGCTCCGGCCAGGGCTATCACCATCACCAGAACTACAACCAAAGTTACAATAAGAGATTCGACTCTCGCCATGGATATGAACCACGTCACGGGCATGGACACGGTCACTATGCGCACCGACCGCCTCGAGGATCAGATTATAGCCACTATGGGTCGTCAGCGAACAATGATTACTCCTCCCGTGGCTATCGCGAGAGGGAAAGGGAGAGGTCCACTTCTGCGGATAAGCCCAAACCCAAGGCAAAGGCTGAAACTGAAAGGGACCGGCTGCTGCGCCAGTGGTGCTCCAACTTCTGCGAGAAGCCAGAGGATTATGTCAAGAAGATGAATGCCCTTAGCGAAATGGAGGCTCCCGCCGAGTCCTGGGTTCGGTCCTCACCAGCCGACCCATACTACGAACGCATACAGACTGCTGGTGAGAACAAGGTCCAGGGTCGCGTGCGTCTGCAGAAGTTATGCGATCTCTTTGACGAGGAGCTGCTCCAGCGCGCAGAACGCGTTCGCCGGACCTTGCCAGTTTATGTTCCATCGCCAAGGAAGGCGCGTCGGCGTGTCTGCAAACACAAGCACAAGGCCGAAGCTTGTTCATCGTCCTCTTCGTCTGACGGGGACTCGGATGAGGATGCCTTCAAGATAGAGCAGGATTGCTGCATGGAGGAGTTGTCACGCAAGCTGAAGCATCCTCAACGGGTACACACGGATCTCTGGCACAACGATGCCGGCGAAATGAACGACGGGCCGCTGTGTCGCTGCTCAGCGAAATCCCGACGCATCGGCATTCGTCACGGGATCTATCCAGGCGAGACTGGCTATAAGTTGTGCGACCGCAATAGCAACAACGCCGGAAAGTTGTATCACTACCGGATAAGCATTTCGCCACCAACGAATTTTCTTACCAAGACACCAACTATAATCAAGCACGATGAACACGAATTCCTCTTCGAGGGCTTCTCTTTGCTCTCCCACGTGCGACTCACCGATCTTCCTGCCTGCAAGGTAATTCGATTCAACATCGAGTACACCATTGAGTATGAAGAAGAGAAGATGCCGGAGAACTTTACCATCCACGAGTTGGATCTTTTCTGTAAGACTTCCTTTTACTTTCAAGTTTAAACTACTCTCTGAATATGGGAATTCTTTTTGATTCTAGTTAAATACCTGTTCCATGAGCTGCTGGAGCTGGTGGACTTTAACCTAATGCCCAACGTGCCTGATGGTTCCTCGGAAGAGAGTTGCCCAGCTTTCCATTTCCTACCGCGGTTTGTCCGCGAGCTGCCGGACAACGGCAAGGAGGTACTGGCTATGTGCGAGGTTCTGCGATATCTCCTGGACAACTCTGCCCAGCTGGTGGAGCGCCAGCAGCTGCTGCATCTTAACCAGATCAGCCAGCACGAGTGGCAAAACTACGTGGACTTTATCAAGGGCATGCTGGTCACAAAACCCGGCTACAAGCCCTGCTCCCTTCGCGTCGATCAACTGGACAGGAACAACTCGGACCTACCGGAGTGCGTTGACCCAGAGACTGGCATCTCCCACCCGGCCATTGTGCACTTTGGGATCCGCCCGCCTCAACTGAGTTACGCTGGCAATCCAGAGTACCAGAAGGCTTGGCGGGAGTACGTAAAGTTCCGGCACCTGATGGCGAACATGTCCAAGCCATCCTTCAAGGACAAGCGCAAACTTGAGGAGAAAGAGCAGCGCCTTCAAGAAATGCGCACTCAGGGACGTATGAAGCGCAACATTACGGTAGCTATTAGTTCGGAGGGATTCTATAGGACTGGCATCATGTGCGACATTGTGCAGCACGCTATGCTGGTGCCAGTGCTGACCGGCCATCTACGCTTCCACAAGTCCCTGGATCTGCTCGAGGAGAGCATCGGATACCGCTTCAAGAATCGATACCTACTGCAACTGGCCCTGACTCATCCTTCGTACAAGGAAAACTACGGCACTAATCCGGACCACGCCCGCAACTCTCTAACCAATTGCGGCATACGGCAGCCCGAGTATGGAGACCGAAAAATACATTATATGAACACCCGAAAGCGCGGTATCAATACTCTGGTTAGCATCATGTCCCGTTTCGGCAAGGATCACGAAACTGTCTCAAACATTACCCACAACGAGCGCCTGGAGTTCTTGGGCGACGCCGTAGTGGAGTTTCTCAGCTCCATTCATTTGTTCTTCATGTTTCCCGAGCTGGAAGAAGGTGGCCTTGCCACCTACCGAGCCGCCATCGTGCAAAATCAGCACCTAGCCCTACTGGCCAAAAAGCTTCAGCTGGAAGAGTTTATGCTCTACGCTCACGGCTCAGATTTGTGCCATGAGCTGGAACTGCGCCACGCCATGGCCAACTGCTTTGAAGCTCTGATGGGAGCTCTACTTCTGGATGGCGGAATCAAGGTGGCGGATGAAGTTTTCACTGATGCGCTCTTCCGCCAGGACGAAAAGCTGTTGAACATTTGGAAGAATCTACCAGAACACCCGCTTCAAGAACAGGAACCACTCGGAGACCGCGGATGCATTGAGTCTTACCGCGTTCTGAAGGAGCTGACCAAATTCGAGGAGTCCATCGGCATCAAGTTTAAGCACATCCGTCTGCTGGCCCGTGCCTTTACCGATCGATCCATCGGCTTCACCCACTTGACACTTGGATCCAACCAGCGTCTAGAGTTCCTCGGCGACACCGTGCTCCAGTTAATCTGCTCGGAGTACCTTTACCGTCACTTTCCTGAGCATCATGAGGGTCATCTGTCTCTGCTCCGCTCATCCCTGGTGAATAATCGAACTCAGGCGGTGGTGTGCGACGATTTGGGGATGCCTCAGTATGCCAACCCGAAAACGGATTTGAAAACAAAGGACAGAGCCGATCTCCTAGAAGCTTTTCTGGGGGCCCTTTACGTTGACAAGGGGCTGCTCTACTGCGAACAATTCTGCCATGTATGTCTCTTCCCGCGGCTGCAACTTTTCATCATGAACCAGGACTGGAACGATCCCAAGTCTAAGCTCCAGCAGTGCTGCCTCACCCTGCGAACTATGGACGGCGGAGAGCCGGACATTCCCTACTATAAGGTGGTGGAAGCCAGCGGTCCAACCAACACTCGCGTCTACAAGGTGGCCGTCTATTTCCGATCAAAGCGCCTGGCTACCTCCAACGGCTCCTCCATCCAACAGGCGGAAATGAATGCCGCCAAACAGGCTCTGGAGAATTCGCGGGACCTCTTTCCGCAACTGGATCACCAAAAACGAGTGATTGCCAAGAGCATTAAGAAGCAAACTGGCAATGAGTTGGACGGTGAGCTGGGCGACCGCCAGCAGCAGGATGAGAAGATTAAGAGGCCCAAATACGCGGCACCGCTTCAGGACGAAAGCCATTTGCCCAAGCAGTACCGCATGCACGAGAACATCTCCAGTGACGAACTGCCCGATGACGATGATATGGAAAGCACAGCTCGCAAGAGTCCAACCCGTAAGTAGCTACGCAAGATGTTCCAAGGAAACTGTCTTAAATACATATAATTTTCAGTTCCTCCGAGAGCTAGAGGTAGTAGTAGTAGCAGCAGCAGTAGCAGTAGCGATAGCGATGATCCCTCATCGCCCAAGAGACGCCGCCGCGTTCGGAAGAGTGCATCCTCTTCCCCAATGTCTTCATAAGGATGCCATTCTTATATATTCCTACATATAATTTAAATAATAATCAACCAAAGGGGTTAAAAAGACGCATAAAATTCTAAAAGAAAAACGAAGCATGTTGAATTTTGAAAAGAAATATCCAACAAAGTTTCCTATTTAGCTTTAATTTGTTGGCTTCAAAGCTTGAATGATTTTTTTTAAAGAAAATATTTGGTTTTCTGTGAACAAAGGACGATAATTAAACAAGAAAGTCTTCGTTTTGCTTTTGGACACTGCTTTACCCATACGCTACTTTGAGAATTAGCTCCTAGAGTAATCTCCTTTTCGTTTTTCAAATAAACATCCCAAACCCAGATAAGCCAAAGTAAACGCTAACGCTGAGTGAAATAACTGAATCGAATTTTGGTAAATATTTTTGCCAATTCAAACTTAACACAAATGCTCTTCGTACAAAACTGCGAAAAATGAGCCCAACAACGCGATCTCACATCCAGCGCTATTTGAAGAGGGATAGCCGCCGGCCCAGACCGGAACGTCCTGATCCGCTTACCGCACTCTTTATTTGGCTCATCTCTGGCATGTTTTGTATGTCGCCTCGGGCCGCCACCGACGGCGCGGAGCTAAGAAGGCGCTGTGCCACGCGCTGGATATCGGCGGCCGTTACATTCTCTGCGTGAATTTAAGAATATAATTCAATATTAGAATGTACAAGAAATTATTGTAAATGATCTTACCAATCTCTTTAATGAAATGCTCGGGCCGTTTGCGGTGACCCGTAACTAACACCTGACGGCCAACGTCCTCGAAGACGACGGGCCGCGACTCCAGATTCATCAGCAACATCGACTGCAGCTGAATCTTCGAGCGCATCAGTTCTTCTCGACCAGGTTCAGCAGCCATTCCCATCATTTCACGGGTGATAACCTCCACCATATCGTTCATGTGCTGTGGCGGAGCACTGCCGTGGATGCAGAAGACTCCGGTGTCAGCGTAGGCGTGGTTGTAGGCAGTGGCGCTGTACATCCAATGGTAGCGATTTAGAACCTTGGTGTATAGTCGTGAGTACATTCCTTTGCCGGGTCCACCGGCAGAGAACGAGCCTCCGCCGCCCATCATGATGTTTAAGACGCACAATGGCACAAAGTCCTTGTCCTGGTGTGAGCAACCCTCAAATCCGAGCACTACGTGGGCCAGTTCCGGCAGGCCAGCAGCCGCATAGATGGGAATCTCGCACTGCTCCTAATGGGTGACTCAGTTATCACCAAGCTTTCATTTGTGGATTCCAGTTACTAACCTTTACCAAGCCGCCCGTATACTGTGCGATAGACGTATCTACTTGCGTTGGTCCCGAATCTTCTAACGCCTCGGTCTCCCAAATGGCCTTATCCTCTACAAAGTACTTTTGCACATGCTCCACCAGTTCTTCATGGTCAACCTGCATCAGATTTTCCTAAGTTATCAACATTCAAACAATATATGAAACAGACTTACGCCCACGCCGGCAATGACCATTCGCTTGGGCGAATGGTGGTGCTTGAGGTAGTTCATCAACACCTTGCGATCGATGTGGTCCAAATTCTCCACCGGACACAACTTCGGCAGCCCCAAAGTGTTGTCCCTATAGGCTGCCGAATGAATCATGTCCATCAGAATGGGCTCCTGCTCTGGTCGCATGCCGAGTGTTTCCAGTTCGAAGTTGACAGCGCGCCGCGCCAAGCTCACCTCCTGTTCGCTCAGTGTGGGCCTCAGGGTAACATCCGCCAACAGGCGGGTTACAGAGTCGATGGCTCGGCTGTCGATGCTGGCGGCGTAGATGAGCGTATCCCGTGAGCTCTGGCAGTCGCAAATGCCGCCGTTCTTTTCCAGCTCCTTCAGAATGGCGTCTTTGTTGGGGAAATTTATTGTGGACTATGAACGAGTATCAAGATAAGCTTCAACTACTCAAAGTCAGGAACTTGATACTTACATTGAAGGCCAGCTTCTCCAGGAAATGTGAGACACCGCTTGGGTAGGCTACTTCGTAGCGTGGACCGGAATCGATAACCAGACCCACGGTACAGAATTGCCCGTACCGCGGCTCCGACGCGATCCGCAGCCCGTTTGGAAGCGTAGTCACCTTTGTGACGGCGCTTTCCGCCATCGGTGACGCATAAACAGCTTCAGGAAGATTGGGCAGTGGGTCAGTGAGGGGCGGCAGGTGCGTCACAATTTCCTTGGACGGCGTGTTCACCGTGTGGGGCCCATCGGTGCTTCTCACTCCGCCGGTGATCTGCCCGATGCCGGTGCCGCTACCCACTTCGTCGCCGCCGGGTGTACTCACCTTGGTGGCGAAACCCCTTGGTAACCTGTAATGATGGGGGTTATTAACGTTAGTTAATTTCGCAACTTATCCCTTAATCCCATAAGCCACTAATCAATCGGCTAGACCCTTCATAACCAATGATTCTTACGTGCGCCAAGAGTGCCTAAGCTTCCTAAGCATGCCAATGCTACGCGCGTTCATATTGTGCTGATGATTTGGCTTTGGTACCGGTATTTACAAATTTAAACGATTTATATTTGAATTTGATTCAGAAACATATTTTTTCTTTTTTAAACGAGTAATTTTGGAAGAAAAAAGAAATGTTGATCTCTTCTTCTTCCTCTCTTGATTTAAGTGTCAGTCACACAGAATTTCTTCACAGTGTTGCCATCGCGGTTTGGAGGTGCCAACTTGCTTTTCTTTTAATTTTCCGTTAATTTAAGCTTTCTACTTTGTGCCCGCTATCAAAGAAATCAAATATTCTTTCTTTCCTTTAATGATTTCTATCCCTATTTCTTTGAACTTTTTGTTTTAATGCAGATCAAATTTCAACGTGCAGATCAACGTTATATTTATTAGATGAATTCAAAAAATTTTCATTACACAAAAGTTATACCGAAATTTAATTTTGCTTAGTCAAAATTAAAGCGCCGCTTTCCATCGAATCGGTAGCCATAGGCTGCTGCGTTTTTGGTGTCCACTAGCGCAGGATTTCGATGCTTAAAGAAGCTTCCATGGGAGTGGGCGGGACGCGAAGCGCTGTTGGGGATTCCTTCCTTTTCACGGGGATAGAACGCCTCAAACATGCCCTCGGGCGGAAGGCAGCATTCGGCTATCTTAGGATCGTTGGGGTCATAGGCAAACACAACTAGATGAAGGGCACCCAGTAGGAATACAAAAAATGTCTTGAGCAGTTTCGTAATTAAACTCATTATTTTTACAATAACACACACAAGCTCCAGGTGACTTTTACTTTTCAAGAGCCCGTATTAAAACCAGTTTCAGTCTGATGCTGGCGTTTCAGGCTTGGGGATCGAACTGAAGTGAATTCGATTAAAGCATTCATTGTTATACGGATTCGCGGTATTTGTTTTGCACTTTTACCGATTCAATAAGGAAATATAGTACCAGGCGTATAATACCGAACAATTTTTAAGCTTATTTTTAATACAACATTTTACTCTGTTTTTTTCGTAAAGTTGAGAAAAAGTTTCTATAATTTATAATAAATAAGAAAATAATGTTTCATATACAAGTTGTTTATAAAAGTTTGTAATGTTTTGATGTTAATGTAGACATTTCATAAAGAAATAAATTCTTTTCATAAAGCTTTTCTTTTAAAGCTTAAAATATTTTGCGCCAAATTTGTAAGCTGATCTGGCAGCATAATACCGGGAATTTCCAAAAAAATGCAGCACTATCTGGCACCTTTTTATCTCATTCCTTTGGCTATCCCCGAGTTACTTCTTCAGAATAAGTTTCATCTCACACTCGCGAAACTTATTGCGTATTTTTCAACCTCATTCGCAAAAAAGTATTTAATATTTTACATTAATCGAATTTATTTTATCATGGCATCTTTGGGTAATGAAAATAAACAAGAGGTGTCCGATTTAGCCGGTAAGTTTTAACCCCCTCTGTCTATCTACGTATCTATGTATCTTTTTGTTTACAAATTTGACAGACGAGATTACCTTAAGAAAATTGTTGTAATTTCTTGTTTTAATTCCATTTCTCAATAGTTTAAAACCTTACAATAGCTCTGATACATGAGAAAGAATTTCTAAGAAAAAAGGAAATCGTACAACTAATCACAATCTCCTTATCAACTTGTGGATTCAAAAGAGCAAATTAATGCCAACATGTATACATGTATATAGATTGTGTGTATACATATATAAATATTTGTTTAAGCTTACACTCTTCTTAGGAATAATAAATATGGGAATCCCCTTTAAATCGAATAAGGTATAGCAATAATTTTTTTGTATTGCAGAACCAGTACGAAATGGTGAATCATTACCAACACCACTTCCTCCGCCGGAGTACTTAGCTCCTACCATTGCTACAGCTGCATTAGCCGGGGGGGAGCAAGGAGGACGCGCCCTCCTCTTGGAAAATGGAGTTTCCGACCCCGATCACACTTTTGCGGACAAAAGCCTTACCTTTGATGATCAAACGATTCGAAAAGGCTTTATCCGGAAGGTTTTCGGCATTGTCCTGGTGGGTATATTTTCGAACAAAGTATGAACAAATTGATAGATTATCCTTATATATTTCTTAGGTGCAACTACTCTTCACCTGTGGCATCATCGCTTTCTTTATTTTCCACCAACCCACGAAGAGGCTTGTCCAGAGGTATCCCCAAGTAATGCTGGTGGCCGCAGTCATTAACATCATCGTCCTGATCATGATCAGCTGCTTCGAAACTTTCCGCCGCAAGCATCCTGTCAACTTGATTTGCCTGTCCATCTACACCTTCACCATGTCTGTGCTCCTGGGAGTCGCTTCCAGTTTCATGGACGCGAACGTGGTACTCGCTGGTGTGGGAATTACCGCGATACTGGTGACCGCACTGTCCCTGTACGCCATTCAAACGAAATACGATTACACCGCAGCTCGGGGAGTCTTTTTAACTATTCTAATCGGTTTTATTGTCATTGCCTCGATGGAGATTTGGATACCCAGTCTCGTTACAAACCTTCCAATCGCCTGTCTAATGGCCATATTCTCGTGCTTTTTCCTAATCTACGATCTGCAGATGATTATCGGCGGTAATCACATGTACTCGTTCAATCCGGAGGAGTACGTGTTCGCCGCCCTGACCCTATACGTTGACATCGTACGTATTCTCGTTTATGTTCTCAGGATTCTCCAAAGATTCAATTAGAGCATTTTGGCTTCCAGTTTTTATATACGAAAGTATTATGTAACTATGCATTTTTATTTGAAACTCAATGTGCCATGTCACGAAAGAAGAGTGATTACATTAAATGTAACTGCTTGATAACCGACGAAAATCAAAAACAGGATTTTATACTATTTGTAATTCAGAATTTTATTAATTAACTTAAGTTTTTGGCTCATCTCGGTCTAAAATATTACATTATATTTGTATGTTTTACGTTTTAATGCTGTATATGCGTGTGTATGTGTGAGTAACTATAAAATACAATCACAAAATGTATGCCATCGATGATCTTATGTATTTACAGTAGAGTGGGGCGGGAGGCAGGGAGGGCAGTTGACTAAAAGGGGGCAATTATCAATACGACGATGCGAAGCGACACCACGGGAACACAGTCACAAAAATATTAGTTTGTAGATTTCGTTAAATAAGTAACTAGGGCTTGACTAAATTGTTATAAGTATTGATAAGTTTGCACATCCTACGCTACGCTACGTTACGCTGTGCTCTGGTCTGATAATTTCTGGTCTTGTCTTGGACATCATACATCATATATATATTCTATCGATCTCTGCCACAGTGTAACAATACTTCAATGAGGACTTCCGTCTGGGGTCCTTGCTGTTCCGCTGGCTCCTGAGTGTGTCTGTCTCTGTGTTATTGAGTTTTTATAGAAAACTTTGTATCAAATGCTTTGGCTATTTCCGCTCCTGGACATCAGATCGATCGTCTCCTCAATCGTCCGTGAAGGGGTGATCGGATGTCTCGCTGCTGTTGCGCCGCCTGCTCTCCAGAATACGGGTCGCCTTCTCCAGCGTCTCCTTGTAGAATATGTTCCAGCTGCTGTCGCTGGGGAGCGAGTACATCGAGTTGTCCAGGTGCCAGGTGAGACCTAGGACAATGTTGAAAGCGGACTCATCATAGCCATGGCAGCCAGAGTACCGATACGATGGCTTCTTGTTGAATTTGCAGCCATTCGACTGGGCACCTGCAAAAAAATTAATTCAAAAGCATTAGTATACATTTCTTTCAGTGCTTACAGTATCAAAATATTTACGGAATAAATTGGAATTGTAGACCAAATTAGATAAACGATTAACTGGAAAATGCGGCTTATCAAATACAACCATTATAATTATGCCTCAGTCGAGTGATGAAATGGAAACGGTAATGGTGTCAGAGAAACCAGAAGTCCCTGGCATCGCCATACAATGTGAACTGATTTCACCCAAAGGACACTATCCCAAGTCCTATGCATTCGATATACAGGACATTCAAGTTCGCAGAGGCCTAGTGCGCCGGGTCTATGGCATTTTAATTGTAGGTAGTGCCAATATTAACCATAAATTATTAAAATAATTATTTATTCAATTGCAGGTTCAGTTGGCCTTCACATTGCCATGCATTGAACTACTGCTGCGGTATCCTCTGCCATATTTCGGCGTAACTTCCCTCATATGCTTCGTGATTAGCTGTTCCCTGTATAGTTGCTTTTATGTTTGGCGGGATTGGCGCCGACACGCTCCTGGCAACTATTTCGTCCTAATACTAACCACCCTAATTGGGTCCTTCAACCGCAGCTTGTACCTTATGAGCTTGGTTCGCAATAGATGGGTAAGTCAGACAAACCATCTCAAAGCTCATGGTCCTCACTTGAACTTCCAGGTGTATGCCTATCCTGTAATTCTTATCCTGGAAATCTTGGCCCTAATACTGTACTCCGTCCAAGAAAAATTTCGCTTCACCCAGATACGAGGGATCTACGTTATAGGCCTGGTTTTTGGGTTCTTTCTGCTGCTTGCCAACTACTTGGGCTGCATGATGGAGGTGTTCTCGGGCATGGCCTGTACCATCGAGGCCTGGTACGTCATCTACGACACCCACTTGATGTTGAGCGGCCGGCACGGATACCATTTGCAGCCGACGGAGTATGTGTTTGCCGCATGCAACATCCACTGCGACGTGCCCCGAGGACTGTGGCGACTAATTAAGATGTTCTTCATCAACAAAATCATTGAAGCCATCCGAATGTTTCGTGATTGCTTCCGGACGGAAGTGTGCTAGTAGGCTTGGAAGCCCTCTTTTTTCAACCTGTTTGGACCTAATTTCAACTGTCAAAATTTTTGAATAAATTCATTCGAAATCTATTCTCGAACCATGCCTATATTTTTCCGTGCCTTCTCCAGGTCGTCTATCCGTCCCATGGTCGGGAACCAGCAGAAGAGCTATCTTCGATGGGCTTACCCGAAGATTAGAGAAAACACTCCGCCCAATAGCCCAGTCCCTGTAGGTATTTTCGAGGAAGACCCGACCCTCTACAAAAGACCACTTTGCCGTAGACTGTTGGGTGGTGCCGAAAAGCTAAAGATTAAATCCTGCATGGCTGAAAGCTCGGCCGGCCTTCATTGCGAGAGAGTCCCAACCTGGGCCAATATTCAGAAGCACATCGGCACCCTAGAAAAGACATACAATAGAAATATGAGGGAAACCCCTGGACAAAGAAATTCAAATAAAGATCTAGAACCTTTGTCAGAACACATAGATATATTTTATGATCAAATTACTGAAAGGAAGAAGAGGCCTAGGTCGCGTAGAACCCCAGCTAGGGCAACATTAAATATTCCCCAAACTCGCCACCATCTGAGCTTCTTGCTCACACGGCTAGCATCGAGGAGGAGGAGCAGGTCTCATAGGAGGAGTCCCAAAGATCCTTCAATTATTCCGGCACCACCTCCAACTATAAGAAAATTTCTTATGCAAAAGCCCAGAAGAAAGCGTCCAGTTCGATTTTCCAAGACAGAAGGTATAGAGGAATCTTTCCAAGAACCTCCACAGAAAACTAAACAACCAAAGAGAAAAAAGAAGCAAGTAGTAAGAGATGATACTATCCTTCCAGAGGAGGAACCCTTCTTACCTCGACAAGCTATGAAAAAGTTCCGAAAAAAAAGGATCTATCAAGCCTTAAGGCCTCCTCTTAAAATACCCACATCTTCTGCAGAAGATCCAAGGACAGTTTACAGAAAGGCAAAGCGGTCTAGAAATAAAGAAAGAGAGTTGGGATCAACGGACTTGGGCGATGGGTCTGAGGGTGTGGGTTCCACAATTCCAACAAAGTTGAACAAAAAACAGAGAAACCCTGATCTTTTGGAAGAAAATGTGGACAAGGAAAAAGAAGAACCAAAGAAATCGTCCTGGTTATTCGAAAGTGATGCCACGATGTCACAGAACATGGGCACAAACCGGAGCTCCGTTGGAATAATTAGAAAGATGTACACCCGAAGGAGGGGAAAGAGCAGGCAGTTGTCCTCGGATACAGTCCAAGGGCCACCAGGCCAGAAACTCATCAGAAAAGCTAAGCCGGAAGGAATGAACCCAGTACTGTCCTCACAAACTAGCCTAAAAAAACGGAAATTAATAAGGAAAAGGTCAAGGGCCGATGCTTCCGTTCTCTGGGGACCCAAGAGATCGTCTTTCAAGCTGGGCGAGGGGCTGAAGATTAAGGACTATGGTCTCAGAAAAGTGAAGAAAGCCTCGCCTCCGAAAGAAGAGGAGGATGTGAAAAACGGGGATGCTCGGACTACTCGTCGGTCCTTTCGCACCATGGACCGTGCCAGTATCACTTCGGCCAGAAGCGCCGCCAGTGACATGTTCGGCCGGCTGAGCAAGTCGTTCGATGCCTCCATTGGCTCCAAGGAAGATGTTGAAACTCGGCATTCTTGGAACAGTGTGGAGGAAACCACCGGGGACGTAGTCGTCCCTAATAATTGGGACTCGCCCGTGGACAACGATACGTTTTTCGAGAAGATTCGGCGAAACCTGATCATGATGGCCAACCAAAACAAGCCCACCCTAAGGGAAGACGTATCTTTTTCCAGCAAAATGTCCCAGGATGTCGCGCTGAACATGTATGCCTATCCCACACGAATCGATGTCCAGGATGCCACGGAGGCTAATCCGAAGAAGAGTTTGAAAAAGGGGCAGAAGCGTAAGAAGCGACGCCGAGTGCCCCTGGTAGATGCAGATACTCAGACCAAGTGCGTCTGTGAAATCTGCCACTATCTGCAGAAATTCAAGCCGGAAAAGCTCCCGCCCATCTACGCCGAAGTGGCTGCAAGGCAAAAGAATCTGAAAAACCGGCAGTACTATATGGAAAATTTGAGGTACAAGAACTTTACAATATTGGATACCGATAAGCCGGAGAACCCAGACGATTGCCGTCCCATCACTGCACCAGTAGGCAACATCCAGCCCGATTATCATTCCAAGCACACCGATCCATTAGGGGATGACGTCAAGTGTAATGGTAAGAATATTTATATGAAACGATCAATGTCAGCATCGTACTGGAGCCTTAGTAATGCCTACGCCAATAAAAGCCGCATACTTGACGACTACAAAGCCCCCAATGTATCAAAGGTATTTCAGCGCTGTTATCGTACCCTTTTCGAGGCGGACCAGCAGACGACGAACTTATCGGCGACCGACTGCCAGTATCAGGAGAAACTTTGCTGTACTTAAGGGAATATTTATTGGACTCTCCCCACTTGATGGGAATCCCTGTAAAGACGATCTAATTCCTTTACTGGGATTCACTTCAGGTGATGGAGAGAGGATATAGTTAAGAGGAATGGAGATCCAAGACTACTCCCCCGAAGGCTAGTCCTCTGCCAATGAATCCAGCACTTATTTCCAACGATTTTGGTTAAACAACTACAGGATTCATTGGGTTGTGGCATAAGCCAGTGCAGGGCTTCGATAAAGAGCATGAATATTACCCACAATTTAGTTTGGGAAATTCCAGGTCGAATAAAAATGAATTGTTTGAGGAAAACCGAAAAAGCCAGTGTCACGTTTGCCATCAATCCCAATTCAGATGGTAATTACACGAGTTACCCGATGTGAGTGCCATCAACGGAATGCCGTGCAAATGGCGGTCATTAGCCCACCGACCGTCCAACCGAAATCCCTTGGGTCGGAGGTGGCGCGAATGTGGGTTTGATTGATTTATATTGCCAGGAGACACGGGAGCGCCCCCGCACTCTGCACACACATGCCTAATGGCTGCCCACCTTGGCATCCCGATTGCCCCCCACAATACTCACCGATTGGATCGATGCACTCCTGGGTGAGGCAACACTTCAGCCAGGGCAGCAGGATCTTCTCCGTGACGAAGAGCGTGTCGGCGAAGAAGACCACATCCAGGTCCACCATCCGCAGGAAGATGAAGTTCTCGGACTCGGACTCGAAGTACTCGAACATCTTGGGGTGCGTCAGCGAGGAGACCGCCGTCACGGTGTTCCAGCCCAGAACACCGTGCACGGATGCCTGTTTTTGCATCTCCCGGAAGTCGTGGTGGCTGCCGCGCACACGCATGTGGTTCTCCATGAAGAGCACCGACCTGGCCCGCATCAGGGCATCCTTAATCACGATGGGACGGAAGGCGTGCGTCCGTTGGTCAGCGACGAAGGAGGGGAACTCGGACAGGTCGTAGGTGATCACCGAGCACCGGCTGCTGTTGCAGTAGGCGCCCAGGGCCCGCAGCTGCTCCTCGGACACGCCCAGGTCGTAGATGAGCAGGCTCTCGCTGGGCAGCTTGGAGGCGATGTTCTGGGCCAGCAGGATGGCCGAGGCTGTTTGGCCCTCCAGGACATAGGTGACAACGGTGAAGTTGCTCTTGGTGCCATTGTGCGGCGTGGTGATCCTCTTCCTTTGGCCCCGCTGCTGGCCCCCGAAGGTGATCGCCTCCTGGGACCGTTGCCCGCCTCGCAGGTCGCCCAGCTCCTGCTCCGCTCTGGTGGCGGAATTGGCATCTGGCCTGTGGTGTTTGGATGACTTGTCCGCCGCGTTCGGATGCTCGCCCTGCTGCTGATCCTGGTCCTGGGCATCTTTCGACGACGTGAATCCCAAGAGTAGCAGATATTTGGGGTCTATTTCAAGTTTCTTTCGTTCCAAACCAACGCGCAGGTTTTCCTGCGAGGAAAATAGAAGAGTTAGGACATTAGACAGGTTTAACAAAAAGGATACTCCTATTAGGAGTTCAAGGATCTCAGCCGTGACTTGCAATTGTAATCGATTAGACTGCTATCATGTCCCAAATTGAATAAAAGACTGTTAACTGTTGGGAAAATAACGCCACAATCCTGGCAACCATACTGCATGCTCAGTGAACCAAATTCGCCTCGTCATGGGAGCGATTTGGTGGCGACACATATTAGACCCCGCCTGGTGGCAACACACATGTGAAAAATCTTTCCATTACGGCCCTCCAGCACGCCTCTGTCCTACCCCGGCCTCGACCGGGCCAAGCCAATAACCCAGGCCAGAAACCCTTTGGTATGGCGCCGCACAATAAACATTCTCGTGCCGATGTCAAATTCCTGTCTATTATTTGTTTCGGCTGTGGCCAGAAGTGAGCGTGCCACATGCTCCAACTCCGGCTCCTGCTCCTGCTCCTGCCACGAGCTGGTGTCAGGTGTGCCGTGCTGCGGCAGTTTTTGGAAAGGTGGTCGGGGAAAAGCACAAATTAACCTGCGGCATAAGGCGGCCGGGCCGACAAAGGCCCAGGCCAGGAGCTGCCAAACCCAAATCGCATGACAACCCGGCCCCGGCAGTAGCAACCAAAGTGCACTCCAAAAATTACAATAAAAAGATTTCCAAATAAAAGAATGGGCTTTCCACTATAACTGCTTCAAATCTGTTTATTTTCTTTGAGTGTATCCGTGCCACAGTGGGGCAAGGCTCTGCGAAGGCGTGGAGGCGGGTGAAGTCAAGTGGGTGGACAAAACAGAGACCCCGCCCACCAGCTGACACTCTCATCACCGTTTTGTTAACAAACAACGACAGATACTGGCTGATGGACGATGGCTGATGGACGATGGCTGATGGATACTATGTAGTCGAGGAAGCAACTGGAAGCGATCAGCTCCAGGCCCAAGGCCATTTGAATCAATCAGCAACGTCCGTGTCCGCGTCCGTGTGCCACTGCACTTGCCTAAGGGGCCATATATTGATTTTCTGCCAATCGGGGTCTGGTGTTTGCAGTTCGCCCGCTGCAGACTGCACCGAAATGAAATCAGCTGAAATGGAGCTCCTGGCGATGTTCATTTCCATATCTCACAACCAGGCAGGCTGGCAGCACCCATTCCAGCTCATTCCTAGGAGGCATCGATTTCAATGTCAGCCAAATGGGGGGGATTTTGTTTACCTTGTACCTAGAGCTGGGAGCAGTAATCAGTTCGAAACAGTCGCTCCATCGAATCACATCTCGAGCAGCTCCTCCGAAATTAAATAAAAAGTAAAATTTTATTTTAATAAAATTTCATTCCGAATAAAATTTCATTCGAAATAAAAATAAATATTTGAATAAAATTTCATCAAAAATAAATATTTGAATAAAATTTCATCAAAAAAATATTATTTCTTCCGCAGGAAAATGGAAGAACTTTCGCATGACGATCAACAACTCATTCGGGACGCCTTCGGGATAATGGACAAGGAGGGCGAAGGCGCCATTACCTCCAAGGAGCTGGCGGTGGTTATAAGGGCTCTGGGCCGCCAGCCGACCGACAACGAGGTCCAGAGCATAATCAATGAGGTGGACTCGGATGGCAACGGGTCCATCGATAGTGAAGAGTTCTGCAACGTCATTTTGCGGAAGATGCGAGACACGAACGTGGAGGAGGAGCTGCGGGAGGCCTTCAGGGTTTTCGACAAGGAAAACAATGGCTACCTGTCGACCACGGAGCTGAAGAACGTCTACACGGCCCTGGGGGTCAAGGTGGGCGACGACGAGCTCGAGGAGATGATCCGCGAGTACGACCTGGATCAGGACAATCACCTCAACTACGAGGAGTTTGTCAACATGATGACGTTGAGGTAGTTAAGATAGTTAATCGGTAAGGCAGTGTCTAAAATATTTATTTATTTTTAAAACATAACCATGTTTCTTTTTCAGTTTCGTTCTTTTTTTTTTTTTTTTGTTAATTTTTTTTTATAGTTCGTTCGTTTTTTATACACTATCTAAAAGTTGGACCCACAATTTTTTAAAAAATTTAAAAAAATCAAAAAAGAAATGGACGCGGAGATGGATGGACACTTAAAGACACTCACACAAACGAAGTTTACCTCTCTTGAACGAAATTCCAAGGATAATAAGTGTTAGCTCTAAAGAGTTTAGGCAGGTCAGCGGCTCAGGATCGCCACTATCGATCCCTATCTCTCTATCAAGTTCTCCAACCGGACACGGTACTGGGAAGATTTCTCTGCTTCTCAAGCGAAGCTCATATTATGGACTTTGGCTCGGACGTGTGGACGCCGTCTCGAAACAAGGACTAACCATATTCACTGCAAGGACTTACCAATCATGATAACCTGGACTTTCTCTCGGACAATAACCTCTCGGCTTGGTCTCTTCCATATGAAAAGGAACTACAACTATATTGTGAATATTGAAAAAAAGGAATCTAATCTATAGCTTAGCAAATGAATCTACGAATAAGGCAAAGGATATTTTTGCTTTGGTTTTCTGTTTGGAGCACAACTCGATCGGAATGAAATTGATTCAAAATTCATGCGTTGTAATTTAAAAGATTTGCTTATTAGGAACTGAGTAGGAACTAAATTTTATGTTATTCAGAATATAAAGAATTTCCGGAACTCAATTGCATTTTTATTGTCCCAGGGCTTCACTTGAAATTCTCGGCCAATTCCTTGGGGCAGGCAGCCGGTCGAGGACAGCGCCAATGAGGCGCCCAAGGCGCTCGGGTCCATGTTCTGGAGGCGCGTGACTCGGAAAGAGTCGCATGTTCCTAATGGCCATCGGGAATTGGCTTGGTATGGGCTGGGGGAGAGCCACGCGACTGCCAACAATTATAAAAGCCAGCAGCGCTGATTGCGAAAGCAATTTAAATATTTTTACAACTGCTTACCCTTTCTGACCACGTTAATGAGAGCATAGACAAATATTTAGATGTTTTTTCGGTACTTTTATGGACTTGGCATGTTCTTATCACATCACCAATTACGAACCACCCTGTTATCTAAACCCACGCACAATGGGCACTCCTTAAAAAATCGGCAGAATGACTAATGTCGTGCCTTTCCATGATTCCCCCATGACTCAGCATGGCAGCCATAAAGCAGGCTTTGGAAACTAATTTTTAGAAACTTCTAATCCAGTAGCCCCAACTAATTCAGAACAACAGAAACACTCGAACTGAAAACAACCAACAGATATATATTGTGAAGCAAATACACAATTCCAAACGATATCAATAATGGATCCTCCGGAATACACCCTTCCAGCCGATCTCATCGAAGAGATCCGCCATGCATTCGCCCTCTGCGATCCCAATCGCACTGGTGCCATTCCCCTGGACGATCTGGGTACCGTGATGCGTGCCATCGGCCAGAATCCCACCGAATCGGAGATATACAGAATGCAGGAGGAGCTGGACGAGTTCGGGGCTGGGAAAATACTCTATGAAGACTTCTTAGAAATGATGACCAAGAACTATAAACTGCTCGACAAGGAGGAGGTTATCAGAACAGCATTCACAATATTCGATCGCGACTCCGATGGCTTCGTGTCCCACGCCGAGCTACGCAGCGTCTTCAACAATGTTGGCGAGAAGCTGACCGACGAGGAGTTCGACGACATATTCCGGGAGGTGGACATCGACGGCGATGGCGCCATCAACTGGAAGGATTTTTATCAAGCTTTCAAGTACTAAACTAAATTTTGCATATTTTTCGATAATAAAAAATCAAAACTACCCAAATTATAATTTATTTTAATGCTTGGGAGGTAAGGGAGTATCATCTTACCATATATATGAGGTCTGGACTCTAGAGGGGTTCTAAACCTTCATATCCTATATGAAGGTATTCTATAGGATAAATAGGTATCCTTTTGTTGAAGTTGGATTAGAAGCTGAATTAGATTAGATGGATTAGAAGCCCTTTACTTAAATAGAGGGCATTCCAGATTAGGCAGATAAAACATGGCTCTTTTATATCCGATCTTTCTAATATGTATCCTACACTCCAAGCCACTATTTATATCCTACATCACAGTATCCATGGATTTACGAAAGGTGCCCTGTCACTAAGCAGTATGGAATACTTTTCATTTAACCCAAAGACATCGAACACTACACACCTACACTTGAACACAAAAATACACAATAAAATCCTGGTAACTTGTCCCTAACCTTGACCACTAAATCCTCCAACTAAATGGACGACGAAGAACCCAACAAACGAGAGATCGAGCTGACGGAGGATGAAAAAACAGAGATTCGGGAAGCCTTTATGGTTTATGATCCCGACAACACCGGAGAGATCAAATATAAGGAATTTCGGTTAGTCTTGGACTCGCTGGGTGTCTGTCCCACAGAAGCCGACTTCTACCAGATGTGCTATGGAATGGACGAGGAGGGCACCAAAAGAGTCCGTCTTCCGCACATATATCGGCTGTTGGGCCGCCACTTCAGAGGAATGAAGAACATGGAGGCCCTGAAGGCGGCCTTCGACATCTTCGATCGGGACGGCGACAAAATCATTTCCAAAGCCGAGCTGCGCGCTGTCATGGTCAGCATGGGTGATAATACGAATGACAAGGACTTTGACGAATATTTCGAGGCGATTGACGGCGATGGGGATGGAAAGATAATCTGGGAAGAGTTCCTCCGACTAATCAGCTAACTTTCAAGCCTTAAGCCTTACCTTAAACATTACATTACAAATTCAAAATTGAACCTTCAAGACATTAAACATTAACCATTAAACGAGCATCAAGTAAGGAAGATGATGGATTTCTTTTGGGGGGGAAATTATGGGCTCTTGGATGCCACTTTTCCAGTCAGTCTGTTCTACGAAAATTAGTCAAATTACTGCAACTCGACAATTTATTTATGTTAATCAAATGTCGTGGGGGGGTCAGTGGGTCCATTGCCCGGCATGGATATCAATTTAAATAGATTATCGCAGAGCCAGGGTTTAATTTTATTGGCCTGTCAGAGGGTGGGTGGCCCTGCCCGGCGACATTAAACTGATGGCTGTCAGAGTTATCGAACAATCAATAGGGGGGTTCTATGGAGTATCTACCGGAGGTATCGCGGAGGTAAATATGGATATATGGTCAGTCGGTGTGCAAATACATTGATTAAGCTCAGGGCCATTCGTGCTGTTTAGTTTTCCATTTCCCTTTAAATGATTTGACACAAATTGGTAAATAGTTTGTTATTATTGTTCTAGAATCTAGAATCTAGACTCTGGGTTCTAGGTTCTAAACACATCAAAAGAAAGGATAGCCTATAGAAGTCACCTGTTTGTTTCTCAGGAAAAAGACACCAAAATTGTTGAGCAAGGGTCTATATATATATATATAGGTATTTGCCTTTTCAATGTCATGGAAGTTCACTTCTTTAAATAGAGAACGATGAATATGGTTTATTATTTGAAACCTTAATAGATATCTGTACTATATGATTTGATAAATGATGGCTGTTCGTCATGTTTCAATTGAAAGCCTACCACTTGCTTACATCAGTGTAATTGAATAGGATGAATCGACGTAATTCGAGTTAGTACTTGGACCTGAGACAAGCCAGAAACCAGTTTAGCAAAAAATACAATGTAGGTTACTCACGGAACTCAACACCAAGCCTATTGGCGTGCATTGTTTCTAATTTGGCGGCTGTGGGAACTGGTTTACCCCCCGAGATCGACCAAAAACACTTCAAATGCATTTAATTATTCATTTTCTCCATCCATCAGACTCTGATTTTAGAATGCTAATGCTGGCAGATAAGTTGATCCATATGAAAACACTAGTATCACTCATTAATACCCACCCTATCTCTGTTTGTCATGATACCGAAATTGTACGTTTTCGCGGCTCAGATAACAAAGTAAGTTGTAAACTTTGTGGCAAGAGGTTCATATTTTTTACGAGCCAACTAAGTTTCCTTTTTTTAAGCGTACGTGATGAGAAGTCGACCAGAAACAACATCGTTTAGTTACCTCTGGCCGTAACACATTGTAGGTTCATGAACTGCGTGGCAGATTAACCGCAAAGGCACCGCCTTGTGGCAAGCCAGAGTCTCCTCCGGTTACCCAGTGGGCCCAGTGCAACTGGACTCCGGTGGCCGGAAGGAGCCGGAATTTAATTAGTGTAAACAGCAATCGTTTTGGCATGCGAAACGCACACAGCCCAGAATCGAGTAAACAAAGCCAGAAAACTGGCCACAGAATTTGGTGTAAACACAGTCAGCACTCTGGCCCGGACCCGAACCCAGACGGATTTGGATTTGTGTTTACCTTTCCGTTTCACAGAGAGATTCCAAATTACCCTGAACCTAGAGACCAACCCAGACCACCTTCTTCCGCCAGACAACCGTCCAGAATGTGAGTGATGCTGATGACTTTCGGTTCCCTGCCGGCTTGTTTTTCTTGGCCAAATGTGGCAGACTGCCTGGCGTAGCAACCCGCATCCGCCCACCCGGCAAGACGTGCTTCAATTTGGCTAAGAGCAGCAGCGGAGTGTGGGCGTGGCTGGGCCGAGGGCGCAGTTCAAGGCCAAGGCTAATGCCAAATAAATTGGCATGCCCCTAATGAAAGCCATGCCAAGAGCAATTGGCAAGGAATGCCTGTTTCCTGATAACAGGCTCAGTGAGTCATCAGTGGGACTCTGTCGAGCTCGAAACAAATCAAATCAAACACTGATATGCTGAAGAAACCAGTAACTACATTGCACCCGTTTATCTGTGACACTTTCGAATGGCCGGCGTCCGATATAGAGAGATAATTGTTATTTAATGCCCTTATCTAGGCCATACAATCAAATTTTTGGGGGTGAGGAAGAGTTTCAAGTGATATCGGGGCACGGCCCCCGCCAGAAACTATGCCACTTGAGCTGACTCACCTGGAACTCTTTGAACTGCTGGTGGGTCTGGACGACGATGTTCTTGAAGGAATCGTTCGGCTCGCCGGCTGGCCCAAAGGCGATGAACACGATCGTTGCGATAATCACTCCGATCAGTATCAGAATCAAGTGTTTCGTGCGCATGGCCGCTAAAATTGACTTTGATTTCGCCTTGTAGCCAATTTTGCGGGCAAAGATGCGCTTCAGGGTGAGTGAGGCCTCCAGTCTGATGGGTTTTTGGGGGATTTCCGTTTCCAGCCAAATGGCAAGTGGGTCGAGTCTGTTATTTTTCACACAAGAGGCACCCGAAGATCATTGTCTATTCCCTGAAATCCCTTCGCTTCTTAATCCTTTCTTGCAATTTTAATAATGAAGTTGATATTTTAATTGTTTATTTTGATTTTTTCATCATTATCGCAGTATGTCGAGGTTACAACCTGTTAATGAAAAACGAAAGCAAAGAAATAGAAAATGTTGCTATTTGTTTTTAGAACGAAATATTTTTGGCAGTATCTTGTTTGTTTGGTTTGCGGTCTATCCCCAGATGAGCAAACAAATGCATGTTAATTTCTTTTCCGAGGAATTCCTAAACAAATGTTTGTTCTTGGTAATTTTTTAAAATAGTTTTCGGTTTAAAATAAAGAAATAAAAAATGTTTACTTATATCGTAAATATTATAACAGTCTAGCTCTGGTTACCGTTTATTTTGTGGGAATATCGTAAAAATATTCTCCAATCTTATCCCAGGTCAAGATCTTGGGGTTTCTTTGGCTCTATTAAAACATAATCTAGTAATCAGTAAAGGACATAAAAGGCTACATTATTGAGGATGCTTTTTAAGAACTTTACCCCAGATATGTAAAGATGAGGGCGAAACCAATACCCAAATACACACACCACAAAGTACGCAATGTCCCTGCCCCACTGAGCCAACGATGTGACTGACAATGAGGTGCGTTTATTGGCTCGACTTACGGTGATTTTTTATGAGCAGCCGCTCAACAAAGGGCAGCGACTTTTTGCACTTACTTTCTTCTTTGCCGCTGCGTCGTTGCTGCTTTTGTACGAGAATCTTGCATTTGCCGGCGCAGCCTCCATCAAAAATTGTCTTTCTGATAAGCTCCACACACAGAGAGACGAGCACAACACACCACCACCAACACCTTTACATAATTTACAGTTTCGATGGCTTTTACTTTCAATATTCGCAGCGCCAATTAAGAAACGGGAATTATGCCGAGCACGCAGGGCCACCAAATAACAAAACACTTGAAATGGTTTAATTTCAATTGGCTGCCTGATGCGTCTCGGGCCCAATAAGCTTTCGACGTTCTAGCCAGTTGGTATCAACACTCGTTATGCACATGCAGCAGGAGCACTATATCGAATATCTAGCGACGACCTTATCCAACAGTTCAAAAATTAGCACTCCGCTCGTGGGCGCCAGCTATAACAATTTTATGCAAATCGTCCGCGGAAAACTAGTGACGCGGTGAACAGCTGTCGCTTAGTGTGGCCAGACAACCGCGATGGGGCTCTCTCTCTCTCCGCTGAGTGCGAAGAAGAATTTGTACGTTGTTTACCACTGCCATCAGATGAGCTTCGTGAGCAGCCCCAAAAAAACGCGAAAAAGAGGTGGACACACTGCTCCGCCTATCCAAATCAAAACAATAAATAAATCCCTTCTAATGCTAAGTTTATCTAATGACCTAAAACCCTTTAACCCTCGGGTAAATCTGGAAGATTTTAAAGGAAAGCTAAATGTAAGCTTGAGGCTACTGAAAGAATATGAATGGCTATTGGATGCTTACGTCCTGGTAAGCCGGCAATACATCAAATACTTCACTTGTATCAACTAATGTGTTGCTCTGCAGGATTTCTTTCTGGACGACCATTGGAGCAAGCTTCCTGAAAACTGGCAACTGCACTTTGAAAACTTACCCCTGGAGCATCTCTGCGAATTACTGCAAAATGATCATCAAAACGAAAAGCTGACATGGCCGCAAGAATTAATCGCCTTGAAACGAAATATAAAAGAACTTTGCATCAGCCGAACGCCCAGAAATCCCACTGATGTTGGTAAAATCTATTAGTTTCAAATTCTTTATTTAGTTACCAACTAGTTGAGTTATTTCGCCGTAGAACTCCCTTCCCTGCCCATTGCTGGAGCACCAAAAACTTAAACACATGTTTACCAAGCGGGTGAAGCCAAAAAAGCAACATGAAATTCGCCGGATGTCCGAAATATGTGCTCTGAGCCACCACCAGACACCTGTTGATTTCATTGTGGATTTTGGCGCAGGCGTGGGCCACCTGGCGCGCGTTCTGGGCTACGGATTTGGGATTCAAGTGTGCTGCTTTGAGATGCAGGATGAGCTTAATCAGCAGGCAAGGGAAATCGATACGAAATTGGAGTCCATGGCGGTGAAGCATCTCAATGAAAGCGAGACAAATCACTTTAAGCGACCAGTGCACCTTACCCAGCGCTTGGAGAGCGACACCCAACCAGAACAGTTTCTATCCAGCATTCGCGATGCCCTACAATTGAAAAACAATGATTTTAGATTCGGCATTGTTGGGTTGCATCCCTGTGGCAATCTGGGGCCAACGCTGATGCGCATGTTTCTAGGCTGCCCTCTGGCCAAGTTCCTGAACTTTGTGGGCTGCTGCTATCAGAAAATGACCACCAAAATAACACATCCTCGAAACCAAGTGCATGGCTACCCGCTTAGCAGTTTCCTGAACGACAATCCAGAATCGCAGCTCAGCTATGAGGCCAGAGAAATCTCATGCCACGCCATGGAAGTCTATCACGATCGGCTTCAGGTTGGAGACTACGAACACCTGCGAATTCACTCACTCCGGGCAGCCGCCGAGCGTATCATTGTCAAGGAATTTCCCCACCTTCGGCACTGCGCGCTGCGAAATGTGAAGCACTCGCCGGGCATGGATTTTAATGAGTAAGATGGACTTGCAATTGTATAATAAATCACGGAAACCTCAACTGTTGGACAGATATTTTCAGAAAGCAGTACAGGGAACCCGTTTTGAAGCTTTGGACAGCAGGCTTCTGAGCAACCAGCAAACGGAGGAAGATCTTAAAAACTGGAAAAGAATCGTCGTCTTCTACACCTTGCGATTAATGCTAGCTCCACTTGTGGAAAGTATAATTCTCTATGATAGGTGCCTGTTTCTTATGGAAAATGGTAGTTATGCTTATTTTGATATGAAATCTAATGTAAAACCTAAATATCTTGTTATCTTTGCAGACTGCGATGTACGGATAGAGGCAATTTTCGATCCTCGTCTCTCACCACGAAACCACATCACCATGGCTGTGAAACCTCAATTATGATAATGCCAAGTTACCCTAATCTGACAATAAATCCCACAGAAACGACCCGTCGTCTGATTCTTATCGTTAGGTACTTAAGTGGCAGTGTTTAAAGTTGCTTTTATATTGTGTTTACTTTTATTAATGTAAAGATAATATCGAGATGATGATAAACTATGCACTTAAAGTTTGTCTAGATCGTTGAACGTAAAAATTCTGGAGTCCTTTAATGTTTACTTGTAGTAGCCCTTCTCGGCGGCCGCTTCCACAATTGTTCGAATGGCAGTGAAGGCTTCGCTGGCCGTTGGCTGGATTTCCACGGCTGGCAGGATGAAGAGATCCTGGCTGTCGGGCGGACCGCGCAACTCAAATGTGTAGGCAATTGGAATTCCTGCCTCGGCATGCGCCCAGTCCATGCTTCCACCGCTCGAGGGATAGATCGTCTCGTACAAATTTCCACTCACATAGTCACGTCCGCTCTCCGCCTTGATAGCAGCAGACGCCTTCTGGCCGAATTCCTGCAGATCCGCATAGTTGGATACATGTTCCTTGGTGTACCCATATGGGAACATGAGCATTTGAGAGTAAGAGTGCAGAGCAATGTACGTCTTGATCTGCTCCTTGCCCACATTTTCACGAATGAACTCAATGAGACGCTTGGTCTCCAGCTCGCTTCCCGCCGACGGCCCTGCATAGTCGTATCGTGTAGGATCGCTGCTCGAACCGGTAGAGTTCCAGTGGTCAGGATAGTTCCTGTTTAGATCTACGCCACGGCAGGTGCCAAACAACTGACGGTTCTTGCGCCACATGCGATCATGCTCGAACGTATACTTGTAGCCATCGGGGTTAACGCTGGGGAATATAATCCAGTTGTACTCCTTGGCTAGCTTTTGCACCTGGGGATCCTGCGAGGTGAGCAGCTCGTTAATAATGTACGTGGCGGTGGCCGGAGCAATCCACTCCCTGGCATGGATACCGCTTTCAATAAAGATGGCCTTGTTTTTGGGATTTCCGACCAGTTTGACTCCCTTGATTGGATTTCCTTGGGTGCTAGTGCCCATGTCCAGTACGGTTAGCTGGGAATACTTGGCTGCCATCTTGTCCAACCATGCATAGATTGTTTTCAGATGGAAAAAGTGCTGCCAGTCAAGCTTCGAGGCATCGATGTCCTGTGGCAGTACCTCTCCCATGTTGCGATCAATTTTCTCCTGGAAGTTATAGGTCTAAAAAACCCACATAAGTAAACTGTTATTATAATTGGGGATTTAAAAGATCCTTACCAGAACCCTATGCTTCAGCTTGTAGGTCTTCAGAAGATCGGCAAAATCTGCCACGCGGTGGGCCGCCACCAAAATAGACAGCTTCTGGCCAATCTCTCTGGCATGGCCAATAAAGGTGAGGCTGTCGCTCTGTTCCTCCAGCTTTTGGAACAGTTCAATCTGCTCCTCGTTGTCAAACTCAACGTTGTAAATGCGGTAGTTGTCGTAGCGAGCCTGGTCAGGAGAAGCAGCCCCGCCTAGACAGGAGGAACCTGCGGGCTTAGCCACGGAGCAACTTCCACTCTCCAGATTAGTACCGCTCGATGCCATTGCTAAAATCGGAATGACTAGCCATTGCGCTCGGATCAGCCAAGTTAGCATATTTATAATTTATTTTCGCAGCAAATGCTGGCCGGTTCTCGTCTTTGTTTGTGTTTATTATGCCTGCCGGAGAGCGAGTGAGAGGCAGCGAGAGCGGGAGAGGTGTCGTTATCAGCAGGCGGCGTATGCAGGGGGAGGGCCTGAGGCAAGGCAGGCGGGCGGTTTACAGCTGTGCGGTATAATCCAGGGATAGTTTCCAGTGGCCGGCGATAGTTTTCCGCGATGGCATATGTTTTACTGCTTAAGTATTCCACGAAAAGTATCTTGTTCCATTAAAATTTTTCTAGCTGTTTCTACAATAGTTCCCAGAAGTTCCCAGAACTTTAGATTTCGTATCTTAAAAATCGTATAACAATCTACTTAAAGTTGAACCGTTAAAATCAAATATTAAAAAAAATACAGATCAAATATTAAAGATTTTTATATTTATAAAAATAGTGTGGTTTTTAAGCTCTTTTAAATGAAATGGAATTAGATTTAAAAATTTAGAAATGATAAAGCGAATTTATTTCTTCTTGCCCCTACTTAATGTCTGGTTTCCATTAGCCATTTGAAGCCGTCGTCGCTGCAGTTCTTGGCATTCCTCCTCTAACAGTCGACGAGACTCGTCCAGCTTGGCCTTCTCTTCCAGGTGCTCCCGCTTCAGGCGCTCAAACTTCAAGTGCAGCTCCTTCTCGCTGTCCTTGAGCTCGTTCTCCTTCTGCTTCACTCGCTGCACAAACATCTGGCGCACCTCCTCCTCCTTGGCCTGTAGACTGGCTAAGTGATCGCTTCGCTTAGACTCAAAGGTCTTCTGGAAGGAAACAGGCTGATTGTTGCTATCCACGTCTACGAAACCCATCTCTTGCAGGCGTCGTTGGCGGAAGAGCTCATAGTGACGCTGATGGGTGACCTCCCGCAGATCCTCCATATTCGTGCGGATGAGCATCTCCCGAAGTTTCACGAAATCGCAGTGCGTTTCGTTCTCGATGTGGACGGCACCCCAAGGGTACTGGCGGGCGCGGACCAGCTTTCCAGCCACTTTCACAAAATCTGTACTGCCGACCACAGCGAAAGGCAACTGTTCGTTCATTGATTCGTTTGTTTCGGATACAGTTTCATCATCGGTGGGAAACTGATATATGTTGACTTTGTTACGCTGCAACTCGTCCATTATTCGTTTTTTGAACCCAGCAAGCTCTGCCTTGGAAATCGTATCCGCCTTTGCGATCACGGGAATTATGTTTACCCGTGATTCTAACTGCTTCATGCACACCAGGTCCACGGCTTTTAGGCCATGACCAGTGGGGCAGATGAAGTAGAGGCAAGCGTGGACCCGTCCGTCGTGAGCAGTGCCCATTGAACGCTGGATTTTGAGCTCCTCCTGCAAGTACGCCTCGAACTTACTATCCACGTACTCCACGAGAGCCTTATAGCTGTCGGCTTTGTTTACTTGGTCGCCGTATCCGATGGTGTCGCAAATGGTTAGTTTGAGGTGCACGTTGCTCTCTTGCAGCTCGTATGTGTGAGCCATGAGCTTCACACTGGGCAGGTTGTGGGGACTGGGAGTCGAACCAAAATTTGTGTTGAAGAGCGTGTCCATGAGAGTCGACTTCCCGATGGCCGTCTCCCCAATGCACAGGATGTTAAATGCAAAGCCATTTTGGACGCTCTTGTTGACCAACTGATCCGGTAGGGTGTCGAATCCTACGTGACCACCCAGCTGGAGCTGCCTTATTTTAGAGGACGCCACCACAGGGTTCTGTTTTTCGCTAGCAATTTGCACCATTTCAGTTTCGAAACTATTCCTTCAGCAGCAATGGCGCCGGCCTTTATACGGTGCTGGCAGGTAGGAGACGCGAATAATCACCTATTTGGATTTTCCGCCATCTGTGAGATAATGGGAATTTAATTTTCGCTTGCTACTTTCTACCTGTATACCTTTTTACCTGCTCTATGCCCTACTTCACATTTGAATTGTGCACGGTTAAAATAAAATCGGATACAAATAAAATCGATAACTCAATCGAATATTTTATCAATAGTCCGGCAACATCGTCTAGCTTCATACTTTGAAGAACATTTTTAATGACATTTCTTACATTATTTTTTATTAGCGCTAACTTATCCAATTTTAGGAAAATGTTTCTCAGATTTAGGTCTATGGATATAATTTGTTTACAAATATAGAATTAATGTGATGTACATAGGCCGTGAGTTTCGGAGCCCTGATTGCATATTTATGATGTTAAGTAAAGCTGGATTGTCTTATATCCTAAAAACCAAATGAAAAATTTGCACGAAATGGCTTTATTTTATATTATCTTAAAACTTTTGAATTCAGGGGGAAACCGGGATTTTTTAGTGGGTTTTCAGAACCAGCGATAGAATCTGAGCAAAATGCATATCTGCATCTGGCAACACTACAACAACCCTATACAGAATTTGCACCGCAGAAAACCGTGGCTTTTTTTCTCCGACCGCTCAGAAAACGCATTATAATTGTTATAAAACCACTATAATAGTTGCAAAAGTGGTAAGCATACCACATTTACCAAATATAATTGTGGTGGAAGCCTCTTTGTAGAATATTTGCATTTCTCTTTGTCTGCGGCGTCCGCCATTTTCTTTTCACAATTTTTTCGCCGCTTGGCTGAGACTTTTTGCTTGACTTGGCACTTTCACAAATTAATTATTGATTTAATTATAGAAGACCCAGATATTTTAAAAACAGCAGCACCACCCTTGAACGGAGCACCGGAAGAGAGCCCATGAGTATTCATCGAGACGGAGCCGGAGCCGAACTCGATCGCATCACAGTCAAAATCCACAACATGAAGCGTAGCGCATCGCGCTCTCCTCCGCCGGGCAGAAGCAGCTTATCCCGCACTTCGCGAAGCATGGGCCGAGGCTACGACAACGGCAGCGGTGTTCCTGGGGACTCCCCTGAACGCCTCTCGCCGGAGCGCATGCGGCGTCGCCTGGACCGCTCTCCGAGTCCACGTGGAAGGTATGGATCCCCGCATCGTGAGCCCTACATGCGAGGTCCTCCGGCTGAGCGTCCCGCCGCCTACAAGGTACTGTGTGTCAGTGCCCTGCCACCGAAGGCTCCAGACGAGTTTATTGAAGAGACACTGTACCGTGAGTACAAGAAGTTCGGCGACTTTAGCGTGCGCTTGTCCCATGATCTGGAGGAGAGGGTAGCATACGTATGTTTCCGGACCCCAGAAGATGCACGGGAGGCCAAGCATCATAAGCCGCGTCTGATCATCTACGACAAGATGGCTATTGTGGAGCCGGTATATAAGTCTTCAACTCGGGCGGAGTACAGGTGAGTTTTCTATTCTTTGCTCTACTTACTCAGCTCTACAAATAGTTCAAAATCAGTATATGTGTATCAGTTTATTTAAATTGCTAGTTAATTTTTTAAATCGAGGGATATTTAAGGGAAAAATCAATAATAATGTGTGTAATACCATCTATTTTTTTTTTTTACTTTAGGCCTCGGCATTCGATGTCCCCACCGGACTACGAACGCTACCACTACTCTCGTTCACCTATGGGACCAGGGGTTCCAATCGACCATCGTCGCCCCATCGATCCCTATGACCGCTATGGTCCGCCACATATGCATCCACACGCTGTGCATCCGCGCGACTACCGACCACTGCACCACGAATATCCCCATCCACCTCGCGGTCCTCCATTGCACCGTGGACATCCTCACCATATGCATGGACATCCGCCGCCTCACGCCCAGTACGCTCCAATGAGGCCGTTGGCTCCGAGGCCACATGCTCCCTATGAGAAGCCAGAGAGTAAGAAGGACAAGTTCCCCAACTACTTGCACCATGTCCAGCCCGAGGACGATCCTCTGTCCACGCGCACTCTGTTCGCAGGCAATCTCGAGGTAACCATCGCCGACGACGAGTTGCGGCGCATATTTGGAAAGTACGGCGTGGTGGACGACATTGATATCAAGAGACCGCCTCCTGGCACTGGCAATGCCTTCGCTTTTGTGCGTTATCAGAACCTGGACATGGCCCATCGCGCCAAAATCGAGCTCTCTGGCCAGTACATTGGCAAATTTCAGTGCAAGATCGGCTACGGCAAGGTGACGCCCGCCACCCGCATTTGGGTTGGCGGTTTGGGAGCTTGGACATCCGTCACCCAACTGGAGAGAGAATTCGACCGCTTTGGAGTCATCAAGAAGATCGAATACCAAAAGGGAGAACCGTACGCATACATTCAGTACGAGACTGTGGAGGCGGCCACAGCAGCTGTAAAAGAAATGCGTGGCTTTCCCCTCGGCGGTCCGGAGCGTCGATTGCGAACCGACTTCGCTGAGCTGCCCGGAGCCACTCCAGCGGCTCCTTTCAAGAGCTCCAAGCCACCATATGACGAGAGCGCATTGGAGTACAGACGTCCAGAATACGATCCCTACTACGAAGAAGCTGCTGTTTATGCTCCCCGTGGGGGATACTCGCCATATCCTCCGCGCGGTGGTTACCGAGGACGTGGCGGATATCGCGGTAGGGGACGCGGAATGTACCATTACCACAACGACGTTCACAGACCGCCACACCCAAGCTCTTTGGGCGGTTCGTCGTCTTCGGTACCGCCACCAGGAGGAGTTGAAGACGAGTGGCGGCGTCCACCAGGAGAATCCTACGAAAGGGGAGCTCGTTCAAGCTCGCGGGAGCCGGGAGTGGAACGCTCCCGCTCGCGATCACCTCTGAAGAGGGCCCGTTCTCCTGGCTCCGACTCGGACACATCGACACGTCGCAACGATGCCCTTGGCACCGCCAGTACAGTGCCAGAAGTGGCACGCAAATGCAGCACTATTTGGACCGGTGCCCTAATCCTCAAGAGCTCCCTGTTCCCAGCCAAGTTCCACCTGACGGACGGCGATACAGACATTGTAGAGTCCCTGATGCGAGACGAGGAGGGTAAGCATAACCTTCGCATAACGCAGCGCCTCCGGCTGGATCCACCTAAGCTGGACGACGTGCAGAAGCGGATCGCGTCCTCCTCGTCGCACGCCATTTTCATGGGCCTGGCCGGGTCGACGGTCGAAACCAACTGCGACGACGCCAGTGTGCAGACGCGTCCTCTGAGAAACCTGGTCTCGTATCTGAAGCAAAAGGAGGCGGCTGGTGTAATCTCGCTGCTGAACAAGGAAACGGAAGCCACCGGCGTGCTGTACGCTTTCCCGCCCTGTGACTTCTCCACAGAACTGCTGAAGCGCACTTGCCACAGCCTGACGGAGGAAGGGCTGAAGGAGGACCACTTGGTCATTGTGGTGGTGCGAGGCGGCACGGCCTAAGAAGCGAATGAAATTGGTGAGGCGTTGCTGGACAAACTGGAGGTAACGATTGGCCACAGTGCTCACGGAAAGAATCCGCCACAACTAACTATTAACGAGTAGTATCTAGATGAGCCTCCTGAAGGGCGGGGGGGCTGTTGGAGGAGAGGTGTTGGGTTTGAGGAGACGTATGTACATGCAAGGGTCGTGTACATGGATCCCTTGAACAGGCACTCGCACATTACACGCAATACGCAATACCATTCACGCACACAGAGTCACGATAAGAACATCACCGAGAGGAGACATCACCCATGACCATGCCCATGCCCACTGACCAATACCGAACGATTCCTGACCCGTATTAACCATAACCATTGTTCTTTTACAGACAGGATCTCTTCTGTATGGTTTGCTTTCAAGTTCTCGATGTGTGTTAGTGACAGTGAAGTTTATAACTATATACCTACAATATTATACATATATATATATATATATATTTAAATATTTCCTACATTTGTGCAAAAAGTTTTCAAAATCAAGTAACAAGTTTTCAAGAAGTTTTGTACCCAAAGCTCTTACGCATGATCTTCTATTTTTTATTATGTTTAAAGTGTAAAATTGTAAAAAAAAAAAAACAAAAAACAAAACAAAAACGATGAAAGAAATTACTTATCCAATTATGATGAAAATAGTGCGATGTAATTCCCATCAAAGAGTTTGTGTTGGTTTTAATTTTTGATTTTGATTTGTGTTGTTATACCAATGTCATTTGGCCAGGTCAGGTCAGGTCCTTGGTTTGTGAAAGATGAATATGCAGTGCTACAAAAAGTGCACCCAGTAGTGGTCTGATTGTCCCCAATCCGGATCTGAATCTTAATCTGAATCTGAATCAGAAGTGTTTCCACAGTTTTTCTCAGTGCAGTTCTCCCGTCAAACAAAAAAAGTGTTGTGGCTTCTATACAATACAGTTCTTCTTCAATACAGTTGCAACTGGTCCGCAAGGTCTTTGGTGTTCATTTGGCATGTGGGTGCGCGAAAGTGGCTACCAATTCCAATCCAATCCATCTATCTATCTATGTATCTGGTCTATCTTCCATCCGAAGAGAGAACGTCGTGTAGCATTTGCTCCAAAATGTCTCCGCTGTTTGATTGGGTTTGGCAATTGTTACATTGGTTTTCTTGTGGCTATTATCAACAGAGAGTGCTGTTTATTATCGATATAAACACTATTATCCGAGATCTATACTTTTGTGAGTTCAAGTGTCATTCCACGAACCGAAATCCAATACCTTTTTCAAGTTCAAATCCAAGTACCCCAAGCTGCAAGTGCATGTGTTGTGTATGGCGTGTGTTTTCAACAAAACTAAATACTTATATTTATATACGAATCGTACATATGTACACTCAGAGATAGTTATAACGATCAAACGCTCCTGAAGCGAGTTTAATTTAAAAGTTTAGACACGACAGGTCCACTGTCCGAGTATTCTATTCTACAGCAACTATTATACACAATCTATTATACTGCTAATTGAATAAACGTAATAAAAGTAACCATCAATGTGTTCGAATCTGGTGACCAAAAGTGTGTTCTAGTGCTACCCAGTGACAAGTCCGAGCCATCCCCACTCCACCCCAGGATCAAGGTAACAACAAAAAAGCATCACGGCAATTCATCATCCATGTGCACTAATGCTAACATTAATCAAAATTTTAATAACTCCAATAGGCATCGAGTTCAATCGTAGTACAGGTAAAAGGTGGTGCACACTGCAAAGTAGGACGGTCTCTCCACACTATAGGTCACGAATCCGTCCTTCTCGGCGTCCCACAGGAAGTTAACCATGGAGTACAGTCCCTGCATGAGAAACTCACCCACGGTCACGAGGACTATATATCGATATCTAGGAAGATTTGGATTTGTTAGTTTTTTTTAGATAAGAGGAGGGTGTTATGGACTCACCTATCGTAATTGTTCAACTTGATCCGGTTTTTTATCTCCTCGCTAACTTGGGCCGCCATGTGCAGTGAGTGCTTGGGGTGGAACATGTACTCATCGTTGTAGTGGCGATTCATCACAGCCTTTATAATGTTTTCCACGCGCTCCTTGTTAAGGGGATTCTTCGACTCCAAGCGGTAGGTGGGCATGTACCGCATAGTGGGCTTTACATCAGAGAAGGCTCATGGAGCTTGAAAGATTAAGGAAGAATCTGGATACTTACCTTGGCAGGACCACCCACTCCGGCCCCTGCCATGCCCATGTGCGACTTGGTCAATGATCCACGCTGGCTGCCTGACTGCTTCTGCATAGTGGCGAAACGTGAAACGAAATAGACATGTTAGTAATGGCTCAGACAAGGATACCATCCCAACATTAGGAGTCGCGTGACTTGGCTAAATTTCCCGACAGGACACATATTCGCTTGTTCACATTCCGTTACAAGCATCAATTCATTAAAAAGACATCAAATACCCGGGGGGTGGAGCCGTAATGGCAAAATCAATCGGCTACCTTCTCACGCTCCTGACCCAAACAGAGAGTCACCAGACCCGACCAGTCCTTAGCTGCAGTATCGGCCATTCCGGGGCAATGAAAGACGAGCTGGGTCGAGTGCGTCGCGGTTAGCCATAAAACCACAAATGATTATGCCATTATGTGCCATTTTCAGCCCGATTGCCTGACGGCCGTGTCGCCGTGGCAATCCGTGGCGATTGTTGAATCAATATCGGTGGGACTAGGCCAATTATGCGCCACTTGTCAGAGCAGTCGCTCGGCGAATCTTACCTCCGGCTTCTTATCCTTGCCGTCGCCCACCTTCTCCTTCTTCCCGGCCTTCCCCTTGGCCGGGTCTGCCTCCTTTGCCGCGGCGGCCACGGGCACATTCTCCTTGCTCCTCCGATCTGCTCCGTCCGGCGAGTCGGCCATGTTTCGTGTATAGCACTTTTGTATTTCCTTCGAAGTCGCCTCAAACGGGAATAGAATCTAAACTAAAAATACGAATCGCCTTTGGATGTTTTCAAGGCAATTGAAATAAAGGGTACTACGTTGGATTTAAGTTTCAAAAAAGGGATGATAGTTCCAAGTTGATTAAAAGTCGAGTTCGTACAACGGCAATTAGTATACACTTTATTTGGTTTGCAATATGTGTGTAGGGGGGGGAGTATGTTTCACATTTTGTTGTTAGCATTGTGGGCTCGGTTGAAACTTTAAAGTATATCAAACATATACACAGTCGTAGACGATAATACACATACCAAGTACAAGGATATTTACGTTATTTCTGGTGCTCATTGTGACCACAAAACATCAATTACATATATATACACATATTCAAATATAATATATACCCAATACATAATTCGGACACACGAATAAATACACACCTAATAAATTGTTTATAAAAGGGAAAACAACAGTAACAGTGCGTATTCTTGGCCAACATTTTGGTGAAACTAATATCCGTCCATTATTCTTTCTTTAGTGAGTCCAGGACTCGAGAGTTCTTTTCGCGATTAAACATACAGTAGTAGAGTGTTTTTTAAAAACATTCGTGGCTCGTCGAAATATGTATAAAAAAAAGAAACTCAAATTCAGTTACAAAACCTGCAGTAAAGCTACTAAAAATTGGCGATATAGACGCACTGGTGGAGATAGCACAACACCGAGGAACAAGTTCTTAGACATCTAACACTCATGTACGATATAATATAAAAGAATAGCGTCTCTTCGTCTCGTGCAATTTTGGTGCAGACTTATCTAAATATTGGAAAGTACTAAGTTCTCTATTTGTCGTTTCCTTCATGTTACGTTTATAGTTTTTGTATTTTTTAATTTTGTTTCCATTTTAGATATTCGTACCAAAGTTTCAGTCGTAGTGGACACATATGTAAAGCTTTAGTTGCGATCCGGAAACCCGCTCGCAATGTCTGACTTCTAACTTGTATACATAAATAGACACATTCCTTTTTAGCCGATAAATCGTATGTAGTGTAAAGTGGACACGTAGTATATGATGTAATAATATTAATCAGTGGGTTTCGTTAGTACATATAGTAATTGCTGGATTGTTTTTTCGGATATATGCTATGCTCGGCGATGCTTTTAAATACGCTCTCTTTTTTTTTTTTCTAAGTAGTTTGTTCGTGTCAATATGCCTCTAAAAATTTAGCTTTTTTGCAATTCGGATTCGATTAGCTTTGAGTCATTTTCTGATTCTAATGGCACAGTTATTTCATAACGCCACATTTGGTCCAAAATTTTAACGTTTATAAATTTCTCTAGTCGTTGGAGCGCACCTTGCGCAGCGAACCCCGATTGAACTTGCAGATGGACTCTAGCAAGGCGGAGCGGGTTGTTTCGTCGCCCTCCGGGTCTTCGGCCAGCATATTGGGCGTGGAGGACTGCCTCTCCACCGCCGGCGGATCCTGTTGGTAAATGCTCTCCAAGTGCGGAGCCGGAGTAAGTGGTGGCGCTAAAAAAGAGGAACCGTAAGTTAAGCCGTTTGGAAATCAGAGCCAAGCTAGAAAACTATAAATTCAAAGTTGCGATAACTACATTTGAGGCCGGCCAGTGTGGGCTCCTCGGGTGTGCTGTCGGAGCGGTTGAAGGAGTCGGCCGCACTCAACCCGCCCACCATCGCGGTGCTGGAGGAAGCTGCAGCTGCCGATGCAGTGGCAGTCGCAGCCACAAGCGACAAGCGTCCATTATTCGTTTGGAGTGAACCTTGCTGCTTTAGCTTCGACTGTTTGTGCTCTAATTTCTAATAAACAACAAATGAAAAAAGAAACCAAAAGGTGTTTGTTAAATTGCTGTGTGGGTTTCGGCTACGTGTGTTTGGTTTCAGGTTGACAACTAACTGCTTTTTGCTTGGACTTGCGTTTCTCCTCCTCGGAGCTCATCAACTCCTGGACGCGCACGATGCGCTTTTGGTTTTTCACCGACTTCTGCTCATCCCGCAGGCGGTTTTCGCTCTTTGTGGCTGCCAGCCTCAGCAGCTCTTTAGCCTGAAGCGAGATCTTGAAGTAGGGCTTCTCTGCATTGGCAGCGCAAGAGGCTTCGGGAGATGCATATTGTTCGAAGAACCTGTGGCCAATCAGCTGCTCCAACGTCGGTAACCCAGCTTTGCAGGCCTCCTTCGAGAGGATGCTTTCCAATAAACATTCTTCAAAGGAAAAAAGCTTGAAATGAAGTACAAGCAGGTCATCAATAAACTTACTCAGCGCCTCAGGGCATTCGGTTATCTGCCTGACCACGGATTCCTGCAGTGGGTATCCCATTGCCATTTCGAACAGTACATGTCCGAAGCAGTAGACATCGATGGTTTCAATGGCATGGATCTTGCTGTGCTGGACAAAGAACGGGCGATAGAAGGCCGGCACACCCAGGAGATGGTTCTCAATGTCTAGCAGCTTGACGCAATCGTCTACTATAACAATGTTCCCGGAATGTAAATGTCCTAAAATCAAACCCAAAGTAAGTATTGGGAAAATGGAAGCACAAACACTTGAAATTACCATAAGCATAGCCCTTGGAATGCAAAAATATAAGAGCCTCTAAGATCTGTTTGCCGTAAGTGGCCACCTGTTTCATGGAGAGGGCAGTGCGCCCCTTTGGATTGCCGTATTTGCTGAGAAACGGGTTCTTGGGCGTGGCCATGCAAAGCGTGTCCTTCAGAGTGCCATTTTTATGGAATCTGTGAGATAATAGGGAGTGGTGTGTCAGTAAAGAATTCCGGATGAATCATAACTCATATCTCTATAAAAAATACAAAGAAAAGCAAAGAAGATACTGACTTTCTTATGACGAGGCAGCCACTTTCGGTGTGGCAGGCCAAAATCACAGGCTCGATGTGCGGATGCTGCAGTCCCATGAGACTCTTGAGGATCCCTCCGATTTCCTTTTCTTCCACGTACTTGTCCGGTCCATATTCCAGCCATTCGGCCACCACTTCGGCACCGGGCTCCAAGGTTCCTGCGTCGATTGAATGGCCACTGCCGTTGCTGCTACCAGACGCAAAGTGTTTGCTCTGGTGCGTCTGGGATCCGCTCTTGACCAACAGCTTGTTGCTGCTCTTCTCCGGTGGCTTGGGTGTAACCTTAAAGTAATGCTTCCGTAGACGCCAACCTATGGCACCCATGGAGGTGCCGAGGGCCCACACTGTGTCTGTTCGCAAACAGAGCGTGGCATTCTGAAGAGCATGGTCTGTTTGGAAAAGCAATCAGTGATATCCAAGGGTTGTTTCTAAAGAAGTACCTACCGTGAAACGACTGCGAGTAACTCTCGGGATCAACGAAGCGCTTGGCTGGCAGCGACGAGGCCAGTATGGGATTCATGAGTACGGCGTTTATGTACACTTGCAGGGCTTGCTTCCGTTCAGCTACGAACTCCGGGCGCATATTACCAAAGATGCGCTTGCGAGGCAGCGGCAAGTCAATGCCGGAGATGCGTAGACACTTGTCCAGCCGGTCAAAGTCATTGTAGCGGCGCAGAACGTTCCAAGAGTTCTCCTCACAATGTCCCCGCTGCACGCGCAGCAGGTATTCCTGCATCAGACGATTGCATGAAATCATCACATCAACAATTATTGATTTTTCTCTGGGGTCAGCAGGTGGGGGGTGAAAAGAAGCCCCTCCCCCGCTTAGAAAGTTTCACCTACCGTATGTCCGTCGACCTCCTTGACTGCAATAATCTCGCAGCTCAGCTCATGGGTGTCATCAATCAATTTCCGTTCATATCTGCTCGCAAATATGGCCATTGGTTTCCTCTGAATACATTTTCCACCTTCACTATGCAGGCTGCCCCTCTGGGATATTTTAGTGTGTATGTGTAGGTGTTTTTGTACCACCCTTGGCTCGCCAACAGCAGCAGGTGCAATTTACTGATTATTTGCAATCTCTTTTCGCTATTCTGAGAATTAAGCACGCGGAGATAGTCTTGCCCGATGGCCAATTGGATTTTTTCAAATCCAGTTGGACCCGCACAAAGTATATTTTTTCACTGTTTACATATAATCGTTACACCAGTGTTGGTAAGGGTAAGTAATTTCCCAACACTAATCTGGTGCTGTCCATAAAGTCTCTAATAAATATACGACTATTATTGTTTATGGTTTGTAAAATTAAAATATAGTACTTTTTATCATTTTAAAACTTTTCTCTTATCCACAACCTACAATATTAAATAATAGCACGATCTTAAAAATATATTAACAATACTAATCTAGCTTGAAACCGGCTAGACCACCATGAGAGCATCGCTGTTACCATCGATGAATCTCCACCTCTAGTTGTTGTTCTTAGCAAGTGCGAAATAAATTGCAAATATAATATCTTGAACTGTACCGAAAACTTTGCACCGCAAATCCAAGATGGGCATTTCCACGGCGATCCTGCGCAACCAGCTGATGGGCCTAATCAACTTTACCGGCACGCACAAGGACCAGGCGGATAAGTACCGGCAGCTGCTAAAGAGTGTGCTAACGAACTCCGGTCAGGAGTTGGTCGATGGCCTCCGGCTCTTTGTTGAGGCGATTGTGAACGAGCACGTCAGCCTGGTGATCTCGCGACAGATCCTCAACGACGTGGGTGTCGAACTGAGCAAGCTGCCCGATGATCTTTCCAAAGAGCTCTCCCATTTCACCTTGGAGAAGGTTCACCCCCGCGTCATATCGTTCGAGGAGCAGGTGGCTGGTATTCGGTTCCACTTGGCCAACATCTATGAGCGTAATCAACTGTGGCGCGATGCGGCCACGGTGCTGGTGGGGATTCCGTTGGAGACTGGCCAAAAACAGTACTCAGTTGAGTGCAAGCTCGGCACCTACCTCAAGATTGCCCGACTTTACCTGGAGGACAACGACTCCGTGCAGGCCGAGCTTTTCATCAACCGTGCCTCTCTGCTGCAGGCCGAGACAAATTCCGAAGAGCTTCAGGCATGACCATCTCCTTTATTAGAGGAATTCATTATAATTATTATATTTTTTAGGTCCTTTACAAAGTGTGCTACGCGCGAGTTCTGGACTACAGGCGCAAATTCATCGAAGCCGCCCAGCGCTACAACGAGCTTTCCTACCGCAAGATCGTGGACCAAGGAGAACGCATGACGGCCTTAAAGAAGGCTCTTATCTGCACCGTGCTAGCCTCCGCCGGACAGCAGCGCTCTCGCATGCTGGCCACTCTGTTCAAGGACGAACGCTGCCAACACCTGCCAGCTTACGGAATTTTAGAGAAAATGTATCTGGAGCGCATCATTCGGCGCTCTGAGCTCCAAGAATTTGAGGCTTTGCTGCAGGAACACCAGAAGGCGGCCACTTCCGACGGATCTTCGATTCTGGATCGGGCCGTCTTTGAGCACAATCTGCTGTCGGCGAGTAAGCTGTATAATAACATCACGTTCGAGGAGCTGGGGGCCCTGTTGGACATTCCTGCGGTGAAGGCGGAGAAAATCGCCTCTCAGATGATAACCGAAGGCCGCATGAATGGCCACATAGACCAGATATCTGGAATCGTGCACTTTGAAAACCGAGAATTGCTGCCACAGTGGGACAAGCAGATCCAGTCGCTCTGCTATCAAGTCAATTCCATCATAGAGAAGATAAGTGTCGCCGAACCAGATTGGCTAGATAACCTGAACTGAACCCGGCGCTCGCATCTCTCATTACTGGCCACTCTCCTTCACATTCACCTTCGTCAAGCGATAGATTTCATTTTAAGATTATGAAACAAATGAAATGATGTACATTATCGATCCTGTGGAACCAAAACGAAATGAAATATACTTTGCCCTTCAGCAATTTTTGAAATATTTTATGATACCATATATGTGTATATTTTCAGTAACTCGTATAATTCAAAAAGCTCTGTGTACAAAGGACTTTAGATCTTAGACAACTAATGGAATGGTTTGTATTCAGGGGATATACATACTCGAATATGTACACGATACAACTAGATGATTATTGGGGCCACGCGGGCAACAACCTACCCATGCCTTAAACTCCGATCGGCCAACATACATAACTAGATTTAAACTAATTACGTTAAACAAATTCAACTAAACGAAATGCACATTATGATGGGCTCTGCAAATTTTTACAAGCGCAAAGCTGGCTGAGAAATGTGACGAAATGGGAGGGGAAGTGGAAAGGTGATGGTGAACAGAACGGGTGACGACTTAAAGAACCTAAAACCTAGCGTAGAATCATCCCTGGTTGCCAGATGAGCTCTCCTCGTTCAGCTGCATCTGTGCCAGTGTGCGTACGACAACGCCGCGATTCACGGGCGTCAGGCCTTGGCAAAGACCCACCACAGCGTCCAGCGCCACGTCAGGACAGTCCTGCACGACGAAACATAAAAGGTTAATGATACTTCCAAAAAGTACAGACATTTCTTGAAGCTTACCTCGAGCATTTTGGAAATGGTCGAAATAATGGCATCCCTTCTCACGGAATTCACGTTGCGGGAAACTATAGACTCGGCATTGCTCTGCTCCTCGTACCAGGCCACCATCTCCTCGTTTTTGTCCCACAGATACGACTGGAAGATAAAATTTTTAATTAAGAATGGAACTTAGGGGGTAACGGCTTAGAAGTCTTACCTCAGAGGCTCCCTTTTCTTCGACTAGCCAGCGCCGCAGCATCTGCTTCGCCTGGCCAACGGACAGGTTGTCCTGCGCACGCAAGATCTTCTTGATGTACGCGTCCTCGAGTATGACACGGCGCAGGCGCCAGTACAGCCAACGGCGGGAGTCGCGCCAGGGCACAATCTCACTAATGCACTCCTTCTCCAGCATACGCTCCGGGGTGTCGTGCAAGTCGGCAAAGTGGACGGCTACTGTGTGGTAGACGTGCATCAGCACCGAGATGCGAGCCTTGATCTTCTCATCGACCTGGGCAGCCTTGGCCTTGTCTCCCGCTGCCACCGCCTCGTCAAATTCTTTCTTTAGCTAAAAAGTTAAGATAGAAGATATATTATTATAAAGATATTCAAAATAATTAAGAGAACCTACCCCAATGGTGGTGGCGTCCAGACGGTGTATCGTCTTGACCAGATCCTTCTCCTTGTATTTGATCTCGACAATGCCCTCCGGTTCCAAGACACCTCCTCGTGCCTCCGGATCGGCGTAGGTCTCCATGTAGCGCGGGTTGATCAGCGAGTCCAGCACGGCCCAGGCTCCTCCACGCAACTCAGCATTGGGAGGCAGATAGATGAGCACAGGCTTCTTGTACTCCCGCAGACCGTCCACGATGTAGGCACCGAACTTGACAATCTGCTCGTACATGTCCTTCATGCCGCCGGAGAAGCCACGCCAGTTCGCGAAAACGATCAGTGGCAGTTCCTCACGACCAAAGTCCTTGATGGCCTGAGCCGTCTTGTACGAGGAATCTGGGTACCACACCTGACCAGCCTGCTGCAGAGTTTTGGCCTCCGAGTCCAGATTGGCAGGATCGGCGGGCATCTCAACCTCCACAGTGCGGGTCTCCACGGCAATCACACCCACGGGAACACCACCCAGACGGGCACGACCGGTGACCACCGTCTTGGCCCAAGGTGCCATGATTTCGCTCCACGAGTCCCGATCGAAGAACCCGTTCTCCCAGTCGTTGGCGTTCACCGGGTTAACGCGACCGGCAAGCATCCAGCGGGGATCGTACGGCGACTTGGTAGGCATGAAGTCCACTGGACGATCGACACGATCGCTGGGCAGGATGATGGGCAGGTCGCAGCCGATGTAGGCGGGAATGTAAGAGAGCCAGTCGAGGATGGTGTACACACCGTCCAGGTCAATGGCCTCGGTCTTGTGGGTCACACCGTTGTTGAACATAATCTGGGTACCGCCGAGCTGGTTGTTGGAGGCGTACACCTTGCGGCCGAGCAGCTGAAAATATCGGGAATCCATTAGCATTTGCGTACATATATCTACAAAGCGAAAATATTATTCAAGTTGTTTGCATATAAACAAAGATTTATAGTTTCTACCGTAGCGTACGAAGTCTATTTTTGAAATACAATGTATGTTTAGGATGTGGGCGGATACAAAAACTGCAATAATGTCTAATTATAGATACTGTGGGATCTAAAAACCTTACCTTGTTAAGAGCAGCGTAGCCCGTGAGTATAATATGCGAGTTGTCGATCTGGATGACACGCTGTCCCAGACGCACCACGTACGATCCGATACCGATGGTACGGCACGTGACCATGGCAATGGTGACAATCTCTTCGTAGGCTTGGGACGTCTCGCCGGCAATCAGACCGGCATATCGCAGGTTTTCCACACCCAGGCCATCATCCTTGCCAATGATGTCGGTAATCTTGTATCGCTGCTCGCCCTCGTCTTCGATGAGGATGGCGCGCACCGAGTTCAGGTTGGCCACCTTGGCGTAGTCCTCAGTGGTTAGGTAGAGGTACTTGAAGCCCTTGTCCGGCTCCTCTGGATCCTCCCATGCGATCTTGAACATGGCTTTCACCTCCTCAGCAAGACCAATGCGGGCACCGCTGTTCACCGAGATGTAGATCTAGAAAGGATTTCAGGATAAGTTCTAAAATGTTCAGGAAGTAGAGGTGATCCTTCAACTCACCCTAGGCACTTTGCGTTCGCGAGCCAACTGGGAAGCCTTGGCGAACAGCACATCTTCCTTGATTCCAAAGGAACCGATCAAGTAGGTCAAGTCATTGGCTATCACAATGATCTCGCGACCATTGGGATACTCGGGAGTAGCGAGGACAATGCGCCAAGCAACCATACCGCACTGGAATAAAAGTTATTACTCTCTCTGCCATAGTCTATTGAAATAACCTTACATTGTTTTCTCCTGGCAGTCGCTGCATCTCTACCAGGCTGTCGCCCTCGAGAACCAGCTCTTTGCACTCGATCAGAATCTTATCCGGAATACGGATGTCAACCGTAGGCCGGGCCTTGGAGAATTCCTTCCAGTGGCGCTCCGTCATCTGGCGGAACATGTCCGGAACGTCATAGACGTAGGTGGTGCCATTCGACTGAGCCTGGAAACGCTTCTGCTGAAGGAAGTCCTTGGTCATGTAGGGCGTCGAAATGGGATGGCCGTGCAAGGATCCCTGCTTCTCGCCATAGGCCTTGAACTTGATCTAAAAGGAAGAAGTGTGTTAACAAAGCATACCAATTATCGAATCCAAGAGAGTCTCTTACGATTCCTGTCTCCGCATCCGTTTGTTCCGTGTACATGGAGATGTCCAGGAAGTAGCCAGAATCGTTGGCGATGCAGAGTCGCACGGCCTGCGTGGGAGACTGCGGCGACTGGCGAATGACCATCTTAAGCTCCGCCTGCAGGACACGCAACTTCCAGAGACGCGGTCCGTAGCGCATGATCATCTTGGTGACGGACTCCTCGATCTTGGCTGGGTCCATAATGACGGTGGGTACGAAGTTCAGGAAGATGTGGTTGCAGTCGGTGCGCTTGGCATGCGGGTGGGAGAACGCCACCTCCAGCTCGTCCATGGCTTCCAAGAGCACGCGTTCACCCTCGTTCTGGAGGTACTCGAACGAGGCTTCCTTGGTGATCAGGTCCGAGTGACGGATAATCGAGCGGATGAAGAACCGGTAGTCGGTGACTTCCTGACCCTTTGATACCTTAGCCTTGCCCAGATACAAGTGCATCTTCTGGTTGGCCGTCGGCAGGGCCTCCAGGTCGTACGTTTTCATGCGGTTCAGCTCCAGGTGGAAGGCAGATGCGGGCTCCAAGTGCCTGTAGATGCGATCCTCCTCGAACTTGTCCCTAGCGCGGTACGTGAAGAACTTGGGGAACTGGCGTTTCTTCAAGGCGGCAAAAGTGATCCTACGGATACGTCGCTGGAACAGCTCTTCGTTGTGCTCCTTGCAGTAGTTTCCGAAGATCTGGGCCATCTGGAGGTCATCCAGCTCGCCCGTCTCCCTGACGGCCACACTGACTATGTGGATCGGCTCCGTGGACTTGGCCTCTTCGGCGGCATTTGCCCTGGTGACCGGGTCCGAGAGCGAAACATTGATCGAAGTGCTGTGTCGGCTGTCCGAGATAGAGTCCGCTGCCTCCACAGCCTCCAACACCTTGGCATTGACCATAGCGGGAGACACGAAGTCTTCCAGCAGATCCAGGATCTCGTCCGAGTACATTTCAAAGTGCTCGAAGGAATCGAAGGCAGCTATAGCTCCAGTTCGCACGAAGGAGTTGCCCAGGCTCTCGGCTGCTGCTTGATCCAAACCTTCCGGCGAGGACATTCGAGAGAACAGCCTGTTGGGGTGGGCAGTGGGGAGCAGGAACTGGAAGTGCACCAGCGGCAGGCCGCCGGAGAGCTCCAAGTGCTGCAGGCAAGTCAGCTCGTAGGAGGTGTAAGCCCTCCTCACGTAAACCTCCAGGGCAGCGTTGCAAACAGCCCGATTCGAGTGGTAGAAGAAGTCGTGCAGAATGTCGAAGATCGAGGTCTCCGACAGGATCAGACGCTGCAGATTCTCTGGGTGGAAGTCGTGGCCGTACATGTCAACGGCCGACAAGAAGATCGACTCCATCTGGTTGTGGCGCAGTTCGTAGGCCGGCTGGTGGGCGGCGATGAGCACCTGGCGGGATCGCAGAGCTACCCGGGAGTGTTCCGCGCGATTCAGCGAAGTCAGCTCACTCAGGGTGTTGGCCAGCTCGTCGGTCAGGCCCGGCTCGTTGGCCCAGAGGTGGTCAATGAGCAGGGTGACCAGCAGATTCTTCTTGGCCACCTGCGAGTGCGAGAAGATGGTGTTGACCACAGTCAGCATGTCGTCCTTGTTGTGCTCGCGCACCAACCCCACGCACTTGTCGTAGTGGCCGTGCTGGAACTGCGACTCCACGTCATAGTACTGGCGCAGTAGCTCGTGGACGGCGGCCTTCATGCGACCGCGGATTCCGTTTCGGTAGCGCTGAACCAGCTGCACAATGCTCTGGGTGGTCAGGAAGAAGACGTCCCTGTCCGAGCGCTTCTGCAGAGTGGCGGCGTGGCTGTCGATGACGCTGGCGATCTGCTGGGAGGGGAATTGGGCCAGTACACTGGTTATGTTGCGCTCATAGAGGGTCATCAGCTTGCGGATTTTCTTCTCCACCGAGATGGGAATACGTCCCGAAATAGAAGCAATCACTTCCTGCAGCTCCAGCAGGGGCAGCGAGGGATCCCTCAAGCTCTGCATGAACTTCTCGATGATGTCGCGCAGTCGCTGGGCGTTGAAGGGTTCAGGAAGGCAGTAACCGGCCAGGGTGTTCTCCAAGATGCTCTTGTACGTGTTGTGGACTCGGTTGAGCTTCTCCGGGACCGGGGCGTTCTCAGGATGAGGGAACTGGCCCTTGCAAGGTTGCGCCTTGGTTACCAGCGAAGGATCGTCCAGTTCCAAGTGACCCAGCAGGGATCCAGCGTCTAGCACTGCTCCTGGTCGACGAACAAAGGTCACCGTACCCGCCTCCTGGGAGGTGAGGGTCATCACCATCTTCATGACCTCGATTTCGGCGAATGCCTGGCCCTTGCTCACATGGGCACCGTCCTCCACAATCAGGTTGATCAGTTTTCCGGCCGAGGGGCTGCGGAGCAGCGAGGGATCGTTCTCCTTCTCAAAGACGCAAGTCTGGTTACCGATCACAATGCGGTAGCGGTCCACCTCCTCCTTCATGTAGGTGGTGTAACTGGCGCCTTCAAAGGAAATCAGCAATCCGCCGTCGGAGAGGCGATGCACCTCGATCTCCTTGAACGATCCGTTCATCAGCAGGAAGTAGGAGTTGGCACCGCTCTTGGCAGCCTGAACCTTGTACCGAATGCCGTCGTTGATCAGTTCCACGTCCACGACGTTGGTCAGCGTGTTGGCCGCCTGAATCTGGCCCTTCTCCAGGGAAGTTTGGAAACTCGAGAAGCTCTCGGTGATGTGACGATCGGCAATATGCAGTGAGCCGCACATGACACCCAACAGGATGTCCGGCTTCTCGGACTGCACTCTCTCCGCGATCAGAGCATCCAACCATGCCGTGTCGATGCTGTTGTCCAAGAAGCGGTTAGTCTCCAGCAACGTAATCAGGTACTCCACGGTTGTGCGGAAATCACCGCGAATCGACAGCTCCTTCAGGGCGATGACCAGATTCTCGCGCGCCTGCTGACGGTTCTCGCCCCAGGAGAAGCAATGACCGAACTGGGAGTCGGCGAACTCGTGCAGGCCACCGCTTGCGGCCACACTGAAGTAACCCCAGACATTTTTGCTGGACCGGAAGTTCAGTTCCTGCACGGTACCCGAACTGGGCTTGAAGCCTTCGTCGGGATTCTCCGAGGTGATTCGAGCAGCGATAACGTGACCAGACGGGCGAGGTTTGTTTGGCGGATTTTCAAAGTCGATGACGGAAGCGCCCCAGGGAGACTCTCCGTACAGCAGACGAATATCCTTCAGCCGGTACAGGGGGATTCCCATTCCAATCTGCAGCTGGCAAGCCGGGAGGTTCACATCGGCTACCATTTCTGTGCAAGGATGCTCCACCTGCAGACGGGGGTTCAGCTCCAGGAAGAAGTAGCGACCCTCGGGATCGTACAGGTACTCCACAGTTCCGGCGCTCACATAACCGACCATCTTGGCCAGACGTACGGCGGCCTTCTCCATGTCCTCGAACACCTCCGGCTGGGCCACAATGGCGGGGGCTTCTTCAATGATCTTCTGGTGGCGACGCTGGATGGAGCAGTCACGACCGAACAGACTGATGGCGTTGCCGTACTGATCGGCCAGGAGCTGCACTTCCAAATGGCGTGCTCCCCTGGCCAGCTTCATCACGAAGATGGGCGAGCCGGGAACCTCGGCCTGAACCTGACGGAAGAGGGCGGGGAACTCCTCGGCAGTGTCTACTCGACGAATGCCTTTGCCGCCGCCGCCTTCCGAGGCCTTGATCATCACAGGGAAGCCTGCAAATGGTGAATCATAGGTTAGTTCAGACTGTACAGTAGAGAAAGCACTTGGGAAACCACTTACCAATCTTGTTGACGGCAGCGAGGCCCTGTTCCACATTGGTTACACAGCCGCGGGCAAAGAGTTCGCTGGAAATCTTGATCTTCTTGCCGCTGTACTGGGCTTTCAACTCGGAACCGGACCAGGGCAGTGTCGGAATGTCGGCCGTCTGTGCCACAATCGAGGAGGCCACTTTATCGCCCAGCGCCCACATGGCCCGCTCGGGGGGTCCGAGGAAGACCAGACCCTCCTTGTGCAACAGTTCCGGAAGCTTGGGGTTCTCAGAGGCATGACCCCAGCCGGCCCACACAGCCTGTAATTATCAGCAGAACCCTTAATCAGTTCTATACTCGATTCAATAAGCCAACACCCAGGGACACCCAACTGCGGAGTGGAAGTGGAAGTGGGAGTGCGAGTGCGGGAATTATGAAACTTTATTGGTCGGTAAAAATCAATTGTGACGTCAGGGGGCCATTCCAGCGACACCATCGCCGGATGGCAAAACAAAATAGATAATTCACACTGTGCAACAAGGTGTCGTGGCATTTGCTAATTAACCTCCAGTGCCCTGCTCCGACTAATGGAAAGTAAACAGCGCCAGGTGAATTTCCGTTCTCAAGTTTTTTTTTTAAATTTTTTTCTTCAAAAATGCATTCAAACCTATCCCCACTCGGGCACTCGACGACCAAGGGTTGAGATTACAGGTGAGGTTTGTTTTGGAAATAATATATAAACCTGTCTATATAACAGGCAGTTGGGTAAGATCTGCATCTGTAATTCACAATTATTGCACTTGAATTACACTGATTTCTACGAGTCAACAGCTAAATACTAAGTTCTATTGAAATAAAAATGAAATAAACCGAAACATAGTAACTTGAAATCGACATTGTAGCCCGCAATGATTTGTTTATTGTTGGCAGTTGACACGTACAGTCGTTAGAACTGCTAAAGTGCCAAACAAAACAGACTTAAGATCTTTCTCATATATCTGCTAAAGTGCCGGAAAGATAAAGTAAAATATGATCCAATACTATATGGGTTTGGGCTCGCCCCCTTGCTGCACAGTGTGGCTGACACACTGCGTAGTCTTCGGCTCCAAATGCCGGCACACGAATACAAATGGGGGGGGCCCTCTTTATCGGTATGCGGGGTACGATCGTTTGACTTTGCCAGGTGACAGTACCAGTGCCAGTGCCAGATTGACAGTGTAAATACGTATCGTACGATGCGGTTAAGGTGGAACCAACCAAACCAAATAGACAAAGCACTGTCGGACGACCTCAGGCTGGCCACTTCTATGGCGGTGGCCCCCAGATTCCACATTCCATATTCCAGAATCCCCCGACTCACCTGTACTTGAGTGCGAAGTGCAATGTCCACAATGAGCTCAACATTGGCGTAGTTGTTGTTGTTGGATCCGCCGGGCACGGGGACATAGTGATCGGCCATCTTGATGTACTCGGCATTGGCCTTCAGATCCTCCGGGGTGACCATCACCACAAAGCGGACGGCGCGCTCGTTTTTGAACATCTCGTAGGACCAGCGGCGGATGGAACGCATGCACTTGACGGCCGCAATACCGTTGTTGGCGATCAGGACCCGGTTGATGACGCGGGTGCCGCCGAAGCGTTTCACAAACTCCTCGGTGGTGCCGATGTGAAAGTCGCGATCCTGATTACGATCCTGGCCCAAGCCAGTGCCGCGAGACATGCTCGGCCTGAGGGATATATAGATGTTGGGATTAATGTATGAACTATATCGGTTTATTTCCCCAAAAAAACCCTAACCATGTTAATCAGTGTACATCGATCTTGGCGCGCCAAGGCAGGTGGAATGGAAAGGGGAGGAGCAGCCACATGGCAAGAAGATTCAATAAAACCGGTTTGGCTAAATCGCACAAAAATGTCTTGCGAATAATTCTCTTTTGTTTACAAATTGTCAACGAATCTGGCCAGTGGCCACTGCAATTAAGCCAACTCAGGCCTTATGAATTTCAATTAAAAAACAACAGAAAGTATCATGCGATTTACTTCAGGGTTCCCACCACGGGGACGCCGAGTAGCGATGCTGATGACTGGTTGTTGTTGTTGTTGTTGTTGATATTATTGTTGATGTTGTTGGTGTTGCTGTTATGATTGGTGATGCTGGCACTCATCTCGACGTTGTTGTTGGTGTGGGAATCGTTTTGGCCGCAATCCACGGCCACGAAATGGGGTATGACTGGGCCCGTGCCACCCGAACCCGAAGCGGACACGGCCACTGATCCCGAGGCATTGTCGCCGCCCGCTGACACCTGCGGCTCCTCACCGGACTCAACAAGTACGAAACGCTTGCTGGCGCGACGCTTTAACATTCTAATTAGCTCCACGAGGGCCAATAGCATCCAAGGTGCAAAGTCAACGGTTTTGGAATCGGATCGGGACGGATCTTTGCGGATATCTCTGGGGACTGGGATAGGGGTGGGGCTATGATATGGGTGGCTCTTCGCAATTATGCAAGTGTGACTAATAACCCGACCGCACAGACAATATTTTTTTTAAAGCCACAACACTGCACCACTTTCACCGCCGAAAACAACAACAACCACAACAAAAAAATCAATGTCGAACGATGTCCACACACGCGAGAAACTTATTTAGGCAACTTTTATGGCTGGGAATTTTTTGGATTTGGGGTTTCTGTTAGCGGAATGCGGACCGACGGAGCCGACGATTGCCTGGGAACTGAACCGCTAGCATCGAGCGGGCCAACACGGGTATTGGTATTGGCCACCGTTGCTCATACGCCACATGGGCCGGAGCGGCAGAGAATCGGCGAGAGGGCCAGAGAGTGAGAAACGCGCTGGCAAAACGAGTTTAAAGAGTTTGTGAATGAAAACAAAATGCGGCCTGCCCACATGGCCGGCCACTCTCACCCACTCTCCCTCACATTTTCTCTTCATTTCTCCCCCATGGTGGCGCAGAGCAGAAAAGTTCTCGCAAAGTTTTAACCACCTCTCATTCGCACACACGACGCTTAAACGGTTGCCTGTCTCTTTTCCCTAAACTCACGCGATATGTTTGGCGGCTTTTGTCGGTGACGTAGTCACCTGTTTTTTGTTTTGCTCCATACACTGAGAGAAAATTGTTTGGTGAAATGGTATTGACAAACATTTTTTTTTAAATAAACTAATTCTTTTTAAAAAAGCACACAACTCTTCTTATAAAAGTTAAGCCCCTGTATTAATTCTAATCTTTTAACTGATTCTAAACAATTGTTACCAGTGTACGAGGGTTAACTACAATTAAACCTTTAGAGACCCTTTTCTATTGTTCCCTGGTTTCTAAACTTTATCCAGGTAGGTAGAGGCTCACCTTAGCCGCTTGCGTCGCTCCGAAATGTCGCCATTTTGCCGGATATCGCTTTGCAATTTTTGGGGGAACTCGTCGCAGGCCTCTCCCGCCTCGGCCGCCTTCTCGTCAATCTCATCCCCCACCTGGCGAAATTGTAATTAAAATTATTAGTGGGAAAATTTAGAGAAGACTAACAAGATGACTAACCAAAAAGCTGGGTCGCTCACCCTCCGCGGACTGGGTTTGCGATTCATTTGATTCGTTGGCTTCGCTCATCTTGTCAATGTTGTTGTTGTCGATGCTGCTTTGGTTTTTGTTCTTGTTGCTTATGCTGTTGTTGTTGTTCTGATGGCAGGCGATGCGGATGTTGTCGTTGCTCCGATCGGACAGAGCGTTGTCCTTCAACTGCTCGCACAACTCCTCAACGTCGGACTTGAGACTCTCGCTGGAGAACTTCACTTTCTTGATGCACGACTTGGGAAATCTCTTATCCCCCGGTGCTCCACTGGCAGCTGTAGTTGCTCCTGCCGGATTGTTAGTTGCCGCTGTTGTTGTTGTTGTTGTTGTTGCTGTAGCTGCAATCACGCTGGAGTTGTCTGCAAACATAGAAGAGATATCAGCATTAGTCATTATTCAAACGTGATATAGTCGAGAGCTTAATATAATTAGTTGTGTTATCAGCGAGATGTGCGATTTGTTTGCCCTTCAAAAGTTTCAAGTGTTTCGCGATTAACAAAGTTGTGAGATTCTTACGATTGTTGGGGCTGTCGTTGTTGCCGCTGCTAGGTGTTGCTGTGGTCGATGCTGCTGCCTCTGAAGATTCAACCTGGACTGGCTTGAGTCTTTTCTGGCCGCGGCCAAAGATCAATGTCAATAGGAATGCAAGAAAAGCAGCCAGAGTGCCTAATAGTGTGATCAACATCGGCTATATCCAAAATGCTGCTTTAAAATCGGTGAATTCAAATAACGGATTAGATAATCATATCGGTGTGTCTCTGGGCTAGGGTATACTGGAGTGACAGTGAAAGTGTCTGGTGCCTAGTGTCTAGTGCCTAGTGTCTGGTGCCTTTGTGCATTAATATGTATTTCGCATCATCTCCGATTTGGACACTTTTCAAGTTCAAAAACCTTGCCACGAATTTTGGGGCCAAAGCGGCGAAACAAAACAAAATTAAAATGCTAATCTATGCATAAACTAGTTGGCCAGATACAATTAAGAAACCGAAAATTCACCAAATGAAACCGTGGCCAGGTCAATGAGGCAGTGGGCGAGAGACGAGCACCACGAACTGGCAATACTCTATCTCTAGCAAGTCTAGGTCTATCAAGGTGAAAGGGCCCAGAACTCTGATAATTCTCAGCTCAGATTAAAGCTAAACAGACACCTGAATATATAATCAATATTCTAAACTTGGCGTAATAGGTGCTATAGCTTAACCAGAAGCTGGGAAATCAGAGTTCCCATGCCAAAAGGCAAAGATTGCGATAATGATCAATGATCCAGCCCTCTAATAACACCCTTTGGAAGGGCGATAAAACTGGAAAATACGAAAATGATTTTTGGTTATTGGGGGTACAATGTGCAGCGTTTAAAAAAATAAAAAAAAATTTAAAACAAAACGCAAAAGAGGGGAAAACAAAAATGAAAAACAACAAAAATACAAACTAGAAAATGAAAAAAATCCCAAGTTGGTATGTGGAAATGCAAATTGGCTTTGCCAGTAGAAGAGGTCAATGATTTTGCCATTACAATATGTAAGTGTGCCAGCCAGTGGGGCTTTGAAAGGCACCTAAAGGTGAATTAGACCCCGAATCGATCTCGGTCTCTAATCGGACTATTATGTAACACCTGCCTTACACGGAACTTCGAAGAAAGATCTAGGATTTCGTTTATCCGAAGATCTTTACAAATTTGATCCGACAGCCAGTCAGCCAGGTGGAGTTCCGGACACTAATCGCTCTATAAACATTTCTTGAGTGGAATCGTATGTTTTTATATGGCCAATCTTCTGATAAGAACCAGCACTTGACTGGCATCAGGTTCGTATTACTCAATATAGCCCAAAAGTAAGGCGGAAAGTTTACTCACTGCCTGGCCAATAATTTTTAGGGCACGGTTTGAAGGCCTTGAATTGGGTTTTATTAGGTTTTAGTTTGATGTTGTAGGTTTATGGTCTGAGATCTCGCTTTACCACTCAAAGTGTGCCTGTGTGTCTAGTGTTTGGGATCTGCTTGGAGACGAGGTCGGATCGGATTCCACTTCCTAGACGGTGGGGCGCGCAACAGGTTCCGCACGAGTGCTACTGCAGTGACCGACGCTTGAAACTCAACTGGGCCATGCTCGGCCAGAAAGCACTATCGATGCCTGGACGTTGTGGCTTGGCAGAGCGGCGACTTCGACGCCGCGACATCGCGTCGTCACTATCAATATCAACTATAAGCTCCGTGTGTGTCTCTGTGTATGAAATTGTGCGTGTACAGGTTGTTGCGCTCGAATGTTAATCGCCGGCGGGTCTCGCGGGTCGACAAGCCAATTTGTGTTGCTGTTTTTGCAGGTGCTGAGTGCACAGATACAATACAATGGAGTCTCAATAATAGGAACATGAACAGGGAGATCATCTTAACGGATCAATCAAGAGATAAATAGGGTTTTATTTTTAAAACCAGCTTTTAAAGCTATGAAATAATAAGAGTCAAAATAAGAGGAAGTTTTTGGAGAAAAACCAGTTTCACTTAGCAAAGTTCCACTGTGGAAAAAGGGCAATTTGTGGTTAACAACTGTTAACGGCTTGCACTTGCGATAACAGCGATAAATCGATGCCGATCAGCTGTTGGCCACCAATTGGATCTGTCCTCCCACTCTCTTTCCGCTTTGCTTCTCTCTTAAGAGCATCTCTGCCGCCGTGGGAGCTTTTTCAATGTCAAGGTCGCTGCGCCTTATTTTGTTGATGTTGTTGTTGTTGTTATTGTTATTGTTTTGTGGAGTACATGGATGCAATCTGTAAGCTGACCCATCCGCTGACGGAAATGCACTCTAGTGGAGGTAACTAAAACCTTAATTTCTCAATTTGCTGGCGTAAGTTCATTGCTGGCGATGCTGATTAGGGTCTATAAACGACCGAGAGCGAAATGACACGAAAATTGATTATCTCGATTGATTGCACTTTGAATCAAATTAATAACAAATTCTGCCCGATGCCACGAACCGAACACGCGAATCCCGCTGATTTGTTTTCATTTTTTTCTGCTTTGTTGCTCCCGACGACATCAGCAGAGGTTTTTTAAAAGTCATTAAAGAAATTCCCGACGCGACGTTTTTTTTTAATCTGATAGCAGTTTCAAAAATCTTCCGATTTTGGCATTGGCCTTGGCGACCGATTATGATTAATACTTAACGGTGACGGCCGGCCGGTCGGTCTGCCGGCTGCCCTACCTCAGTATTTTTTTCGAGTGTCTCGAATGTTTCCCCCCGGCATCTTATCACTCGGCGCGGAAATTTTTGTGTTCAGTTTTTGGTTCTGGGCGCGAATTATTCATGTTTGGCGCGTGGCCAGAGGACGTCTACTGATATCTGCTCAAAAGTAATAATAGAACCGAAAGTCGGTCGCGTGTGAGACGCCTGATTTCGATGGCCATATCAGCTGATAATGGTTTGGTTCGATTTCTTAGTTTCCATGGCAATCCAGGTGCTTCAGTTTTTTGTTTATTTGGCGAATTCGCAGTAGCGATAGGAAAAAAACTGTTACGTTATTAAGAAATCAAAAATAAAGATTTTATTTCTAAAAAAAACGATTGCATTGTTTATCTTTTCCAGGGATTTATTGTGATACTTGAGGATGTAAGCCGCACAAAGATTTTATTCATCGTTTTATCACTTCATCAGCCCCAATGAATACAGTTATTATTAGGTAATTGAAGCCGGCTGGCTGGCGTACTCTGAGATATGCTCCCCCCCTCCCACACACACACAGACACAATAACACGAATCATACTGCTCTGCTTGCCCACACGTACGTCACGGGCATCGCGCGATGTGTAAAATCCAATAGGAATCAAGGTCAGTAACGAACGAGAGAAACGAAAGGAGAGCAAGAGCGCCAAGAGCGAGGGCGGAGGATGTCGGATGGGGGCCAGGCGGTGAACATATTGAAGATAGAAATTATGCTGGTAGCGATTTGATTGAAAATTCCTCGCGGACTTTATACAATGTATTTTTCGAAATGATAAACAAACGCGGGTCAGATCGTTGATCTATGCTGTAAGGTGCTTGATTAGGGGTGAATAACCCGCGCGCGAGTTGTGATTTGCATTTATGCGCATACAATTCAATTTGAATGGAATCCACTAATCGGGTCTTAATTACCCGTTTGGCGCTTAGATTACCGCACTTACTCTTCTCCATTGTATTGCGCTTCGCACGTTTCTTTTTGTTGGCAATTTTGTTGTGTGTAACTGTTCTTTTCCGGGTGCAAAACTCTCTCTTTACGGGGGCGGGGAGTTGGTACCCTGATTGGAGCTTGAGGGAGCGTTATCAGGATGTTCTTGTTGCGCCACTGATAGGTATGCGAGGTCTTGTCACCGCGTAGCTAAACAGCTCTGGTCTGTTTTGTTATTTTTCGCGTGATTTTTTATTGGTAATTCACGTTCATTTTTTTTTTTTCATTTCTGTTTCACTTCCTCTTCCTTTTTTCTTTTTCGCCCTGCCGTTGACCGGTCACACCGCGACGGCTCCCGCCTACCCTAGCACTCATATTTTATTTTTCGCGAAGTATTCGCCTTTTTGACACTCTCCGATGGAGAAAACTCTTTTTGAAAATAGTATGCAGTAAATTAACTTGAAATCTGCTCAATTTTGTAGAGAATATCTGTGGAAAACATTGGAAAAAAGAAAAATACTGACAAAATACCACTTTTTTGAATCAGCTGTTTAACATCCACTGGCCAACACTGTTTCCGGTAGCCGATAACACTCAATACTAATGGTTGGCAACACTATTGATAACAAACAAAGCGTGTGATTGCAATTTGCGCGTAAATAAACAACTTTGCAATCATGTTTGATGTGGAGCCGATTATAGCAGACCATAAGGACGTTATCCATGATGTGGTCTTTGACTACTATGGTCGGCGCATGGCCACCTGTTCCAGCGATCAGACGGTGAAGGTGAGAATACCAAGCTGCCATTGTAAGGGAGTCTTAAATATTTTTGCCGGCAGATCTGGGACGAGGACGGTCAGGGCAAATGGAGTGTGACGAGCAGCTGGAAGGCCCACTCAGGATCAATCTGGCGCGTTTCATGGGCGCATCCTGAATTCGGTCAGGTGGTGGCCACCTGTTCGTTCGACCGCACAGCTTCTGTATGGGAGGAAGTCATAGGAGAGAAGGTCTCATCCACAAATGCACCTACGAGAAGGTGGGTGCGCCGCACCACTCTGGTAGACTCCCGCACCAGCGTAACCGATGTGGAGTTCGCTCCCAAATACCTAGGCCTTGTGCTCGCAACTGCTTCCGCCGACGGCATCATACGGATTTATGAGGCACCCGATATCATGAACCTCTCACAGTGGCCCGTTCAGCATGAGATAGCCAACAAGTTGCCCTTAAGCTGCCTCTCTTGGAACACTTCCACCTATATGGTCACCCAGCTGCTGGCGGTACGGATACTTAAATTTTAAACGATTTTCCATATATTTTATAAAATTTATACTTATAGGCGGGCAGTGACGAGTCCGCTACGCCCACTGGAAAAGTTTTCATTTTCGCCTACAGTGAAAATGCTCGCAAATGCGTTAAAATTGAGACTGTGAATGACATAACGGACCCAGTCACGGATGTGGCCTTTGCCCCCAATGCTGGCCGCACCTTCCACATGCTGGCTGTGGCTAGTAAGGACCTCTACATCGTAAACCTACGCGGCATTATGTAAGATTACGAAAAAAACCTTAAAGGACGAAACCGTTTTGACGATTTAAATTTTAGGGACTCGACTGGCAACTCGAAGCTGGACATCCAGACGGTCAAGTTTAGCGAACACAACTGCCCCGTGTGGCGCGTCTGTTGGAATATGTTGGCCACAATGCTGATATCAACAGGTGATGATGGTTGTGTGCGACTGTGGCGTATGAATTACAATAAGCAGTGGCGCTGCGCAGCCGTACTGAAAGCAGAGGGCACCGGACCCACTTACGAGCCAGCTCCACCTACCCCCACACTGGCCACCACTGCCTCGGCCACTGCCAAGTTCTACAAAAAGGGAACCATTGGCAACCAAGTGCCTTGGCACTGATATGAAACTTGTTATGTTAAGTTAATCGTCCGAATAAAGTCGTAATATAAAAACAGTTGGAGGTTTATGCAATCTTATCCATTAAATGATTTTGAAATGATTTCAGTTGCATCGAAAGTTTTTGGTTATCACTTACACATCGGAATAGTAGCCGGCATTCTTATAAACCCGATGATAAGCTTCCTGGTCCACATTTTTCGATTCTTCAGTGCACTTCCTAAGATTCTTCCCGGGACATACTAGTATTACATCACCAAAACGTGGAGATCTTGGTGTTGCCAAAGGCACAACACACATCCGCCTAGTTGGCTTTTCAATAAACATAAATGGAAAAACTTAAATATTGATTTTGGACTAGTTCCCCGCTAAACTAAAAATCAAAACAAAAAATGTTACTTCACATGTCAAGAAGAGCGAGCACTTACGAAAATAATAAAGCATATGCTTTCTCTCGCCTCTCACTAACTATAGTATAGTTTGTGTGCGTAGGAGAGAGCCAGATCTGATATGCCGGCTATTTTTGCCCCACAGCGCAAGAGAGGAATTAAAAGGGAGGAGAGAGTGCTGGTCGTGGTAAGAGAAAGAAAACGCATTTCAAGTTCAGTGGCTGCATTCAAATTTTATTAACTTTTATTTATTATTCATGTTCGATTAACCCCACACACATAATCATTAAACCTTTGGGTAAGTGCCCCTCACATGCACATGTGATCCAGATGTGCATAAATTAAATATCACCAACACACAAGGCCACAAGTGGCCAAGGACATTTTTATTATGTTAAACACGGAAAAGCATTCAGAAATGTGGCCAAATATTCCACTTAATTGACTCGAACCGCAATAAAAACGAAATCATTTCACTATCGATGACACCACAATCCGTAATTGTTTGAATATGCAACCACCCTGGCGGTTTTCCGGGTTATCCTGCCGGGCTTGGCTTGGCGGCTCCTGTTCCTCTGCTGGTAATCCATCGAATGAAATCCCGCCCGGTTGACTCGATGGTTTTTGTAGCTAAAAACCACCCCGCACAACGGTATCAAAAGTAGTGCCCTATCCCAGATCCGAATGATTGTCTCTAATTGGAAGTTTTGACGTGTGTATTATATTATAAGGCGCTGGTGTTGACGCCGATCTCGAAGTTGGCCGAACCACCCCATACGGACCCACGGACGGAGTGCTATTCAGGCCCTGATGGTGGGTGGTGGTTTCTACTGCATCGCGTGGGAAGTCAAAGCTCAGGGGTCTCTCACATAGAGTAGATGGAAACGTGGTAAGTCCCATCATAGCAAACATTTATATGTGTTTAACCGGCAAAAATAAATTAATGTGCAAAAGATTGTTTCTTCTGGTTATTTTTTAGGGTTGATGTGTGCGGAATGTTCCCACATTCCTCGTTTCCATGTAATACTTTCGAGTTCAAGTGATTTTATGGAGCGGGAAGGACAAAAGGAAATTAATTGCAAATAGCTATAATATATTAAATTAAATTATACGTTTGGGGAAATGTTATCACCTAGGATCAAGAATAACTATAATCTTTAATGGTTCAAATAAACGGCTTGAACTCAATTCGTTATAAATTACATTTTTTTATAAATACATAAGAAATTGGTAACTTTATTTAGATTGAACAGCACACTGGAAATTTTTAATAGTTCGGCTAAACTAAGGCGTAAGTTTCGTCACCAGCTTGGACTGCCATCCACAATAGATAGTACGAAATAGAAATATTTTTTTTTTTGAATAACTTATTTAGAATTTAGAAATTTAGAATGAGAATATTATTTTCGTTAGACCATGAAATCTCACCCTTAAATCTTACGATCTTGTCCAGAGCCTGTTTTCGATTAGGTAGTTTTCAGGTTTCCAGTTTTCACACATACATTTCTAGTTATCCTTAGATATTTTACATGTGGTTTTTTTTTGGGGTTGCGACCCTTACACCTTGCCTGACCCCGCTTCCTAATTACGGGTGCGCGACATGAGCAGCAGCCAGCTTAACTAACTGCCGCGGATTGGGTCTCGTTTTCCGTAAAGGCTCACGTGTGCTTAGAATGCATGTGGTCATATGCAAATGTCATAAACCATAAACGGTTAATATCCATATAGTGACCCCCACTAGCTGGCTGAGGTGACCAGCGGTCAGCGCCTAGTTGTTATTGCTCTCCTCCTGCGGTTCAGCCCTCGTACAGTGGCAGCTGATTAGACCGCGCGGGATTACTTCTAGTCCAATGGACAGACGCAGTGCGATTTGCAGTAAACTCAAAAATACTCTGGACTCATCGACTAAACATGACAATTCAGCGGCCACTTCGAAAGGACATCATTTGTCGGGCAACTTTCCGAATCGCATACGAGCCTGCTCGTAGAGCATAAACGTGATTATCGTGTTCGGACTGACACGCATCAAGGCTGGAATGAATCCCTTAAAGAAGGCCAATGGACCCTGTTTGGCAATGCTCCCCACCACCGATCCAATCCCATCGAACTGGCCCGGCTTGGCGTTCATGTACGTGGTCTTAATCACATCGATCGGCTGGGTCATCACAGTTCCAATGCATCCGGCTAGGGTGGAGGTGGAAAAATGCAACGGCAGACCGTCCGTCAATCCAGTGGCTGATTGCAGCATTTGCTTGACCTGGTCGTAGGCCGCATTGGTGCCAATCGTCAGGACAATGGCCCTCGTAACAGCCGGCACTGATCCCCGGAAGAGACTGGCAATGCCCTCCTCTTTCTGGATTCGATAGAGGCCGTCAAAGACGTGCTGGTAGCTGTGGGATAAATATTTGAGATCTTGTTGATGTTGAGATCATTCCTTATTCACTTGCGACGCGATTCCGGCGGCATTTTGGCGTCGTTCTGCATTCGCACGGTGACCACATCACCGGGAACGCCCACGATACCTCCAAAGATTCCAGCGAAAATGGCCAGTCCCACTTTGGAGCTGACATGGCTGGAGTCGACAAACTGCTTGCCCCATTCGTACAGTGCAAACCGGGATGTGGTGTAGGTGAGCTGGCGGAACCAGGACGCCGATATCCCATTGTAGAAGCCCAGGAAACCACCTTGCCGATAGATATTGGCCATAATTTCGGAAACGGATTTCCTCTCGGCACCCGACTGCGTCTGGAGCTGCACCTTTATGAGATCGAGGGGATGGGTCGCGGTCACTGCCAACGCCGCGCAAACGCCTCCCGACCACCAGCGTGGCGTTCGCGTCTTGTTGGCATTGCTATCCGCCATAAATGGTCCTGTATCTGAATTTTGTTACCTATTGCACTGACTACAGGCGATTAGGTGTTTAATTTTACTCTGCATACTCCCAATTTTTAAATGAAGATCATAGACAGTGACTGACAGGAAACCCCATACGACACCAGCTTCTGTGGGGTTGGTTTTCCTATTTTGGAAAATCGAAAGGAAGGACGTTTTTCAATTACAAACAAGTGTGTTTATTTACAATAGACTCACAAAATGCTTCTCCCAAAACAAGAGACTTAAATTGAATGGGAAGTACTAGCTAATCCCCCTTAGACTATCCCACTAATCCCCCTTACAACTATAACACTGGGCATGACTAGAGTGTAGAGTGTTTTTCGTTTTAGACTGAGATCCAGATTAGTAGGCCATCTCCGCGCCCCAGGGCCTGTAGGGCTTGGCTCCGTTGGGCGTGGCATATTGCAGGACACTCGAGTTGTTATAGTCCTGCCCCCCGCTCACAGGATACTGGGAGGCTGCGCTGTAACTGAGGCTATCCGCACCCACGGCTGCCGGGCGATGGCTGTTGGTCAGGTCGATGTAGGTTGGAATCTGTTGCTGGGGTTCCGGGTGCACCACACTGTGATCGTGGGTGTAGTGCTGCTGCTGGGCAGGAATGGGTGTAGTTTGGGTCCGAGTATGTTGCTGCTGTTGTTGTTGTTGTTGTTGTTGCTGCTGCTGTTGTTGTTGCTGCTGTTGTTGTTGCTGCTGCTGTTGCTGTTGTTGTTGCTGACTGCTGGCCTCGACGTGCAGCTCATGGCTGGATATAGCATCTACACCTGCCCCACTTGTCCTCGATACACTGGTCCTGCCCACGGCCAACTGAGGTTGATGGGAAGGCGACGCACTCAGAGTAGGATAGCTCGAGACATAGGAGCCTGGATTGCTGGGATAACCCTGGTAGGGAGTGGCCCCACAGTTGGGCTGGTAGCTGGCGCTGCTTGGGGTAGTTGGGGCCCAGCCTCCAGGACTGACGCAGGTCTTGGCGGAGAGTTCGCGCTGCTGGACAAAGTACTGCAGGTGGGACATCAGGCGCAGACGCAGCGGATCCTGGATATCCATGCCCTCGATGGTCACCAGGTAGCGGGCCACCTCGGCGGCGCACTCCCGGAATCCAATACTATGATAGTCCATGGCCACGCGCTGCGGATCGTAACTCAGCGAATCAAGAGCTGCAAGAAAAGAAGGCGGAGAAAGTCAATAAGCTGTCTAATCCCGGATCGGGTAAACAATTAAAATAGTTGTTCCCACGCGACTGCCTAGGGAACCACCCTCATTGTCCTGCCACGGGACGGATAAAAAAATAAACAGGAGGAAGGGGATGTTGCAGTGCCGAGCCACATAGCTTCCACGGGGTGGAACAGCGTGGGAAGCCCCGAGATTCAAGTTTCACTCGGACGAGCTGGGTGGTGGTGTTGTAACTACTATTGTTTACGGCAATCATAATTTTCCCACAAACACTACTACCCTGCTCGGAACAACAGGTTAGGATTGTTTATTCAGATTTGTGATAATTTGCCGCATATTGTTTTTAATTTGGTGGCTAAATCGCTTCCCACAGTCGCCTTTTTCTAGGGATTTTATTCGATTTTGCAGGATACTTACTTTTCGATTGCAGATTCTTGAGGTGCTCCACTGTCAGCTGTAGGATTTCAGCCTTTTCCAGTTTGGCAGATCCTTGTTTCTCGTAAGCAGAGGGCACCAATCTCTTCAACTCGGTTAGGGAAGAGTTGATGCGGTCCCGGCGTTTCTTCTCAATGACACCACGTCGCTTTTTGCGGCTCATTAGTTGGCAGCTTCCGGTTTGGCTGGGTGAGATTCTGAAGGTTTAGAAAAATAAATATTGAGTTAGAAATATTCGTTATAAAAAATAGAAGTAGTATTCGTAGTTTGAAGATATAGTTCCAATAGTTCCAAATAGATTTAGGTTCTTAAACTTTAAAACATTTTCTTCAAAGATTCAAAAAGAATCTGATTGGCTTTAGAAGCTTTGTTAGTTGAGATAAGATTTCAGAAGTCTTTTATATCTTTGTAGTTTGATTTAAGTTTTTAGTTTTAGTAATTAATGAAGCTTGACTTCAATAAAAATTAAGAGTAGTCACTGCTAGTCTTTAATCACTCGAATATTCTTTTAAAAACTTTCAACTTTCACTATTTTCAAGACTGATCTTCAGGTGTCTCTACTTACTGTTCTTTGGAAGACTCCTCGGAGTACAGGTCGTCACAGTCGCTTTCGGAGAGGGCCCTCTTGAGGCTGTTGTGTCCGTGGCTGTGGCTGTGGCTACTGTGGTTGCTGTGATGGCTCTGGTGGCTCTGCGGCGGCGGCACCCAGTGGCTTTGCGGTGTTCCGGGTCCACCGGCCATGGGCATGGCGGGTCCGGCAGCATAGCCCCAGTGGTGCAGCGGCGCATGTTGCATGTTGTGATCCATTATGACAGTGTTTGTTTGCTTTTCAGTGTCTTTGTCTTTGTAGTGCTTCTGCGCACTTTGCACTGTTGCGCGATGTGTTGCTGGTTGAACGTTCAGCAAAAGTTGCAGAAGGAATATCCGGAGAACGGAGCTAGTTTTGAGCACGTGACTTATCGTGTGCGCGAACGGCGTTCGACTGATTCTGCAGCACACGTCCAGCGGACGACCTGCCCTTCGCCGCCGCTGTCGCTGCCGCCGCTCAACCCCTTTTTACCGCCGCCGGCGGCAGCCGTCGTCCAATAAGATGCAGCAGCAACCACCCCCTGGCAACGCTCGTTCCGTTTGGGGGTAGGTACTGATCACTGCCAAATGAACAAGGCCGTTCCCGGCCGTTGGAGTGAGCAGAGAAGAGGGCTGTGCCCATCCCTGTCCCACTGCCCGGCCAAATGAACAAGGTGCCTGTTTGTCCTTGCGATTTCAATAGCATCTGATATGGAAAGTATCGACGCAACATCGCCTAATCGGCGCCGTGGGCGGCTAACTGTCGACGTCTGTTTGTTCACCAACGCCAGCCACTTGTTCTCCGCCGGAGCGACTGCAGCCCCGAATCCTGCACAGACTCTAGCCGAAGGCGCAACTCAAACTGGAGCACGCGCCGGTCGTGTGGCATCGCGTGGCGCTGAAAAGGCCCCAACAAGTGCAACAGCCGGCGCTCCGGTGACCTTTATCTCTGTCCTGGCCCTTCATCTGGCGTGTGTGGGTGTGTTGGTCCAAAGTTTCTAGGTCAGTGTTACCTCAAGGTTACGGCCAACTGGGAACTGGGATCAGGGACCGGAACAAAAAGCCGACGAGATAAGGATGCGGGAGCAGGTGAACCCCAAGCTGTCCTTGAAATTCCGGCTTTAGAAGGACAAATCAATAAATGTGGCTTAAAGGTTTGTTTGGGTGGATGGCGAGGACAAGGGCTCTCAAAATAAATGAAAGTTATTTAAATCTTTAAAACAACACGTAATTTTTTAGATATTAATTGGATAATAATAAATTAATTTTAGTTAAAACAAAATTTTTTGTAGAAAACATACATTTTTAGCATGTTTTAGCTTTAATAAAATCTGTTTTTCAGAGATTAAAAGCAACAAATAATTTGGTTCACTTTCAAAACTTAAAAAAAGTCTTCACGATAAATGTTGGGACTTCATGATATGAACATATACATATGGGGACTATATATAGTACATATTATGTACTCAGTTTTAAAATGTTTTGAACTTTCAATACTTAACATTTTAAAATTGTACATGTTTTTTAGGAATTAAAATGTATAATTGTAGAGTCATTTTATGCAATTTATAATATAATATTCCAACTATTTAAATGATACGGCATTTTTAAATAAAATCTTTGTTAACTTAAAAAAAACTTAGTTAAAAGTACCCACAAGATAAACTTTTCGGTTAGGTATTTAGCTTTGGTTTATGGCTTTAAAAATTTTCATGGTTTTTGTTGAAAGAGAGCTGTATTTTATTGTTAAACAAGAATGACAGAATTTCTTGCGGAGGCGCAGCTAATAAAGTACCCTAAACATTGTTGTGAAATGGAGGTTTATATTGTAAGATATTAGAAACAAAGATCGTATTTAGTTGACACATATTATACCAAAATCCTATAAAATATCTATATTTTAGTATTAGACTGTATCGCACAATTTTGTATAATTTGATTTTGGAGAAAGTTTGCTAACTTTAATATTCAAAATCATAAAAGTCATGGGATTTTTTATCGTATAGGTATAAGTGAGCTCGGTTCGGATCGGATGATTTACCTTAAAACACCAAATTTTTGACATTTTCAATCAAATATCGAGTTGATATATTGCTCCGAAATATGTAATATATACACTTTATAGGAAAGGAAATAGGAATAGATAGGTGCATCAAAATAGCTTCAAACTAAGGGAATTTTTTGCTTTGAAACTAACAGACTGCCTGACAGACATGTCAAATTAAAGTCAGAATATGATCTTGAAACAATATACATACATATAATAACACAAATACTTAATAGTATCGAATATGTCTTCTTTAATGCGTTGCACACTTTTGTCCAAAATAATATTATCCTTTGAAACAAAAAGTATTGTTTTCCCTTCGATCGAAACCAATCAACTATATTATTGTTTGCTTCCAAAAATAATATATTTAGAAATAATAACTACAATGTATAATATTTATGTTCCATTTTTCGGATTAACTTTGAAGTGCCTTTGGGAGGGCCGTTTATGGTATTGTTCTCCCATATCAATTTCAGGATAAAATAAAAAATGAATGAAAATCGAAAAATGTAAAAAGTGCTTTTAATTTGATTCGGCATGCTGTCGCTCAGGTTTCAAAAAATGTGGCAAACAGCAAAGTGGAAATGGTTAATGGTTAATGGCCAATGCCAGTGTCAGTGCCGGCGTGGGACAAACGCTCCGAGAACTGGGAATCGCTGGACCCACCCCTAATCAAGTGAATGGCTCGCCGGATGGATAGTGCTCGAGCCAGTGCTCGAACTTGCACCACCGTGGTGGCCATAGAGCCAAAATCGCAGCCGTGGCTCGTGGGAAAGCCAAAGGTTCACGGATTCTCACGCATGTCCAGCACGTGCGGGTCGTGCGCCGGAATGGATCGATTCAAAAGGAGGTATAGTTACTCCCCTACACTTGGATAAATATTTAACAAAAATTAACTACTTTTCTTAAAGATATATAACAGAAATATGTTCCATACCAATTATCAAGCCCCGATGTCTCCCAGTGTATTAAACAAATGGCTTTTTGAAGTGCATTCAAGGTATGGAGCCAAAGGAGCGCCGCACACACACACAACACACCATACATTTATTTTATTTTTAATGGACATTTTTCGAAAAACAACTTTCTATAATGAAAATTGCGGTCTACCGTTTCAAATATACTCGAATACTCTCGAAACTCTACATATTTTTGTATATATGCTGGTTGTTCTCACTAGCTCACTAGCTGGACGCAAAAAAGTGGAGGTTATGGAGTCACTGAGTTCCTTTTTCAAGGGGATAGCTTCAGAAGCTCCTAAGGCAAACATTACAGTTGTTGGCCCCCGCCAGGGACTCGTGCCTGTGCAGCTCCAAGCTGAGGGGCTCGGCGTCATCGACCCAGGTTTCCAGGGTGCACGAGCTGGACTGATGGCTGGACTTCTGGGACTGGGACAGGGATCGGGTGACTGCTGCCGCCTGCTTCCAGCGGGTCTCGAAGTCCTCCCATCGATCGCACACATCCTCGTCCAGGGAGTTGCCGTTGATGTCCCACTTGACGATGGGCAGGTCGTCGTGGGGCGGCTCCACGATCACCAGACTGTGGTAGTTACCCTCCAGCTTGGATCCCAGACTGAAGCTGCAGGGCTGGAAACGCGACATGGCTGGGACTCGCTGCACTGGTTGCAACTGTTGCTGCTCAGATTGTTGGTGCTTGAACTGCAACACATGTTGCTGTTGCAGTGGTTGCTGCAATTGTTGTTCCTCTAGCCGCAAATCCAAACTGGAGTTGGAGGGAGTGTGCCGAAGATACCGAACATTGGCCTTGTAGGGCACTTTTTCGAACTCCACGCCGGTTTCTAGGACTTCGTAGTTTCCCTGGTTCGACATGAACTTGCTCCTCAGATCCAACTTGGACTCCTCAGCCTCACTGGCCACCTCCAAATCCACGTTTTTGAGGCACTCGTTTAACTGGAGCTCTTCGTAGATGGCCTCCGTCATGTGACAGTTGCTGTTGACGTCCAGTTCCGGGTCTGGGATCTCCGTGTCCATCTCCTCCTCATCCTCGTCCTCTTCGTCCAGGTGCTGCACAAAAAGTTGCTTCGAAGTTGAGATTTTGCGAAGAAACTGAAATAATTAACCAAAAACGATAAAAGATTGAAAAAACAAACAAAATCCTAACCGCTCCACACGGCGTATGATTAATGTTTGAAAGAGCCGCTCAGTCTGATGAACTTTAGTGTTTATTTTTATTTCGGGGGCGGCCGCCATCGATTTTTTATTGATTGAACTAAACGCCGAATGAGACTAAGTAGTTCCTCAACTAACCTTCAGACAGGACTTTTTGGTGCGCCTCAGCAAATACGACATTGCTGCTGTTGGTGTCTTTGTGTCGCCGCCGTTTAATTCACAAAAAATTGTGCAATTAGAGGGGCTATTGTTGCCGTTCAATCACTGAGTTGCTGGCAATAAGCCGGGGCAAGTGCCTCATCGCCGCTGCAGCCCGTTGGCCTAACCAAACAAAACTGAAATAAGGAAGCGACAGGCCGAACCCTGCCAGGTGGAGCAAGGACTTCCCATACCCGAGCTGGCGAGTCGAGCCACATGACTCATGGTCGTGTCGCGTTCACGGAGAAAAAAATCTTCAACTTAAATTGAAATTTTTGGTTTTGATTTAGATTATAAAATCATTAAATATTTAATCACTAAATAAAATATTAATCAGATATATAAAACTTCATATACTAGCTACATATATGGAACTCTTGGAAGCAAATACTTTATGGAATATGAAGGTTCTTAAAAAGTGCCTTGTGTACTTACATTTTAAAACATTTTCTCTAAAACTGTAAGTATTTTTCCAAGTGTAGCTTGGAGCACTGCAAGCCCCAGCTGAGAGCCTCTGACGGCACAGGCGCAGTATAATCCAAAACGCACAGATTGGTAATCTCGAGTGGGGGCGCCCTTAATGCGATAATGGCCCGGCTTGAAGAGCTTTCTCCCCCACTAACCCAACGCCGACGCCACTAACCCAACCTGCTACCGCAGTTCTCCCCCCAACTACTTGTTGCATTTAGCGAAGGTCCTCCAGATGGCCGGTCAAGTGGCGAGGGCGTGCTGTTGGGCGAAAGGTGAGTCCTGCTCCCTGATTATTATTACACGGTTCGTGTGACGGTGTTGTAGGGGCGCCTCGTTGGCGCTGGCTTTTGTGGCAAGTTTATTATGAAACTATTTCCGCAGAGGGTTGCCGCGAAACTTATAGTGGCAGGTGATGGAACAGAAAAAAAATAGAAAATATGTATTGACTTGGTAAGCTTTAGGGCCAAACTATTTACGCCATTTCTCTATAAATAGTGGTTGCTTATTAAGGAGCTGGAAATTATTTATGAAGAGGTTGGTTGCTTACTTCTAATAAAGGTCTTTATAAGCCTCTTTAAATTTCAAAACACTAGGCTTTCTTTTAAAGCTTATCGGTGCTCCGAATAAAAATAATAGTATTCATGAACTTGTCGCCCTACTTGGAACTGATTACGAATACCAAGTTCAGGGCTTGACAACAAAAAACTGAATAAAAACACAACTATCCGGGGTACTATTTTACCCACAATTAAATACAAATAATTCAGTTTGTTATGGGAAAGCGAAAGACTGACATTTGTATTAATGACATTTGCATGTTAATTTCCCGCAAATTAGGCAAATGATTTAAATGCATTTAAAAGTTAAAAAAAAAACTTGGAAATGGAAACCAGTTTTCAATTCCCTATGCCTTTGAATGTCCTGTGTCCTGTTTGTGGAAAATGAAAAAAAAAAAAAACACTTTTCAGCCTGTCGTCGATTTGTCACATCACTCACTTTTGAAGTGCGGTTTCGGGCTGGGTTTTTTTCGAATAGTTCTCAGAATCGAAGTCCCCCGAATGATGATACTCGCAGCAAATGGCAATCAAATCCCAATGATTCGGCATTCGTTTCTATATCTCTCGGTTTTCAAGGCATGACTGAAATTTTGATAGTTTTTTCGGCCATCACTCAATACTTTTGTCTTTGGCTTTTGACAGTTGTCTTCCTCGCGAAAGGGTGTCCCAGTATATTGATGGGTTGGCTAATTAAAGATTGATGGATTGAGGCCTGCACTTGGCAACAAAAAGCGCCAATTGCCAGTATCGATTACAAAGTTCGATTTTAATTTTTAATTGCACGCTGGACGAGGCACGTGGTTTGGGTTAAATTGGTCAGGACCACAGACAGACCGCAGGCAGGACGAACCCTGAACCCACCCCTCTACCTCTCTTGCTATTCTACTATTATTATTATTATTGTCATTGCCGTGGAATTTGTCGAGGGGTGTGACCCTGAGGGTTGGTAGGGGTTTGCGATGCAACCTCTACTCCGATCTCTCTATTTCAATTCCGATTCCGATTCGGTGTGAAGTGGTTAATGTCCTCGGGGCAAGTGGCAATTATGGCCACTCCTCGGCAATCGCTGTTGAAAATTTACATTTTATTAGATTTACATGACCATGCCCATGCGTGGAACGTGCCACGGCATTAAAATTATTTACGATGCCAAATATTGTTGGTTGTAAATTACGAATTCTGGCAAATATCTCACTGAAGGTCGGAGCGGGGGGCGGGAGGCGTGGCAGTGTAACGGCCGCTTGACCTTTGTCGCTAATTAAAGTCTCATTGTTTGCCGCCTTTGGCCGCCGAAGGCAACGTTTTCGGAGCGTGTTCCTAAATGTTTTCCAAGTCTGTTGCGATTCCGACAATAAAAGTCGTTGACTGATAACAATATAGACATCGTAAATCGGATTAGCCCGAGCAATACTATGGCCCTATAGCTCTCTTCGACTGTCAGTTGTGTTCGGAACATATAGCGGTGCGAAATGTCGAGTGGATTGCCGGAAATCAAGTACTACGAGCACGAGCTCAACGTGCGCCAGATCATTGAGGACTCAAAGTTGCAGGATCTGGACCAGGCCCTCAACATCTGTGATCTGTCCAGCGTGGAGAGAAAGTACCAGCTGTGGAAGAAGCTCCTGCCCAGGATCAAGCCGTGCTATGCCGTCAAGTGCAACGACGATCCTGTGATAGTAAAGTTGCTGGCCGAACTGGGAGCGGGATTCGATTGCGCCTCCAAGAATGAGGTTAAACTGGTGGGTATTGAAACTCCTACAATACTCTTTTCCTACAATACGATAAAATTCCCCCAATTTTCGGGGGATCTTTCAAAGTTTGTCGAAACATTCTCTGGAAATGCTCAGTGGCGGATTTAAGGAAAAAGGCCCAATGGGCAAAATTTTTCAGGGTACATTGAAGGGTATTTTAAAGGGTACAGCCCAGAAAATTTGACAAAAAATCTTAAAAATATTTGGTTCCCAGATTTTGATGCAGATTTATTGAGAATCGATCCACAAATCGTTTAAGGTATTCCGTTCAAGAATCGGATGAATATTTCCTAAGATATGGCCTTCGCAGTGGGTCATATGGGTCTCCCCATGCATTTTGCACATTTTGAAGGACAGCCCAGAAAATTTGACAAAGAAATCTTTAAAATATTTTGTTCCCAGATTTTGATGCAGATTTATGGAGAATCGATCCACAAATCGTTAAAGGTATTCCTTTCAAGAATCGGATGAATATTTCCTAAGATATGGCCTTCGAAGTGGGTCATATGGGGCTCCCCATGCATTTTGCACATTTTGAAGGGGACAGCCCAGAAAATTTGACAAAAAATCTTTAAAATATTTTGTTCCCAGATTTTGATGCAGATTTGTGGAAAAGAAAGCGAAGGTGTAACTTACAGCACGAGGGGCCCTGAAAGCCTTTCGTCGGGGGAACCTTTTCCCTAACCAAGGAACCTTTTTCCTAAGGTAAAACCCCTAAGGAAAACATACTCAATCTAATACAATATTGATTCCATTTTTTGAAGAAGGAGATTTTAAAAGATTTGTGGATCTATTTTTTGTTTATGTGGACAGAAAGCTAAGAGTAAATTTATGAATCAAACTAAAGAACCTTACTGTAGAATTTGCAGAGCCTCAAGAGTCAACTATAAGGACGATGGTGGTAATGACTATGTAGGTTTTATCTTTTTCAATAATAAGCCGATTTTTAAGCAGACCTCAAATGATTTATGAAACCCCTTCCTATTATTCTTTATCAAATAAACAAATCTTTCGGTTACAGGCTCTAGGCTTCGATGTCGCACCCGAACGCATTATATTTGCCAACCCATGTCGTCCTGTAAGTCATCTGGAGTATGCCAAGGAACACCGAGTGGCCAATGGCACGGTGGACAATGAGTTCGAGGTCTACAAGCTGCACAAGCACTACCCGGAGTCAAAGTTAGTTTCACACAATTAAAAAAACATCCCTGAAGTCTATTATAACTCAATTCTTTTTCAGTTTAATTGTCAGATTCAAAAGCGAAGCCAAGGAGGCACAATGTCCTTTGGGAGACAAGTTTGGCTGCGATGCGGATGCAGATGCCACGGCCTTAATGTTGTTGGCCAAGTCTCTGGACCTGACGGTGACTGGTACCAGTTTCCACGTGGGATCTGGTTGCAGCGAACTGGAGGCCTACGACCGGGCCATCAAGAAGGCCAAGAACATCTTCAAGTTTGGCGAACTTTTGGGTTATGACATGAATTTATTGGACATTGGAGGCGGTTTTCCGGGCAGTGATGATGAAAAGTTTGAAAAGGTAAGTGTTTATGCCTTAAAAAAAGACAATCTAGGTATAGTCCTTATAGATTGCAGATATAGTGAATGCTTCAGTGGAGAAGCAATTCCCAGACGAACGTGTTCAAATCATTGCCGAACCAGGAAGATACTTTGTGGCGGCAGCTTTTACCTTGATTTGTAAGATTCATGCCAAGAGGGAAGTTCGGAATGAAGCTGGCAAGTTGGACACTGTGATGTACTATCTAAATGATGGTGTCTATGGCTCCTTCAATTGCATATTATATGACCATCAAGTGGTTACTCCACAGCACTATCTGGTAAGTTAATGAATTTAGTCCTTAAATGGGAGTTCTTAAGTGATATTTTCGAAACAGGATGAATCTGAAAACTTGCCAACATTCAAGTCTTTGATTTGGGGACCCAGTTGCGATGCTTTGGATAAGGTAATATTGATTTAAAAACTATTAAAGTTCACTATTTAACACCTGTGTTTTATACAGATATCGGAGGACCTGCGTCTGCCCAACTTGAATCGAGGAGATCTTCTAGGATTCCCCAACATGGGGGCTTATACCATGCCCATTGCCAGTCCTTTCAATGGTTTTGAAGTTCCCAAGACCCTGTACTTCCGAGCCATACAAATATGACTAAACCAAGATTCAAAGAAAATAAAAGAAACAATATGTTGCATTTGTAACCAATATGGATTCTTTATTTGTTGGATTCTCGGATATATTCCCCATTTAGGGAATATTAGCTCACATGGAGAGCATTACGAATGCCCGGCTTACACTTTGTTTCGTAATATTTTGAAAAGAATAGCTTTTGCCAAAGGAAACTGACCCGAATCGGTGGTGCAGCGCATTCTTTTGAAAATATTCTTGTTAGATACCGTTACCAAAACCCTAGCTTTACCGTTAGCACTGCCATTGCCCCGCCCACCCCTGGGTGGGTGGCTACTGACCCAAGCCACCGACCGGATGGAGAGGTCAACGGAAGCGGAAGCGATAGGATGGGAGAGCGGAAACGGTATCCGGTTTGTACAACTAATTGAATTGGAACTTAATCAAAAAAGGTACATGAACGTACGTACGTGTATGTTTTGTGTATAAAAGTAAATGTATAAAAAAATTTCAAAAATTCCACTCGGCAATAACATACATACATACATTAGCTAATTTCACGTTTTTCTACTTTTCAACTCTTGCCTCTTGCGTAAATATATTAAACTTTATCCAGATGCCTCAAAAATGTAAGTAAACGTACTATAAAATGTCACTATTTTAGCTTGATATGTCACGATATATATAATATAACAATATAATAACGATATGCATTCTCGATTTTGTTTGTTGTGTGTAGTTTTTGGGAATGGGGGCTTTTTCAAAAGGTTTCTTTTCTTTTTTTTTGTCAAGATTTTGTCGGGAGTACTTGCCCCTGGTTGGTGGCAAATAAAGAGTACAAACTACTTATTCCATAATCAGTTCTTGGGGATTGATGCAAATGAATTTTCTCGGCTGTGTCGGAATCCTGCCCAGGATCCAAAAACGAATGATATCGGGGACTCGGGGGGAACAGGTTGGTGATCGGATGATCTCAGGTGAGGATGCTAAGAACGCGTTTATAATGATTGTATCTCACAACACCGACGACAAGACGACGATAGACTACACATAATAAAATGTTGGCTTAATGCACATTGATATCCTGTCGGGCAAGGACCTTCTTGGGGTAAAAACGTGTAATCATAACAACGAATTTTGGTTTGCTTATTAATAACAATATTTCTGATATGTTTGAGTTTCGATTTTGGTTTCCCTTGCGCCTAAATCAAGCCTTACAACTAAGCTATATCCGTTAACAATATCTCATCAATATATGAGCCGACTGCCGACTTCCGACTGCCGACTCCTTGAATCCTCAGCAGCGCTTATATATCTCTGTATTCTGTATATATCCCCATTCGTGTCGAGCTACTGTGCAATCTCTCGAGTTGGTGGTTTTTTGATTCGGCTGGTGGCTTCTGGTGGTTGGGTGCCTGTGCTTGGGTGCCGCCTGCCGCCCTCTGCTTGGTGGCTGCGAAAAGCGTGCTTTCTCTAATTAGTTACTCTAATTAGTGGCAGAGTTGCATAATTCACGGATTCTCTATAATCTATAAGAAAACATACACAATACAACAACACAGAAATGGCTTTTTGGTTCGATGGTTCGAGTGGTCGGTGAATTTTGGTTTTTGTTTATGTTTTTGTCTGGATTTTGAAATGAATTTGTAGGACCGAATCAAACCGAATCAAAAGGCAAATGCATTGAGTGATAAGCACCATCTATCACTGATCACTTGGCCGTGTATGTGGCTGTGTGTTTCTGTGTGTTTTTGGTTTTGGTTTTGGTTTTGTCTGATTAGAGTTCACTGTCTGAAGCTGAAACTGACCCACATAGAACATCGCGTCTAGCTAGACAGATAGACAGTTAGTAAGATAGATAGATGGCGAATGGCGAATAGCGAATGGCGATTCGTATTAAACGCTAGTCAGAAACGCCACGCTACACACGGCGATCTGGGCCAGGATGTTCACTTGCAGGATCCGCATCAGACCGCCGCTGGTGGGCGAGGGACTCACATTGAGGCCGGAGCAGTGCATCTTCTCGGTGGGCATCGCCTGGACGAAGTACTCGCGATTGTCCAGCGACATGTGGCACAGCGGCTTCTTCTTCTGCGACATTTCGTCGTCCTTGTTCTTCAGGTCCTCCAACAGCTTGGGGAACCAGATCAGCTCACAGGAGCAGTTCAGTGGATTATCTGCATGATATCGGATGTTAGTCTATAGAAGTTGGAAAGTATTCGCTTAATGGAATCCCATGACTTGCCGGTAATATCGATAATGCGTAGAGTATCAATAACAGGCTCCATTATATCCTGGGGTATGCGCTGCAGCTTATTGTTTTGCAGATTCAGGGTCTCCAGCGAGTTGAGATTCTCGAAAAGGACACTCGGCAATACTTTGATGCTAAAAATATTCAGATTATTAGTGGGCTAAGTCGAAGTATTATCGAATTATTGTTCGAAAACCCACTCATTCTTCTGAAGATTTAGGAAGGTAAGGGAATCTCCAAATCCCGTAAAGGCATCTTCGGCCAAAACATTGATATTATTATTGCGCAAATCCAGATGCCGGAGACGGTGCAGAGGACGCAGTGCCTCACTGGGAATGGTGTGGATTTGGTTGTCTCCCAGGCGTAGATATTGCAGGTTTTCTAGGAAATATAACCAGGTTAGTTCATTTAGTATTAAATTTTAAGAACCAAAGCACCTTCTAGTCCTTTGAAAGCATCTTTGTCAATGACACTGATTTTGTTGCCCTCCAACTCCAAGGAGTTCAGCTGGGCGAGATGCGAAAAGACATTGGCAGGCACGGAGGTGATCATGTTGTGGGCCAATATAAGTGAGTCCAAGTTCTGCAAGCCTGTGGGAGAATTCAGAATTAAAATCTTACTATTGTATAGATATCTCACTGTAATTACCTTCAAAATCTCCTTCGCTAATAGTTCGTATCTTATTTTCCTGAATTTCCAGCTTCTTAAGGTTGTCCAGAATAGATAGAGCCTTCTGAGGGACACTGTTCAGGTCGTTACCACCCAGATTCAAACGTTTTAGTTTGCTGTGAATAATAGGGTTAAAATATTGTAATATTGGATATTGGAAGAACTTGTTTATTCCTACCTCTCTAGTCCTCGGAAAGCCTCTGGATCTATCTGCGTTATCTTGTTCTCGTAGAGCGTGAGAATCTCCAAGGTTTCCAAGCCTTCGAAGGCATTGTTGTGGATCACCGAGATTTTGTTGTGATTGAGATTAAGGATCAACAGGTGGAACAGATGCTGCAGAGCCTGCGAGGGCACAGTTTTCATTTGATTGAGAGAAACGTCCAGCTGGGTAAGGCCCTTGCCTGAAAGAACACACCCAGGATAATAAAGATACTCTCTAGATCTTGAGGAACACTTACCCAAAGAACTGAGGGCATTCTCCTCGATGGCCGCCAGGCTGCTGTTGTGAATGGTCAGGTGGCGGATGTCCAGAGCCAGGAAGACAAAGCCCTGCAGCTTGGGCAGGTTGTTGTGGCGCAGCTTTAGGTAGAAAATGATGGGACTCTTGCCCTTAAGCGTGCCCATCGACTTGGTAATGTGGGCCAGATCCGTGGTCTCGCACAGGATGTCCAGGCCGTTCTTTTTCACAGTGCAGATGCAGGGCGAGATGTCGCTCTGCTCCGGGCACACCTGCTGCGGCGGCGGGCCCTGGGCCAGCACCTGGTGGAGCACCAGGAGCAGCATCATTACCGCCAAGTTTCCTGGCTGCATCTGCCATTGCTGAGTGCTCGCCATATTGCTTTCGGGATTCAAGTTGGATGTTTGGTTTTTGTAAAGTAAAAGTCACGAGTTTGGATGTTTGGATGCGGCGCTACTGGCGTTGCTGATGCCTCCCTCCTTGGCGATGGCGATGGCGATGGCGATGAGTGGTGTCTGTCTATGTACAGAGTGGCTATTGCTATTGTAGCCCTGCGGGTGAGGAGCAGAACATTGGATTGGATTTAGGGGAATGCTCGTTTAGGGGAATCTACTCGCACCAGCTACTCGCAGGGGCGGCAAATTAAGCGGACAATGCGCGATTTTATTTGGGTTGTGTGTACTCGCGGATTCAAATAATAAATTGCCCGCAATTGAGTCTGTCCGTCCGTCAGTCCGTCCATCTGTCCGCTGGTCCGTTAATCCATCTGCTGTTGCCACTCCTATGAGTCTCTGGCTTTCTCTTACCTAAATGGTTTGTCCGTGCCAAGTGGAACATGCTTCCAGTGCCTCCGAGATGCAACAAATTGTGGCCACAAGTCGAATATTGATATCGAACCTGCTACAGATACATATACAGTATAGTATGCCACCTAACCCACAGACACACTCGCGCTTTTACACACACACCAAGCCGCTCTCATCTGCGGGTGTGTGTGTGAGTTCGAAGCGGGAGTCGGCAGACGGGCGCAGAGTCGGGCCACGGGGCGTATGCGTAATGGCAGTGTGCCAGTGCCAACTGGGTTAGTTAGTGTGTGTGTATAACGATGTAACGGAAAATCGATACGGCGACAAATAGCTGAGGTGAGAGGTTGCGAGGTTGAGGGGTTGTCAGGCTTAGGCTGTTGAATGGCCAAGCACTCTGCGTATGAGTATGCGTTGGTATTTGTATTTCTATTTCTATTTCTCCTTCTATTTGTATTTGTATTTCTTGTATTTGTTTGTATTTGGACACGTATCCTCGTATTTGTTGCTTCCCTCGATATCCTTACAGCATTTGCAGAAAAGCGTCACCGTCGATATCCTTTAATGATTTTCTGTCGTTATACGCCAGTTCTCCTGTTGCATTCTCTTCGAAATTTGATTGGCAAAACCCCGATTCACTATCAGCAGAATCTGAACTCTGATCCGGACTCGGAATCGGGAAAATATACAATACAAAAAAATGATGCGAATCTTCAGTTGGATGGAAAATGAAGCACGTTTGGTTGGCAAAACCGACGATTGCGGACTGGAGAGCCAAGCTCGAAATAAATTATAGCCTGACAGATGCAATACTGGGGGTGGTTTAAGCTCGCAAAGCTTTCCTCAAGTTTTTCCAGTCGCTCAAAATATATCGTGGCACCTGATGCCAAGGAATGTCTGAAAATGCGATAGTTTAAAAAAAAAACAACAAGAAAATCTTGAGAAGAATATTAATTTTTTTTGTTTATTTTAACTGTTTTATTCTTTTCTACGGGTGTTTTTCGTAATTAACATTTTTGGCACCTAGACTTTAATTTTCTTAAAATAAAAAATAAAATATTTTTAAATAAACCAAAACATTAAATTAAAACAAAAAATTTGATTTGCATCGGCCGGGAATCGAACCCGGGCCGCCCGCGTGGCAGGCGAGCATTCTACCACTGAACCACCGATGCTTGTTAAATCGGTCCGGAAATTTTATCAGTATTTAATTTGTATATATGTATGAATAAGTAATCTTATATCTTATCAAGATAATTTTAATTTATTAATCTTAGCCAGTGTAGACAAAGTGGTGCTTTCACTCTTCAGAGGTAAGTTAAAATCGAACAAATTATTATTTTCAATTTAAATAATTTTCAGCTACTTAGTTTGAAACGGTTGGTGGCAAGGCACATTCATTGATTCTTAGTGGGAGTTTCAACTTGACTAATTAAACTCGAACCATTTCAACAATTTGGGTCAATTTAATTTTCTATTCTAAAAAAAGCCAGAAAACAGTTAAGAAACAGTTAAGAAAATTACAAATTCATTCATTGTGATGAATATCAACGAGAAAATAAAATTACGGCAAGTTCGAAATTGAATTAAATATGGAAATGTGGGAGGTATCATATAATCAATAGCCAAATAATGTATAAATCAATGTGGAAAAATAGTAATTAAAAGTATTCATACATTCATTCAAGTATTTCTTTTGGTTACAATTCAAATTTTCCCGCTCAACTGAAAGGTGGTTTGGAAAAGAGTGATGTACATTTTAGGTTTCCAAATTATTTGAATTCTTAATTTTGAATTTTTTGCTGCTATTTTCGACTGGTATTTTTCGGTCACAATTCAAATTTCCCGCTCAAGTTCTGTTAAACTTAAAAAAAAAATGTTAACAAAATGTTATGAACAAAAAAAATTTCACAACACTGTTCATTTTTTAACGTTTTCCAACTTCGCGGTGCAGAAATAAGTGAGAAAATAAATGTTATTTCGGCACCGCGAAGTTAAAAAACGTTAAAAAATTTAAAGTGTTGTGAAATTCTGTTAAAAAAATCCTGTTTTCAAATTTTAGCACCGTAGATGGCGCCTCAATATTTCGTTACTAGGAGCAAGTTTCAACACTTTTATATAGATGGCGCTAAAAATTTGTTTAAATTTCCAAGTAACTAACGCCTTCTACCGGTCACGCTGTAATATTAAATATTACACACCCGCAGATGGCGCCACAAAAGTTCGTGTCAAAAAAGATTTTCAATTTTTTTCTATAACTGGTCACACTTAAAAAAAATACTGTATAAAAATACAAAATATAAAAATACAGTATTTTACTGTTAAATAAAAACTTTATTTTTTATTGTATTTTATTGAAAAAAGATTGATGGAGACTTCTAATTTTCGGTTCTCAATTTATTTTAAGTAAAATCATAAAAAAATAGACATATTTTTAAAGTAAAATATAAAAATTTACCTTAAAAACAATATAAATTTTATGACATCGAATCGGCCGAAACAAATTTGAAACTTTAAACCGGGATTATCTCAGAATCGTGTTTTTGCGAAATTACAAGATTTTGACCACTCATTTCGTGAAACGAAGGATTCTCAATTTATTTCGAAAACGTACTTTTTTAGAGCATAAATAGTGAAAAATTGTTTAGAATTTAAAAATGAAATTTCATAAACTCTCCCCACATTCTAATATTCTTGCAATTCTTTTCTTTTCAGTTCTATGGCTCTGGTTCTTTTTTCTCACTGTTATTTCTGCACCGCAAAGTTGAAATATATAAAAAAAATTGAAAAAGCATGAAAGTGCTGAAAAATATTTATGAATATTTATTTTTTTTATGCAACATGAAATATGCATGAAATATTTGTAGGATCTAAAATTATGTAGGAAAAATATGCCTAAATGCTTTTTAGCAAGAATGCAGGCTCTAATTTGCTAGCAAATTGTAGACCTAGGTCTTAGTCCAAAGGTAATTTCTCCTTTTAAGCAGGGTTTCTGGACTAGGACGATGTCGGCTCCATCCTCAGCCAGACGAAACAGGAATGCCCTAAAATGGCAGAATCCACAAGGACACCTGCGAGATTCCCCTCCACCATTGTTATCTCCATCGAAGATGTCGTCGTCATCCATCCGACGTTGCCATGCAGCACAGGCTTGGATCTCGGAGACCAGTTCCTCTGGGATCTTTGCCTTGCTGGAGTCGCCTCCGGAGTTAGATATATCTAAACCTCTACCGTGAAAGAGTTAAAGTGGAAGCGACTCTTGGTTGATAATCTGAACCGCCTAATTTGTGGGTCCCTCCATTTGGTCGACCTTCGCCACACGCCAGACCGTTGTGGGAAGGATACTTAACAACTAAGGATCTTTAGAAGATATTTTCAAAACTTTTTAAATTTCATTTTAACAAATAAAGGAAATGTTAAAGCAGAAAAAACATTTTTAATTCTTTGGCTTTACAAATTTCAATTCTTACTTTAACAACAAAATAATTTGTGAAAAGTAAAGTTAAGTTAATCTAACCAGTTTAAAAAAATGCAAAATAAAAACCATAAATTTTATTAATTTTGATTTAAACCCTATCATAATTCTTTTTCTCTAAGTGCATTCGTGTGTGATGTATCGAACCCATTGCAGACACCGACTTGGCTTGTTACCAATGCGTCAGCTGACTGCTCCAGCATCCATCGTCCTTTGATGACAATCCTGATCAGGTTACAGCCGCACGTGGGCGTAATTTTCTCGCAATTAGGATGCGATTATGATAACATGAGCGAGCGCCGTCGAAAGGGTAATTGAAGAACAGCTTGCTCCTGGTTCTGCTTCTGTTCTCGCAACCCACTCCAGAGCATACCCCTTCTGACCACCGTCGCTGGGAATCCTTGGGTGCTGCCACGTGCCTGTGAGACGCCTTCGGCCGGTACAAAGTTTCAATTTGATATTCCTTTGGAGTTGCCTTCGGAGTCGAGCGTCTTGGGGTTGCTTCGGGCCATGGATTAAGTTGAGAAAATGCAAAAGTCTGACTATGCTTTCTGGTCCTGATGCTGCGGCAGTGGCAGTGAGGCTTATGAGCTGCCAGTGGGTGGAATCAGCATATGGGCAGACTTTGCATTTGACAAAGTGCGAAATCCTTTACACTTTGAAGCCTGATTGACTTCTTATCCTTGAATGGATTCGAATGGAAATTGTGTTTCGGCTAATGGTGGGTTGTACCCTGCATCCTGCCAGTCCCCTCGCCCTCTATTTTTATTTCTTGGCTGGAACTCGAGTCCTATATAAACAAACGGAAGATAATCAAGATGTAAAACACAATCCGGCTGGCAGGGGGGTTGGGTTCTGGGCGAAGAGTGTCTAGGGGGTGGGGGTTGGGCTTTGTGGCTCGATGTAATTCAAAACCAAACAAAACCGTTGAGGAATCAAAAGGCAAGCGATGGCAAATTACAGTTTTACAGTTACAGTTACATGATGCAGTTGCCTCACGAAAATCCAAAAGGTGGGGTGGGGTGAATGGTGTGGGGGTGGCGCTGGATACAAAAAAATGTGAAATTGTGAAGCGGAATTTCGCAATTTCACTTTGTACTTGGAAAACTGTTATTAACTTAATGAAGGAGTGTTGTTGCACGGCCCGTTTACCTGACACGTGATTCGGAGCGAACCGGAAGCTGGTGGCCCAAAAAAAAAAAGGAGATCTGTGGCTGGGGCTTCGTTTTCTTGTTTTCTTTATTTGAATAAATATATATATAAATACAGGATTGGTTAAGGAGACACGTTAAAGAAATTGAATTTTATTGGAAGTTATATAAAAGCTTTAAACTTCTTCGATAAAAGGTACAACACGTCGGTTTTGTTAATTCGAATTCTCCTAGAACCCAGAATAAACCCTGAGTTCCCTCAAACCTCTTGTAAGTTCTGCTCCAAGTTATGGGCCTGGTTAATTAGGTTATATCTATTCGTAAAACTTTGGGCCGGCCTCCTACGGATTTAACACCAGTTAACAAAGCAAACCCGTCGGCGGCTGTAATTAAAACATAAAAACCGAGATGGCAGCCAGCTCATCTTCATTCTCTATTTTCTTCGAGCACCCGCACATGTGCCTCTTGTGGCACGGGGCAGGAGGCAGGAGACAGGGATCGGAAGAAGGCCCTATGTAACCGTATCTTTGCATTGGCGCTCAGATGAAGCTCATCTGGCAAAGTGGCAGGTTAAGTAAACAGTTTCATTGTGCGAATTCAATTAAAATTTATTCAAAATACGTCAACGGCAGCTACTCAAAGCTGCTACTTCTGCTATATTGCAACAAAGTGCCAAAGTATCTGCAACTGCGTCGAGATACGACTCCCAGTGCTATGTACTTTCAACATCTCACTCTCTCTTTATCGGCTGCCATTGGCAAAGGGGCGTGACTGGGCCACGGCCACGCCTAGGCGCTCAAGTGGAAGAGAGACAACCGTATGGGTAGACTATGTACCCGCGCCAAGTATCTGTGTGTGAGTGCGTGTGCCACTTGTCGGTGGGTGTTGCACGCTGTAACTGCTCTCCTGGAAAGTGGGGCAATTTATGGAGTTGGTGTGGTGGAGCGGGAGGAGGAGAAGCAGGAAGGTACCGTCGCCCCCGCACACGGTAGCAGTTGCGATAGCTCCATACCCGGAGCTTATGCTGCTGCCACAACTGGAAGTGGAATGGAGATGGAGATGGAGCTGCCTCGCGCTGACAGCCGCTCTTTTCTGCTGGCATTGGCATTCGGCTCTGGGCCTGGGCCTGCTCACTTTCTGCCATATCATCG